TATATATACACATTTTCTTGATCTCGAAACTAGCGGGAGGTGAGTGGTCAGTTTGACGCCCCGCTCTGTGTAGGTAACACTAGCAAAACGGCAGCGGATGCGTTTCGCGAATGAAGTCGGTGCCGCAGCTGCAAAAGTGACCACAGTGAGTAGCTCGACAGGTCAGTTAATGGAGGCACAGAGTGCTAAGTCAATTTCCTCATCCATGGTTCTCATTGAAGTTAGGAGTGCGTGTCATCTAAAACAAGGCTTCATAATGTGCCATCGCCCCTTTCACTAGAAAGATATTTGGGGTAATATTCCCGTTATAAAATGATGGTCCATGACGAAAGTTGACAAAAATAAATGTACGCAGAGCGCGATCCTCCCGTTGGAGCATGGGTACCAACTCGAACTTGCTGCTCAAATTCATGTACCTATACTAAATTTCCTACGCCGTGAAGCTGTATGCAGATGAGTGTAAGTTTCACGTATTCTTTAAACTGGGCACCATTTAGAAGTGAGCAGTCAACTTCATCTTCCATCAGCTTTATGCCTTGCAAAGGCCATACTAAACCCATTGGTTAGGAGGCTAGTGGGAACCAGAGTCCGTTTCAACTTGGAGGGCAAAGATAACTGCTTATTTCTGCCGGGAATAGAACCATAGCGGTCGACATGTAGTCAGTCACTTCACTTAATGAGATACCGTATCACCAAAATGTACCTATTTTGATCCTTAATACAGACATAACACAGGAACTGAATTTTTACCTAACTAGGAAGACCTGTCACTATAATTTTATGTCAAATCATGTACATACTAATCACACCTACCTTGTTTAGTACCAATCAAACAGCTACATTAAAAAAGAGGGTATGCTCAATATAATTGTGTATGCATGCTTATACAATGTGTTTTATTAGCAATAGCTAAAGCGCAACATTCGCGAATTTGTTTTGTCCGAATGATCATTTAAGCCTGAAAAATAATCACTGATGTCACTTAACACGGGATGTGGAAACTCTGAGTGACTGAGTATTCAGAAATACAAAACGTTACTTCAAATGCGCCTATTTCCATAAATATCCAGAGTAAAACAATGCCGAAAATAGGTATGTAATAAAACACGTTTATGGACTTTTTGTCCGATGCAAATAATTTCCATGTAGGAAACGGTAAACCTCTACAAACTTTAAACTCTCTGCGAGCTGGGTCAGTATTTCTGGAGTGACCGGTAAACCGTATCATACGGTGACTGCTTCAAAATGACATCATCTCAGTCACTGATGATTTAGAACGTATGGTTAAAAAATTTCTCATCCAAGCCGGTGACCATTTCCTTGCTTGGCCAACTATGTAACCACGAGTAGTATGGACTTCTTTTCCATACTGGTTTCAGAGCGGTCAGTCACTGTCACCGTATTCCACGGATACTGAATTCTGCCATTACATTTGGGCCACAACACCACTCATACAGTTAAGAACTATGACCAGAGTTATATTATTTGCAGCATCCACCAGAACATGTTGAATGTAAAAATTCTGAGTTTTCATTTTTCTCTTGCAGAAAGTTATGCTCTGCACCCACGCTGAAAGCAATACTGTCTAAGAAAATCTGTGTTGCTAGACATCATCTGCAATGTTGTACTACGTCGTGAATATTTATTACCCTACAATAATTAAAAAACTTGGCCGGTCACGGTAGCTGAGCGGTCTAAGGCATGTACTGTCTTCACTCGCTTGGAAACCGGGATCGTGGGTTCGAAACCCACTCAGGGCATGGATGTTTAGCTTGTGTGTGTGCGTTTTTCTGTGTTTGTGTACAGGTAGAGGCCTTGCAACGAGGTGATCACCCGCCCAATGAGTCCTACCGAATGTGTAAGATCTAGAAAAACCGAAGTGAACGGAGAAGTTCATGGAGGTAAGCCTAGGCCCATTGGGGCTGTAGTGTCAAGGGAAAAAAATTAAAAAACTTGTCATTTTCTTTTATTTCTGAAGAGGCTGCAATAATGAACATAGAAGAAGTTGTCTAAAATGTGTACACCTTTTTCCCCAGCCATGAATGTCTGAGAGAGCCAATGTATATTTGTGTGCAGTTGGCATGAGATGGGTGTGTACGACCTGCCGGCCGAGATCGACTACATTTTGACGAATACAACACAGAAGAGCCTCCGTTACGTTGGTCATTCCATGGGTACCACCATGTTCTATGTTCTCATGTCCAAGAAACCAGAGTACAATGCCAAGATAAGCCGCATGATTGCACTGGCCCCTGTGGCGTTCCTGAGGAACACGAAAAGTCCTTTTGCTTCCATCACGAAACTCGTACCAAGTGGAGTAAGTAAACAAAATGGTATGGAGCACAAGTATCAAATTACCTTTAATTTAGGTAACATATTTCCTATATTTTAGCCGGACACAGTAGCCGCGCGATCTAAAGCATGAACTGGCTTTGCTAGCTCCGACGCTGGGATTGTGGGTTCGAACCCAACTCAGGACATGGATATTTGTTATGTGTATAAGTTTATTCTGTATTTGTGTTGTTCTGTGTTTAGGTAGCGGCCTTGTGACGAACTGATCACTCCTCCAAGGAGTCCTGCCGTCTGTGTAAAATGATTATGGAACTGAATAAGAGGTCTGAGCTCTGAATGGTCTGGAAGAGCCATTGAACAAATATTCCTATATTTGATTAAATACAATGCAATGTACGTAATTTTCGTTGGTGTGAACTCTTGCAGAAGGAAACTTATATTAATGAACTCGCTTAATACTGCAAATCAAAGCATGACATTTTTCTTTCCTACTCACATCTCGAACTTGTTTAAGTGTCTTTTTTAAACCAACAAACTTTTCGCCATGCAAGTTGGCCTAGTGGTAAAGTACATGATTTTTATCTAGGAGGCAAGGAACCTGTCATCACTGGGTTTGCAGAGATTTCCGTAAGTCGATACAGATCCTACCATCAGATACGTCATAACTGTTTTCTCTCCCAGTCTTATATGTTATCATTGCTAAATAACTTCCTTCTGTTTCCACATCTACGGTTGTTACATCACGACTAGGGCCCATACAAATAAATCACTCATTGTGTCTTGGTCGGAAAATATTTAAGACAGAATACTACATGGACAATTTAGTCAGCAAGCCCTCCGTAGTCTTTCTGATATCCCAGCCAGCTTATAAAGAGTAAGCCTAACCCAAAATAGGCCACTACCATTTCACTCGACATTCATCCTAATCAAAATTTATAACAATCTTAATATCTCTCCGAAGCTACGCAGTAAAATTTATGCAGCTGTGAAATTGAAAACATGGACTAAAACTTATGCAGTTGAAATAGCGTCGTTAAGTCACTCAACGTTCAAGAACGATTACGACGAGTCACTGACTTAGTAAGAAACCGGCTGAACACATTGTCGTGTTTCCTCCCACCACTCTTCATTGTGTATTTCCACGTGCCTTCCTTTTATCGTGCCCCTCATACTAATGTTTATTCTGATCTGTGACGATTCTTCAGTAGCTCCGTAAAGACATTTCTGAAACGTTGTTTCAGGTGCTATTTGATATGGTGTCCAACTGGCCATTTTTTCCAAATAAGAAATTTTCTAACGGTCTTCTCGAGGCCTTCTGTAAGAGAGGAACCATTACGCAGAAGATGTGTACAAACACACTCTTTCAAATAGGAGGGTTCAATTCGAACCAGCTGAACCAAGTAAGTGATGCTCTCTTCATATTTATTTGAAGCAAGTTCTTAATCATCGGCCACTTTACAGTAGATATAATTATTTAACTTGAAAGTTTAAATAGTTCGCTAAGCACATACAGCTAACTAATTATACAAATAATATGGAATACACCACTACACACGCACGTGAATCCGTTCACCTCATCTTCTTCTTAAACTCCTTTTTCTGCCAATTCAGGGATCGAGTCATGACCCTCTCGGAAACTGAAGGAATTGTACGCGTCATCTTCTTGCACGTCCAATGTCGCGTGTTCTAGTTGGATAACAAAAAATATATTTGCTTCGCAAACATTAAGGAGGCATTTTTCTAAATTATTATGCCATTTCCTTTTATATTCTTGTTTATCCTCCACCATTCTTTCTGTTCCTGTTTGTTTTCTTGTATCAGTATTTCTTAATTTATCCCTTCAGTTTGATACATGACAGTGGTCGCAGAAATCTCACTTCAGATGTGTAACTCTTCCCTATTTTATTCTTCACACTTTTTACAGTCCTACTTTAAGTCATCTGTGAAGCGACTTACTCGTCAAGAATGCGAGTTATGTTCACAGATCGCCGTCTGGCTAATCGGTAAGCAGAAGCTCCCAAGGTCTACAAACGGTGCTGGAGTGTAGCGTGAATGACAGGCCAGTGTGTGAAGTCGAAATATTTCGAAGTGATTCTCTTCACCGACGTGACTGACTTCATAGCATGAAGAACACCGCTGGGGAAATCACATCAGTCCAGGCATTGTCCGTCGAATTGTCGGATATTTGTAATTAGAGCTTTTTAAATCCATTATAGTTAAATTTATTGTATGATATTCTTACTATGTGTTGGACCATATAAATATTTATCGCTTCTTTTTTTTTTGACTGAAATAATATTTATGCTTAAGTTTATTCCATTCGTAATTATAGGAAAACTTTCTTTACAGAACAAAACAAGTAGAAATACTTCACCCCCCCCCCAATGGGACTATAACCTGTGATCCCATGTTCGATCGGTCCGAGGCTATATTCTCCTTAAGCGGGGGTGCCACGTTATTGGATTATGGCCTTTTTCATGAATTACGAACTGAATAAACATAAGCATAAGTATTATTTCAGTCCCTCAAGAAAAGCTACAAATATTTACATTGCCCAACATGCAGTAAGGATCTCGTATAATAAATTTAACTATAATGGATTTAAAAATATCTAATTAAAAGGTACTACAATTCGATGGACAATGTCTTCACATATATGATTTACCCAACGGTGTTCTCCATGCTATGAAGTCAATCGCGTCGGGAAAGAAAATTATACCATATTGACAGTTCTGAACGCCCTAGAGGACTTCACCGCATTCATTCACCGTGAAAGCTTGAAATTTTATACAAATTATTTCAATATTACAATCAAAACTACACGAAATGTCGTTAAGGCGTACCTCATGATGACTACTTTAAAAAAAGGCTTATACTAAAAATATCTCTAGTTTAAATTAAAATAGAAATATCTAAGCTGAAGGCGTTTAAATTTACACTAACAGTGTTGCTTTTGTGCACGTCTTGACAACAAATTTTATTCTTATTTTTCGAGCACTTGCTATTGCTTAAGGTGAATCCTGTACAAAACAGCGATTTTCTGCTTACTGTTCCAAATTCATGTTACGTAGATAACGCTCTTTCCATTTCAGACCATGCTACCCACAATCCTGCACTACTTTCCTGCTGGGTCTTCAATGAAAGCCTGGAGGCACTACGGCCAACTTATCAGTTCAGGTGAGGAGCAAACGTCGAAAATCACATCCATGTTATGTGATCCACCATCCCTAATTTATCAACTCTATACGACCTTTCAAGGTACTGAATGTAAGCTCCTTGAAAAAGGACCAAGTAGAGTCTCTTTACACCGCATGTAAGGTGACCTACAGAGAACGGACCATCAATGGCCATCACAGATGGGCAACGATATATCACAGTATTCTACGGCATACCTACACGTCTTTCTGAGAATCCCTTGCCATTAAATATGATAAAATAGTATTATTACAATAGTTTATCTATCACAACAGCGTTGCTATAATAAGACCCTATGAAATAATAAGAAAATATAGATAACTGTGTAAGATTTGAGGCTTTCACGGCGGTGACTATGAAGAAAGCAGTCTTCTGGGATTTGGCAACGTGTATATGTTGTGTTAACCGACGTTTCGGAGGGACTGCTTTTACCGGTTCTCACGGTCTCTTCGCTTGCGGATTTCTTATATTTTTCCTTCTACCCTGAAGATGGAGGCGATACGTTCCTCCGAAACGTCGGTTAACACCACATATACACAGTGCCAAATCCCAGAAGACTGCTTTCTTCATAGGTGTACTGGATTCAACGTTTCTTTGCTCGAAACAAAAATTGAGAAAGAATACGATGCTTTATATAGGAAAAATGACTGACAAGACTAGTTTTGTCTTTGTTTCGGAATAACAAGGTACAAATTAATTTCCTGCTAATGAAAATTATAGATGTTCTGGAGAAAGAACAATTAGGGAACTAATAATACCTGTAGAAGAAATTACCAGACAGCTCATGGCAAGGTTATTAAACAGAAGTCCTACATTTCGTTTAAAAGCCCTTTTACAATTCTGTACGACATAATTCAGCTGAAAATATCAGAAAGAAAGTTAAACCAAGAAAATGGTGATGCTGGGCCACTAAGGAACAAGGAAAGAAGTGTGTGTGTATGTGTTTGTGTGTGTGTGTGTGTGTGTGTGTGTGTGTGATGTCCCGGCGGAAGCGATAATGCTTTTCAGTATGTAAGACTGCTAGATTTGGTACAAATAATTCAAAACATAGCTACGATGAGCATTTTCTGTGGCACAGACAGCTTGTGACTGCAAGCGAACGCGTGCTTCAGTATCAAGATCAATATGTAAGACTTTCCGTTATCTGCAGGTAGCGGATTTAAGGCAGTCTGTTATGTACTGCAAACCGGTGCAATAAAACTTCCTCCGGCGATCAGCCTTGTCATTCTTAAGCTAAAATGGAACGTTCCAGAGACCTTCTCCATCATCAGGGTCGATGTGATGAATAACCACACGTAGCCGATATATGCGCGCAATGTATGCATACCGCACATCAGTCTGAGAATGCGATGCCTCGTGTGGTCATTCAGTACACCAACTTTGATGACGGAGGCGAAAATGATCTCTGACACGTTGCTCTTTACCTCAACACTCATTCTGATTGTCAGGTAAAATGTTAGTGCATTTATTCACCGTCAAAACTTCAACTATTGCATAAAATATATTTTCTGTTTCAGGTAGCTTCAGAGAATATGATTATGGATTTGCAAATATTTTCAAATATGGAAATTTATATCCACCAGATTACAATTTTGCTGTCATCATCACATTCGTCAGCCTAATCGTAGGTCCTAACGACTGGTTGGCATCCCCTGAGGTAAGCTGCAAAACGCTCTCGGAATGTCTCCTGAACAGCTTCACAATGTTCTAATGAGGCCAGGGTACAAAGGTTAAGCCGTCCCTGTAACAAGCCGTGAAGGCCCATAGTGGTGTGAGAGGTCAAGGTTCCCACATCTTCTAGACAGTCGGCTCACAGATGGCGGTGAGCTTGTCAGCCTTACGCAATGGCCGCGTAGTGCAAAATTTTGTATGCCGGGGAGGTCTGGCAGGAAACTGGAACCATGATCCAAAGTCGCTCTTGTTGTTGTGACTTTATACTTCTAAATGCAGAACTGAGCGATAAGACTTACAAAATGCGGAAACTTACAGACTGAAGGGAGCTGAAAATCTCAGTAGTAAAAAAAAAATCGTATAGTCCCTGGTTCTAGGCTCCTATACTGTCTGAACTGTGACGTCCCCAGTCAAAGCAGTTCCTTCTGTAAGTTCTATATGGAGGAGCTCTCTGCTAAGTTGTGCATAAAGACTCCATGAAGAAAAGTTCGGGTCTCTTTCGCCTCAACAGAAATATTGGAATTGGTGTGCTGAGCGGCTCCACACTCAGACACTCTGGCTCCAGTTACCATAACATTCGCTGATGGTGGAGACAGTAATAGTTTCAGAAACGTTCAAATGTATTCCATATTAAACGGCCGACTGCCCGAGGGGATTTCTCATTTGCTTGCAATAAAACCTTCAAATCTGACAGAAATGTCAGAAGTGAAGTTCTTGTATTTACTTCGTGTAAACAACACAGCAGGCCACGAATAAACACGGAAATACTAAGAATTTCCTTTCGCAAGATAGACAGGCGGCACAAGATCAGCCACCTCCAAGAATAACAATAGGAGAATTGACACGAACCTGTATGGTTTATAAATTTTAAGCTTGAACTAGAAAGTTTTTAAAAAACTTAAAAAGTTTTAACACCAGAAAGGCTGATGTGAATGTGAAAAGTTGAACACTGTGTACATTGTGCATTTCAGACATTATATGTGTATATATATAATTAACACCTATTGTAATAATATTTTCCGAAAAAGTATTGATGCCCTCTGAGGATGATCCGTAGGGATCGAAACATGTAAGGGTGATGAGTCTTCAAACGATAAAACTTGAATAGTCGCATTAGACGGTATTATTTTTGTCTTTGTGAAGTTCTTGTATTTCCACTGAATGGGAAATTTCTAATTATATAATTCTAGTCTTTTCTTTCAAATATTCGAATGAAAATAAATTTGTAATATTGAAGTAAATTTACCCATTTTTATAGAAAAACAAATGCTTTACATAACTGTTACTAACCGCCTTTAAAATCCATAATTCAATTTCCAGTATTTTGATATTTTCATTTACGGCTGTTTTTATCCTACTGCCTTGACAGTAACAAATTCTTCATGAAGTGTGACCACACAATGCATCGAATTCACACACACACACACACACACACACACATATGTGCCGGTCACAGTAGGCGTGTGGTCTAAAGCATGAATTGTCTTCGCTCGCTCGGACGCTGGGATCGTGGGTTCGAATCCCACTCAGGGAATGTATGTTTCGTGTGTGTGCGCGTTTATTCTGTATTTGTGTTGTCCTGTGTTTAGGTAGCGGCCTTGTGACGAGCTGATTACTCGCCCAAGGAGTCCTACCGTCTGTGAAAAATGATATGGCACTAAATAAGAGGCCTGGGCCCTGAATGGGGTGGAAGAGCACATACATATACGTGTATCGGCTACAAATGGTCATTCATAACTTCGACTCTGGTGATGGCACGGAGATGTATTTAACGTCGAACTTTAGTTCAACAATGGCAAAGAATCTTTACGTTGCACAGTATTGATCTACAGTTCTTGCTCTGCTTACCATAGAGGACTGCGTTGTATTTTTGAAGGCAAATAGGACTCGCGAGTTTTTCCTCAAGTTTCTTAATATTAATTTCGACTCACAAGATACAGAATGTCTGTCAGTGCCTTACAAAGTTGTTCGATGTTACAGGACGCGAGTCTGCTGCACCGGAAGCTGCCCAACTCGGAGTATCACGAAATTGCTCTTCCGGAATTCAACCACTTTGACTTCTTGTGGGCAATCGACGTGAAGACGTTGGTTAATGACAAAGTTTTAAGTCTTCTGGAAGTTGACCAGGATTATTAAGAATAACCTGCTACGTTTACTGTACGACTAAATAGTAATTATAGTAAGATCATACTGATTATAAGGCGATTCAGCACACAGTGTTTGTGAAATGTAAATAACGGAGTACATTTGTATGCCCTATATTCCATTTTTGCTCTTTGTTTTAATTCTTCGACGTTCTTAGTCGTTGCGAGTGTAAAACTGGCTTTACACATCAAGCGACCTGACATGCTTACAACTTACATCCAGTACATTGATCTGTGGAGGTTACATCCAAGCAGTGCTGAACAATGGCTGGGGTTTTGGTCCTTGTCCATCGTCGGTATTCTAAATAACTAGAGAACATAGCGTTTCGGAAACTAGATCTGTTTCCATCCTCATGTGAGAAGGGAATACACCTACTCAACTGAGTCCCTTAAAAAAAGCTAACCTCAATCACTGGCAACCCGTGTCAGTATAATTCTATCTATCTACCTACCTCCGTTCCTCCTACTTGGAGCATAGGGCATCCGCAAAACGCTCGTTTCACTTCAGTTTCTTAATTTTAGGCAGTCGGTAGTATTCCTTGAACGAAGGATCAGCCCGACAAAAGTCTGCTACCTATACAGGTCAACACAAACAGAATAAACGCAAACATCCATGCATTGAATGGGATTCGAACCCATGATCTCAGTGTTCGAGCGGTCGAAGACATTTCATGCCTTGGCGTGGCCACTGTGATCAAAGTGTCTATAATTACTGAGACCAGACTATGTTGAAGGGAGATAACAGGAAACTGTGAAATGAAAGTGTGATAAAGCATACACAGACCTGAAACTAAGATAGAAAGAGAGGTGAAAATGTTATGCAACAAGCACAGCCAACAAACCAAATGCAAAGGATTATGTATGTATGTATTATGGGAGGAGGTGGGTTTCCCCATGCACTTAGACCAGTTTTTGGTCCATTGTGCGTCCCCCTGTTAATTTCTACTGTCGCCATACCCTACCGGTAACGGTGCGTGCCATCAGCCCCCGTAGAGCCAATGAGGTCGGCCCCCGGTACCTTGATGCTTCCCTCGTCCACCAGAGGCATTGGAGACTACTTGGGTGGGAAAGGGCCTGTAATTTAGCTCAGAGGTCTCCTAAAGACATGAGGTTCTTTTACGTGCCGTAAATCTACGACACGGGACACACGGCTTAAAGTCCTCCCGGAGGACTTGTTCCTTGAATTTTTCCGCCCTTATAAATTCCACGACCTCCGCCGGGTTTGAACCCGCGTACCCTGAGTCATGAGGTGGGAACGTTACCCCTAGACTACGGAGGCCGCTATGCAAAGGATTAATTTGAGAATTTTGTGAAACCAGAAACCCATAAAGAATTTGTTAAATCATCTTGATCTATGTGAGTTGCTAACCTCATTGCTGCTGACAAGAGGGATCCAAATGGAGAAACGCCCAAACAGGGTTGGCTTATCGGATTAATTAAGCATGCCTAATGGGGCGATTTGTTCTATTTCCTATACCTGCCGTTACTTTCAATTTCCAAAATCCTAGCTTCATGCCAGCCTACACCCTGACTTTCATAGACATGCTGGGTTAATTTTTATTCTTCTAAAAGATTCGCTGTGAAACTGTGTTAATGTTCATGGAGCCGCACAGCTAGAGGTCTGCCTGTTTCGCCAAGTAGCTTCTGTCACATTTACAGAGAATGCTATAGACGCACTGTGCCATCTGTTGCGGATTTCTTTCCGACCTGGTTTTCGTGAGTGAACTCCTACGGGTGTGCTCAGTTTTGAAGATCAACCTAACGTTGTCTCGATTCCCTATACGTTTGAACTTCTCTCAGACGCTCTCTACACATGAGATATACAGACAGCCCAGATGTTTGTCGTTATTAGGACGGCCGTCATCTTGGAATTAGTAACCCTGTCAATGAAACCTTGGGGATAAACGTTGAGCTGGAGATCACATAAAAAAATACTTGCGTGACTTTAATCAGCAAGTGAATTATACCGACCGAGCGACCGCTCTTGTCGGCGAAGTTAGTGCCAACTTATGCGGATAGAGGGTGTCGCGTGGTCAGAGCAACGAATCCCCATGGCCGTTAACCTCGGTTTTCTAGACCGGGGGCGCTATTTCCTTGAAATAGCTCCTCAATTATCCCAACGAGGCCGAGTGGAGCTCGCTCCAGACCCACTACTCATAAAATCTGTTAGCGCCGGGAACCAAACCCAAGACCTCTGGGTCTGTAGCCAGGAATTCTGACAACTAGACCACAGAGGCGGTCGGAGCCGTATGAGTAGTGGCTGAAGCTACGGTACTGACCGCTCCCACTGTCTCCTAGTTAGGGATAAGATAAACCTCTGGCCACTTGGTGAAGTAGCCCACGGGAACCGATCGCTTCAGATTAATGCCGGGATAGAGTCTTTAAATAGGCCATGGCTCCTTCCTTCAAAAGATTATTTCCCATTTTTCACATATTAAACAATAGATCGTACGTAAATAAAATAAAGACTGAACGTTGCAATACTTTACAAAGAACTGCTAATTTAATTTTATCTTGTTAAAATCTCCCCTCTCCTTTTTATTTCTAAACTGAAAACATTAGTCTTGTAGAGGTACAAACATGAATCATAATTGGTATGCAGAGAATTAGTACTGTCCTAACGCTTACTGTACACATCCCCAAAACGCGGAAAGTGTCCAGTTGGTGCCTTCACTGGCTTGCGTGTGGGGAAAACGAATATTCGCGACTTTGCAAAGATTTGGGGGAGATCCTATAGATGATTCTCGCCTTCGGGCAGTACAGAGTAACAACATTAGCGAGGTCCAACCAAGAAGAGTTCCTGGAGTAGTGGGTGAACCATCTACCAAGCCATACCCACGGACGCTAGATACAAGACTTCGCCGAATATTCTACGTGGCCCCAGAGCTGAGTAGTGGCCAGTGCAAGGAACAGTAAGCACAGAGGCGAAGTTAAAGGAATTATCAGTTATTACAGGAACCAGGTCAGTGAGAGGCCTACTGCAGGGTGCTGTGTTAATGCTGAAATTGTAAATGTTGTAACTGATTGTCATTCTTAACCTTATTCACTACTCACGCGTATTTTTTCAAAGATAATATTAAATTTGTACGACCTATTCTGTAATGGTAATTATTTTGCGGGGACGAAACAGTGACAGAGCGTGTCAGTAGTCGATTGAGACTGCCTGAGTCACACGACAAATAAGGACATCAGTGAGGTCACACAACCTTGCTTGTCTCATTTCTTATCTCACATGAAATTAATGCATAAAATGAAACATTAATCTTACTAAGGTCAGATAAATGTATGAAAAACATTTCTATGAAAAAGTATAAAAAAAATCTGCGCCACATCCATACACCCTCTGTTCTCTAATATCCATTTTAATATAGCTCTCTCATCTANCTTCTTGGATGTGACGCCATACAGTTTGGTAGAAATTTACCGACACTTCGGAGGAAATATGTTTGTCTGCATGGCAAGTTTACTGACATTTCAGGGGAACGTACTGACACCATTTTCATGGTCGAAGTGTAAGCCAACCAGGCAAGCATATTTCCTCCGAAATGTCGGCATGTTTCCACCAGACTGTATGGCATCACATCTCAGAAGCTGACACTCTTCACTGACACCGCCATGAGAATCTCGCATCGCTGTCCGCGGGTTATTTAATGACGCTGTTCGGTATTGAAACTACACAGCGCCCGATGGTATGATTATAGAGGACTGAAGAAATTATAAAGATTTTGGTAGGGTCCGGTTATGGTCTAATTAAGGTACTGTTCCTGCATTTGCTTGGAGGAACTGAAGAAAACCAAGAAAATCGTCAGTCAGGGTGTCCCGGTCAAGATTCCCAAACCCAAGTCTAGGCCAGCCTATTCAGTCAAATTCAGTGTCATGTATGGGCTGTTTAGTACTCACAGAGAACCTCAAATAAACGAACATAAAGGACGATAATGTAGGTAACATGCAATGGAAACAGTTGGAATGCATGTGCTCTCCCCCTTCGCTTCAAGCTCTTGATAATTCAGCTTCTGGAACAATCGTACGAATTTCCGCTTTCGTCATTATTACTCATTTGACAACGGATGCTATTTGCCATACGTTGCCCACAAGGGACAGAGCGTACTTCCGCAGGACAGTAGCGCGCCATCTTGTCTCTGACTCATCGCTGTTGCATGTTGTGCATGTTCCGTCAGATAAACTTTTAAAAATATCCAAATGACTTAATCAGGGTCACCGAACAACAATACCTACTTACTTCAAATTGCATTAAGTCAATATTTCCTACTTGCAACATAACTCTGTAAGACTAACCCATCAAGTCCACGGAACAGAGATGTTCTTGTGAAACTCACAGAAGCTCAGGTAATCATTTTAACAAGAGGCCGACCTTGGTCCCCTTCCTGAGCCAAATGAATCTGCGCCACATCCATACACCCTCTGTTCTCTAATATCCATTTTAATATAGCTCTCTCATCTACGCCTATATCTTACGAGATATCGCTTCACTTCCGGTTTTCCGGCTAAAATTTTCCATGTATTTCTCTCCCCCATACGTGCTGCATATTCGGTCATTCCATCGCTCTTGGCATGAATATCCTAATATCATAAATGGATTATTTACTACAATTGCAAACCCAGGCTCATACGGCAACATGGTCATTTGGCCTAGGGAGCCCCAAATACACTTTTACTTAATTATAAAAATTATAATAAGTAAGTAACAATGTGTGAATCCTGTAAATTGTTACAATTACGTCAATTAAAATTTCTTCTTCTAAATTATAGAAAATCTTATTTTTAAAATGTTCATTAAACGTATTCATACAATTATTTGATTTTCGGAGTGGAGTGGGGGACCAACATTTGTGACGGTCCCAGGCTGCAGCTCACTTCTCTCAAAGCATTACTACTACTACTACCACTACTACTACTACTGTTGCCACCGCCGCCGCCGCCGCCGCCGCCGCCACCACNAATGCAAGGTTAGTTCATGCCGATTAATCCGTCCAAGTGCGGGTCTCAGTATTTCGTGATGTCCCTCGTTTATTCTGGGCCAACTTTCTCGTCGGCACGTTAAATACGTTCAATCTAAACAGCAAAATACAAAATACGGAAAACAATTGTAACCAAAGTTTACATACAACGGGAGACCCATCTGGATGGAAAACCAATGAGAAGATCACACAGACCAAACATAGGATGGAGCCGACAAGGATTAGTAAGGTTCAAACAGCACATTTAATAATAAATTAAAGTACGTATCTCTCTGGCTATAGATCCCAAAGTTTCAGTATCTCTAGCACGAAATGTAACTATCGGATCCTGCTCCGAATACATTAAGTACAAGGCCCTTACCTAAAGGCCTTTTATTTTCTTTTACATATCCAGAATAACATGTACAGTTCATTGTAACTCAGTATTTGTATACCAGTATAACGGTTTCCCATTTTAATACAGGTAAAATAATCACCAAGACATATGATATTAATGAGTCATATTCGAAGACGAGACATTCATTCAACACTTCTGCTCAAATCTAACCTTTACACCCTTCACATGAGATGATTCACATACTCAGTTTTACACCATTGAATGATAAGGGACTTTGTTCTTTATATCAACCAGTGGCTAGTCACCGCCGGCCGAAACTCAAGCTAAAATTAATACCGGATTAGATCACAGCCTATGAGTGGGGTACATGTTGATTACTGTATATAAATACTGAGCTTTGTCATCTAAACATGTTCACTTTTAGTAATCGGGCCTGAGTGATACAGTGTTACGTAGTCTTTACGATGAAATTTTCGGAATGGACACTATACTCGTATTTTTTAGTAACTTTATGTTCTCAACATATACCGGGCATACACGGAGATGATTCAGCCGTTAAGAAGTGGACTAGCAATGGACTGAAGTTGCAGCTCNGGACTGCTTTCTCTAATATTTATGCCTGGGAAATTTGACTGGAAATACGTTAATTCAAGGATTCATTTAAGGCTGTTTGTTATCAAGGGTTGGAGAGATCAGGTTCACTAAAATACCAACGATAACCACTGAACTGCAGCTGAAATCAGAATGGTAACTAAATTAAGGAATAATAATTGATATCGGTATCAAGATGGAAGTACGCGTACGTTGAACTATTCGTGAATTTGACAGTAGTGTTCACTATATGTTCACTGGACCTACTTCCGTGTTCTCTGCTATTCCGAGTAGAATAAACGAGCGGTGGTAATTTCCATCATTCGATATCAAATCGTGGTTTAACTTACTTCAATGTATCGAAGTCGACTCTCGATTTAAGGCGAGTAGGAGTATGGCTCGCGAGTCCGTCCCGGCGAGGAGACGGGCTGGGATTAATTTCACCACACACGGACGAATTTGGCTCATTGGAACCCGAGCCGAGTCGGACTCGCGAGCCAGACTCGTACGTGTATGGACCCCCTTAGACACTTCGANTCCGTCCGGTCGTGGTAAGCGGATTCATATTCAGCTCCAATGGCTGATATAGATTATGTCCGCATTTTGTGCTAGATGCCGAAACCCAACTAATTTATTAAATGTCTAAAGAGTTCGCTGTTTCAGATTAATTCTGAGCAGGCACAAACCAATGATAAATTTCGTAGATTTTTACGTAAATTATTGTAACCAGAATAATGTCGGTACAATTTAACAAAGCCAAATTTTAAATAAATATTTCTGTTTGGGGATAATATTAATTGTATTTTATATACATGTTTCAGTGACTAATATCTGATTGCTTTATTATACTTGCAGCCCTCTCTAATTCTTTCCAGGAAAATGTGTGGTGATCCACATAATTAGGTACATTATTACAATCTACTCGTACATAAAACCCATGGTAAAAAGTCGTCGAAAAGGCATTATACATACTTCATACTACATCTTCTTTACCATTTTCAACCATAAACATTCTTGGAATATTATTTCAGGAGTATTACACCCTGTATTACTAATTATGAATATAATTTCTTTTTAAATGAAGTGTGATTTCGAATATTTCGAATATAAGCCGCACCCCAGTTTTCCTCCTGAATTTTTGGCAAAAAATGTGCGGCCTATACATGCGTAAATACGGTAATTATGCATTGTTAAGGAAAAACCTCTACCATTGAATTATTATTGTTGCTACTTAAATTGTTTTCTTGTTTCCTTGTATTTTTCATTTCTTAATTTTATATTTTCCTTATTTGTTCGTCACTCATCATTACCGTTGTCTAAGTCGAATACTTCATCATCCGCGATAAGACAACCATAGACTTGTACTGGGGCCGAGTTATCTTGTACAAATTTCTTGTTTAGCCGGCGCCAATCATTCAGCACGGTTACCCTGCTGAGACGCACACCGTGGTTACAGATGACGGCTACATCCTCACCATGCATCGTATTCCTTATAGCCCCCTGTCGAACAGCACAGAGACAGCGAGGCCGGTCGTCTTCCTGCAGCATGGGCTCCTGTGCAGTTCTGTGGACTGGGTCATCATGGGACCAGGAAAATCACTAGGTAGAGCTCGATTACACTGTGATGGCACATTCACAGAAGACACTTCCGTGTATGGACGGAACGGACGAGTCCATCCCATATTATCTTAAAGTAGATGTGAGGGGTAGACATTTCAGTTCCCTGAAGAGGTCTTCTTTCCATTTGGAATGGCTCGTAACGGGCTTATACCCTCCGCTGTAATGTTTCCCCTTCACGCAGCTTTGTGCCATCACATAGCTAACGAGCTATGCAGACAAACAAGATAGACCAGGAGGCAGATTTGTCTTAATTTACTAGCATTAGAAGGCATTATCGCCGGTCACGGTAGCTGAGCGGTCTAAGGCATGTACTGTTTTCGCTCGCTTGGAAACCGGGATCGTGGGTTCGAATCCCACTCAGGGTATGGATGTTTAGTTTGTGTGTGTGCGTTTCTCTGTGTTTGTGTACAGGTAGAGGCCTTGCGACGAGCTAATCACCCGCCCAAGGAGTCCTACCGAATGTGTAAGATCTAGAAAAACCGAAGTGAACGGAGAAGTTCATGGAGGTAGGCCTAGGCCCACTGGGGCTGTAGTGCCAAGGGGGGAAAAAAGGCATTATCATTAACTACCTAATTAATTCCGTGNTTCCGTGGTACCGTGTACTTACAGAAAATTGAGAGTTCTGTGAGAGATCAGGAAATTCCGTACTTTTTTAGATAGCCTGAAATTTCGTCGTGTCAGAAAATACATGGTGATGACAAAAGCCTAATGATGTCGAAACATGCCAGTGTTTATTCAGCAACTTAACGTCTTTGAAATAAATAATTCACGTGGATGGAAAGATAATAAATAAGCCTGACATTACAGCTACCATAAGTTGACCACTTATACACACTCCTATAATTTCACAGAATACCAATGTTAACATCATCACAATTCTAGCAATTTGAAGTATCTCAATGAGAGAATACATCATCAACGTAAACTTCAAGTTAAGTCCCTGACCTTTCCAACTGAATCGAATTCCCTTAATTGGCATGTAAATTGTATGTCGGCGTACTTAAAAAATTGCCGTATAGTTTAGTAAAGGGCAACGTTTTGACTTTTATTCTATAGATATCCATCCCACGTTTTGCTTGGAAACCGAATGAGGTTTGTGAGGATTTCTTCCAGTCTTTCAAGAAGAGTTCCTGGGTACATGCTATGACTGTTTCCTTCCAAATCATTCCTACCCCCAGTTCTTCATCATAATCATAGATTATTTAATGTAATTTAACCTAAAATATATAATGATATATACCCTATTTGTAAATGATTTATGCAGCTTATTTACTGTCGGATGCTGGATATGACGTTTGGCTGGGAAACTCTCGAGGCAACGTCTACTCCTCTAAACACCAGAGTCTGTCTCCTTCGTCTTCAAAATTCTGGGCTTTCAGGTATGTAATTTCTGATCTCTGATCACTGTTCTCTAGGAAACCTAACCTGGTCTGCATACATTCCGGGATATAGTTCCTACTCTGTTAAAGGTGAAAGGTAAAGTTGTCTCTGTGCTTAACTAGTTAAGCACTTCGCCATAAACGCGTATGGGGGAGTGGATTTATAGATCCATATTTTCTTGACCTCGGTACTAGTTGGAAGTAAGTGGTCAGCTTCACGCCCCGGCTACTTTATCCTCGGGGAAAGAGCTCCGGATTCCCCTTGGATAGAAGTTTGGGTGGGCTCCAGATCCGGTCTCAACGACGTGGAGAAAATTCTTGGCTCTATAGGGACTCGAACTCTGATCCCTTAGTCGTCAAGCCAGTAGCCAGTCGCTTCCTACTTTGTTGCCTGAGTAAATCCAGTAATAATTGAATAAACAAAGGAACCGGTACCGATGCTTGCATTTGAATTGTGGGGAAGAGATACGTGAAGCTCATAATGTTGTACTTTAACATCCTGCTGCACTATTTTATGACTTGTATATACTGTATATACACAAACACAATCTTCAGTGCAGCTCCCTGTGGGGTTCTTGATTTAACCACACATGAGGATGGCTCTTGTCAGACCGAAACCATGTCGAATAGTAGTGGAATCGGGATATGAAATAAGAGGGTTTAAATCAGGAACCGCACACAAACCGGCACTGTAGACTGTGTTTGTGTACATATACACAAAGTTAAGTTCAGTAATGGCTTTCGAAAAAAGAAAAAAATAAGAAAAAAGAAAACGTAAAAGGTTGCAAGCCACAAATCTACATGAGAGAAATTAAGTTTAAATTATTGGTATGCATTCAACAGCTTTAATATTCTTGGAGCCTGCTACCACAGGGTAAACTCAGTTCCCACTGTGAAAACATAATCACCTGAACAAGTTGGGTCTATGGACATTTTCGTCCCTTTTGAATTTTAAATAAAGGTTGATATGCCGCTGTATTATCCCCGGTATAATAATCAAAGAACATATGAATGTGGAAAGAAATGGGGACTTGAAGAATTCTATCTTCTGGGATGACATCGTTAAGTTCGCTGAAAGTCGACCGACGTTTCGTAGGAACATTTCGCCTCTGCTTGCTACCTGCTTCACTCTGATTTCTTAGGCTTATTCTTCGAAATTGAAGGCGACATGTTCCTCCGACGCGTTGGTTGACCTTCAACGGACGACATGGAGTTTTATACTAAACGATCAACTATTCATAACAACCTCTGTGAGAATCTCGAAAATTATAACATGGATATTTTTCTATTTCGAGATTATTCAACATAAAATCTACACACAACATTTTAATACCTGCAGTCAGCGCCATGTTACTTTTATAACGTTACTTCCGCTTTATGACAATAACATTTCTTTGCTTGGACATGTGAATTACCAAACAAATGTAAAAGTTCTGAAACAGCGTTTGAGAATAGACCTTAAAGGATTCTGACGATGGTCAGTGATTGAGACTAGCTCTTTCTAAGGGGCCCAACTATCTTGCCCCACCCACCTGAGGACGGAGACAGATCCAGTCTCCGAAACGTTGTGGTTTTTGTCTTATATATACCAGACGATGGACAGAGTCCTTATAATTCTATACAGCGTTTGAATAGTTTATACGTGTGCAGTTGTATATAAGCGGTTAAAATATATTATTTCCTAATTAATTTTACTGGCTATTTTAAAATTGTTGTCATCATAAAGAAGACCTTCCGTAGGCAGCTACATGGGTACGGTTTTCCATCCATGATCAATACTAAACATAACCTAACAGAAAATGCATAGTGTTCTTTTCATATAATTTAAGATTCTTACAATAAGGAAATTTCAATAATATACAACTCTTCGTAAATGTTTGAAGTCCACGAATTCATAACTGGAGAACAAGTCTGTCTGTCTGTCTGTCTGTCCTTATATTTGATGGCTGTCAAAATTTGATATTAGAGGGTGAATTTAATTTTGGTTCCCAGAAGTCCAATATGTCCCATATCCTAACTGAAGGTATAATAAATTGTATTTAAAAAAAGAAAACAGCTCACCGTAAACATGAATGGTGCGTAACATACAACACAGATATGATTACACTGCATGTAGTGTGGCTGGCTTTGCAGTAATAAGTCGCTACGTAAAATAAATAAATCTCTGTTAATATATCAAAATCACAAAGAACACGTTTCGAAAATGAGTGTATGGTTACTTCATCGTAATGTATCTTTCTTCTCTTTGTGATCTTGATCGTGGATGGGCATGATATTCCCATGGCACGCTACTTTCACTAATTTTTTTAAATTAAAACTGTCAACATCTGCCAAAATCCCTCTTCCAAATGCCTACGCATAACATTGTATACTTACATATCAGTATAACAGACGAACGCCTGCTCGCATACGAATACATAACAACACATCTGACCAACCACTGCCCGTGCCGAACACTGAAAACTGTTTCTCCAAAATACTCCGAACCATCACGAACGCACCATGATATATATCCAACCACACCATACATACAGATCTAAAATCTCCTTACGTAACAGAAGTCATCCGAGAAAACAGCACCAAGTACTTCAACAAAATAGAAAATCACTCCAACCCACTTCTTCAACCACTACTACAACCTCATGAAAAACGAAGACTTCAAAGAAGTTGGCCATCAGATCTAACGAACTGAGGAAAACATCACTGGATGTTTATTCCGCACACGCCAGAAGAGTGTACAATAAATAGTTATTAAATTGTACACCAGTCAGCACATTGACATATAGATTGTACAATCTGATTGTCAGTAAAGGAGAGACAGAACAGAAAGTTGTCGGATGACTTAAGGCGATAAGACTGATCGACTCTATATGCAACCTTTTCCTTGTCGCCCTTACATGCAACCCCTTTCTCATCACCCCTTCGTCCTGCAGTCAACAGAACGATAACATCCTTCACTAGCGCTCACGTCGAAACCGGCAACTCTTAGCCAGGCGGTTATATGAATATCGCGGCAGGTTTCGTTTAAATTTATTCCAATTGCTCTCGTACTTAGGCACATTTTCGGGCCGCACCATAGCTCAAGCGGTTAGTTGCTGGCTCCCCACCGCGGCGGCCCGGGTTCGATCCCGGGTCTGGTCAAGAGGGGTTTTCAGGTCTCAATGCGACAGGACAGCATGGAAAATTAATTTTGTGGAATTTATTTGTGGTTATAAATCTAGCTGATTAAATGTGACATTCACTACATGTAACTTCGTCATCATGACCAGCGTCTTTTATGGGTTCGATTATCCTGCAGGTTTCGTTGTTACACTAATTCTGAGAATACTAACACTTTAGATACTGAATGGACCTCCGTGACTGGAACGTCGACCCTCTTAGTACTGTAACATGTAATTTTGAAAGGGGCTTGTGAGCAAGAATATTCAGTTTGGCTTTTGCCTAGTCCCTAACTACGTGGTACTGAACCCTTTTTTAGAAGCCTAAAGTCGCATAGCTACTGAAAAATTTCCCATTATTTTATGGAACCCGAAGGTTCATTGCCGTGTTTACAAGAGCCTCAACTGGTCTCTACCCTGAGCCAGATCAATTTAGTCCATACCGCCACAAACCACCTCTCTGAGATTCATTTTAATATTATCCTCCCGCTTACGTCTAGGTCTTCTTTGTGGTTTCTTTCCTCATGACTTTCCCACCAAAACAATATATGCATTCTTATTCTCCTCCGTGCGTGCTGCGTGTCCTGTCCATCCCACCTTCCTTGTCTTAATCATTCTGATTATACTTGGAGAAGAGTTCAAGTTACGAACCTCCTCATTATACAATTTTCTCCGGCCACTTACCAATTAATCCCTCTTCGGTACAAATATTCAACTCAGCACATTTTTTCTCAAATACCCTCAGCCCCTGTTCCTCCCTGAATGTCAGACACCAATTTCCATACCCAAACAAAAGCACAAGCAAAATTATAATTTTGTGTATTCTGATATGTATTGTTCCTTACAGCTGGCATGAAATGGGCGTGTATGACCTGCCCGCTGCAATAGACTATATATTACATTATACAGACCAAACGGATATGTACTACGTGGGTCACTCCATGGGTACCACCATGTTCTACGTTCTCATGTCCTTGAAACCAGAGTACAATGCCAAGATCCGCCACATGGTTGCACTGGCCCCTGTGGCATTTCTGCGGAACACGAAGTCTCTTTTCGCTGTAGCAACGAAGTACGCTCCCAAAGGGGTAAGTGCAGAACTCTGAGGTTCTCAGAAGTCACAAAAGCAACAGCACACATCTTAGGGAAATTCTATGGAATCTCAAGTACCCTTTTGTTTTCTGGACTGCTGGCTAGAAGTCATTATGCTTCCGGCAGGTCCTAGGACCAGCCATATCGACTCAGGTTTTCGTGGTTTCCCACGGTCTTTAAGCAAAATTTGAGATAACTCTCAATCTCAAGTTACTACACGTGCTTCTCAAGTAGTCCTCACGATTTAAATTAATCAAACTTAAGCCCCATTGCTGACAAAGTCATCAGAATTATTTTTCGGAAATATTCAGTTCGGCAATCTTCAGAAAATCAATATTCCGCGGCCCCTGTCTCAAGCCACTTCTTCAGATCTTTCTAACGTCTTCATCTCCACACTATTCTTGTCAAAATGATGAGGGGGAAAAGCCTGGAAACTTTACAAATAAGCAAAGCTCCTTCNTAAGCAAAGCTCCTTCTTCCCCCCCCCCAAGAGTCACCATGGAACTGGAGACTTGCAGAGATTTCAGCCACTTGAATAAGAAGACAGAACTGGACGTATGTTTCCATGTGTCTGCATTACATTGTATTCTTCAGTGTGGCTAAAGACCTTGTAATGCGTTGATTACCCTATAAGGTCACATACTGTCACGTGAATTAGTGACTAGAGCCGGATTTTGGATTGGTAATTGGATTTATTGTACACTTACAAATCGTAACTACAAGTAGCTATAGCGATATCGCTAATTCACGCACTCTGCAGTTCACTACAGCACGCACTAAGTATTCTCAATTTGCTGTATCTTCACCGGTTTTCGCCTGGTAATGGCTCCCAAAGTCATACCTCCCTCAGCTTCCATGTTCACGTCCTTACTGGCCTTCGACTCTCTCACAACTAATTAAAAGTTAGACCTGTCCTGCTAACAACATATCGGCACGGACTGCATAGAAAACACCTCTCCCTACAGAGTCATAATCAGAGTTATTTTACGACTGGCGGTTTACCTCCAGTCAGCTCGTCTTGGCGAAGAGTCCCTTGAGACTCAAGACCAGCAATTTCTTTTTTTCAACTGAATACTTGTTTTCGTAGCCCTTGCGTAACATCCTCTCTGGCAAGAGGATGCGTCTGTAGTTTACAATTACTGCGGGCGTAGAGCACATCGCTTTCTAGTCACTCCTATGGTGAGTGTTACGAAAATGTTGCGTTCATTACCTAGCAACGCCGTTGTTAAAGGATCATTACTTAGCAACGGGCCTATATGCTACAATATCAAATGCTGTAAGGGTAGGCTGCTTCAGAATTAATCCTAAACCGGGACAGTCCCTAGGCCAAAATCCGTGGTTTCCGAGTAAGAATAAACAGTTACTCGAGAAGGGACACGAGTACATAAAGAGGAAATTTACAATTTGTACTGTACAATTAACACCGATTTAATTATTAAACCAAAAGAGTCTCAAAATTTGAGACAATTGATTTCAAGGAAGGGGCGGGGGGGACACCCGGTAGCGTAGTTGGTTGAGGCACTATGCTACAGACCGGAAGGTCGNGCTCCGATGAGGTGGATTTTTTTTCAGTTTGCCTAATCCTTCAAGCCGCACTATGGGCCTGGGGTCGACCCAGCTTTTAACAGAAATGAGTACCAGGAATCTTCCTGAGGGCGAAGGGCGGCCGGCGCCTAAGGCTGACAGCCTCACCGCCATCCTGAGCCGATTGTCTAGAGAAAATATGGGAACCTCGACGTCTCACAACCATATGGGCCTTCAGGGCCTGTTACAGGGACAGCTTTACCTTTTTTGATCTCAAGGAAGAGTTCATTTAGAAGACTTAGGCATAGACAGGGGAATAACATTAAAGTGGATATGAATTTTTCGATTAAATTATCGTTCTGATTCTGAATAAATGTCAGTGGTAGGATTTTGTAAATACAATTATGAAATTTTGGGTTTCATGATGGTCGAGAATTTTTCTTTCCTCTAAATAATTTCAGCTTCCAGAGATCTTCTGGAGTTAGTAAGTCAGTTGACGCCTCTAGACGATCTCTGTGCTATCCTGTGGCCCGAATCTAGTAACCATGAACTACTGGAGAGATGATTTTTAACCTCAAGCAGAGAGCAAAAAATTTGACTTTTGGTCATTAGTTGAAGTGGGTACAGAATAGTTCACTGAGATCAAGATCGATACAACAGCTGTGAATGATCTATCTGCGTTACTTTTATATGTTTCAGCTGCTGACCGAATTAGTATATAATCGACCATTTTTTTCCAACACGAAATATGTCAATGGACCGTTACGAACGCTTTGCAAGACGGGAGCCATTACGCAGGGGCTCTGCACGAACATCATATTCCAAATTGGTGGTTTCAGCTCTAATCAAATTAATCAGGTAAGTGCCGTGAAAGCAAGAACAGCCAAGCAAAGACAGCGCCTAGAATTGTCGAAGAACATAGCCTAAGAAAACGCCGTCGCTTCCACGGCTAAGCAGCCGCTACCCGGTATGTTCACAAATTAAAGGCAAAATTATTTTTCCTCCCTCTACGTCATTCAGGCTTGTAGATGAGTCCAAACCACTTGGTACCCACTGTGTGCTAGGTGGTCCCCTATCTATCTATTTATTTATCTATCTATTTTCTGTTGCTCCCATTTGGAGCATAGGGTATCTGTGAAACGCTTCGTTCCACTTCAATTTCTTAATCTTAGACAGTTGGTAGGACTCCTTGGACGGGGCATCAGCCCGACGCAAGGCCGCTACCTCCACAGGGCAACACAGGCACAGAGTAAACGCAGACAGACGTCCGTGCCTTGAGAGGGATTCGAACCCACGATCCCAGTGCTGCAGCGGGCGAAGACATTTCATGCCTTAGACCGCGCGGTCACTATAATCCGCAGATGGTTCCACAGTCAAGAAAATATTCGGACGGACTGAACAGTTTATTCTAGAAACCCCACTGCTCTGCTTCCGCTCTGCCCTCCTGCGTGCATATTCTTTGCAGAAAATGAATCAAGCCCTGGCGTAATATATGCATAAGTGCTTAGTATAAATGAGTGCACAGTATTCGTTTACTGCGCCTAACACGAACTAACGAAGTGTCTCAAATTTGTTATCAGAACTCCATCTCCATATTCTGAAGGTCTTGGTTTTAATTCTAGGCTCAAGTGCCATTTATTTCGAGATCTTGTATGACTTTTCTAAAAAATGTTTCTTAGAATACTCACAATGCTTATATTCCAAAGCCTTTCCATTTCAAAATTAATCTTCCAGTCGGCTCTATACAACCTGCACAATGGAGAAAGCGTCATTAAATAAATTACGAAGGATACATAAATCTTCTATCATCTGTAGTCCCTTCTGTGTCACTGAACTCTGTTTATAGGCTATTTAAAAAGTAAGTAAGTAAACGTATCCCTGTAACAGGCCGCGGAGGCCCATAGGGCTGTGAGATGTTGAGGCTCCCACATTTTCCAGAAAATCGGCTCACAGATAGCGGCGAGATTGTCAGCCTTACGCTCCGGCGGTCCTTTACCCCCAAGAATATTCCTGCTACTCATTTCTGTTAGAGAATGAGTCGACCCCGGGACCATAGTGCGGCTGGAAGGATTAGGTCAATTGAAAAATCCACCTCATCAGGATTCGATCTCGCGACCTTCAGGCTTGTAGCATAGTGTTTCAACCAACTACGCTACTGCGTGCCCCTTATAGGCTACTTATAGTTACCGAAATATTATACAGCCCTATAGCTCATTGTATGTTCTAATTTTTAATAAATTCATTTTTTTACGATAAAATTGTAGGGTGCCGCCTACGGCCAGAATATTTGGAATCAGAACGCATCCATTGCTATACAATGGCTAGCAATTCCTAGGCAGCGAAACCTATGAAATCGTTGCCCCGCAAATGAAAGTCTAACCGTGGAGTTTCGACCATTACAAACGAATTGTTTGAGGCAGACGTTCATTGAGTAGCAGCGGGCGAAATTAACCCTTCGACAAAGTATTCCCTATTCAGTCCGAGGGTATATTATAAGAGTTCAACGTCGGACAGAGACCAGCATACCGGTCCGCAGAACACCTACATAAGCCGAGAGCTACGGCTGGAACCTAGTCGAGTATACCCCGTGTGGAGGCGGGGTCGAATACCTCCACCGTGACCCTGCGAGTCGTAGGAGGCGACGAAAAGGGAAGTCTCAATTCTGAGACAGTAAAATATGGTCGCAAGTCCCAAGGGACTAGGACCCAAGAAACACTGCGCTGGCAAGGGCCAGCAGCATATACAAAAGCCAGACCCATCCTCTCGTCAGAGAGGGCGCCCCACAGAATCAAGACGGTAACAGTCGAGGAGCAATAAATATCTTGTCATGAGTCCCAGGAGGGTGCTCGATACCAAGACTTACTGACTGACTGATCGTCAGTCGCAATATGACTCTGACTTTGACTTGAGACCAGCATAGTCTGTATTCGACTTTAGCATGAATGAGTTCGTATCCGACAAGGGACCAAGGACAATTGAGCTCCGAGCCGAGCAGAAGACACTTCACCCAGAATAGCGGTGCGAGAAATGTTGTAACACTGGAGAAGAAACGTTTAAAGGACGTTATAAGCGGAGAATAACTGAAAATATGAATGAAAAATGGATTGTCCAATAAAGATTCCTTCAAATCCGAGAACCCACGCAGTTTCTCGTCGCGTTGCTAGCAAACACGCGACAATATTACGGACTATGTAACTCTTCTGTGGATTACAGTTCTAAACATTGCCCGGTATTTCGTACAGTATCTCAATTAGACGTGTAGTCTGCAAGGTGTATACACAGTACATGCATATATACATAGATACGACGGGTCTGCTGTAAGAGACCAAAAACAGGATGCTCCACCCTTGGTGCTACGGTTTCAAACCTGCCAGGATCCCTAAATTACAGTTCAGTACCCAAAAACATTAGGCTATAGATAGGCCTACCCTAGCTTTACTGAATCATCTGCCTAATGCACTCAGACAAAACAGAGTCGATAAGCTTAAGTTTTATGTGTGTTTGCTTGCATAAACTTGCGCGAGGGAACCTATGAATATATAAGAGAGAGCACCCTTCAACTCGCGGTCTTTACTTAAAATCATAACAATTAAATTCCTTACTTATTAGGAAAACCTTATGATATATATTCGGTTGATCAAAGTTCTATTATTACTGACGTAGCGATGCATATTTATCGGTTTATGCAGAATGTAACTGAAAGGTGCAGACAAATTTTGTCATGAGTTCCACGCACCAAAACAAGAAAAATTATCCCCATCAGCATGTGTCCGAAAACAATTTTGTTTATAGGTGAAAGAACATTGTCGTGGCCTCTGCAACTGCCATTCACTCTAGCCGCGCTGTGCGCGCTGTTCTCAGTAACACTATCACGATCGGGACAGGTAGAGAAGCACCCACTCCGTGCCCTCCAAGCTCGTGGGATTTCAATCCTTTCGATTTTTACCTCTTGGGACACCTAAAGCCCGTTGTGTATGCAGCTCCTGTTGACAACGAAGGGACGCTTCACCATCGCATTTTGGATGCCTGTCAGACTATCCGAATCTAACCCAGCGTCTTTGAACGGATACGGTAGTCAATGTCGGGACATGTCGAAGCGTGCATTGAATCTCATGGAGGACATTTTGATCACATGTAACTCTTTCAGCTGTAACTCTGAAATTAAATGTTTCCGGATACATGTTGAAATGGGGCATATTTTCTAGTTTAGGTATGTGGAACTCGTGCCCAAAATCTGTCCTCAGCTTTTAGTTACATCAAGGTATGGAAAAAAAAAGAGTAAACTAAAGAAGATGTATTGTAAAGAGGAAACCATCTCGCCACTCGGTGGCTTAAGTTCCACATTTTGTTCGTGTTGGTCTCAACGTCCATGCACACGCCTTCACCTTGAACCACTAGCAATGGTAGCGACGGTTCTGGTTATTGCATGGAGATTCAACACCAAATTACATCACCGTTAAGAAGTCTGGTGGACGCCCATGACAAACTGGAAATATCAGTACCTGCCAGGTCGTCGAAGGACGTCCAACGAAGACGATGAGCGCATTAGACAAGCGGTTCTGCTTAGGCCGTTTGCGCTCTCACAGCGTGCAGGCAAGGGCAGCTTCCCCACTCCACAGTTCATGACGTACAGAAACTTCTTACGTGCGTACAAATTGCGTCTTTGGCAGCACACCAAACCAGCCGACGCTGGCTGTAGGAGGAGAACTAGATACGCTGCAGAAATTTCGCAGCGATGAGACTTTCCGGGAATCTGCGTGTCTTTATGATGGGTCAACATTCCAGTTGAACAGTATCGTGGACAGACATAGCTGCAGGATTTGGGGTAGTCAGCCACCACAATAAATTATGGAACATGAAGTGGGAGACACGGAAGTTTACCGTGTGGCGTGACATGATGGCATATCCCGTCACTGGAATGCTTTATTTCAGGAAGGAACCGTGAAAAGTCATTCGTACCTGGACATGTTAGAAAACTACACAGTGCCACAGTTGTCTTGTGATGCAACAGGATACAGCCCCCAAACCTCCCACAGTTCTGGAACACTGTCCGTCAGTTTTTAAACGAATCCTTTCCGAACAACTGGGTTTAATAACTAAGTCTTCTTGTCGCGGGTCAAAACGGTCGAATATTGAAGCCACCTTGCATCATCTCATTTAGAGTTTGACGATGCTTAGAGCCTTACGCCTCTGTACCTTTACATTCATGTGATGGAGTTGGTTCACAGATATAACTGTACTTCACACTTAAACAACTTAATGTCATATACCAAAAGACAGCGTAAATAATTACAATATATGATTTAGGCTACATACATGCAACTATTGCCTGGTCTGCCTTCTCTCAGAAATGTCGTACCAAGGACTGATAAGAACACTTCATACTTTTGAAAATACAAAATATCTAAACGTTTGTGACGATGGTGTATTAGTACAATTATTGTATTTCTGAATATTACCCATCCTCGTGTTTTTATTTAAAGCATACAATGTTTCGGAGACTGAATTCTGTCTCCGTCTTCAAGTGGAATATACTCAGTTGAGTTAAATTGATAGAGCTAGTCCCTCTCTCTAGCTCTATCGATTGAACCCAACTGAGCAGGTTCCACCTGAAGACGGAGGCAGAATCCAGTGTCCGAAATATTGTGTTTTAAACAACAACAGGATGGCGGATAATGCCCAGAAACACACGAAATATACTTTCAAATATATTTATCTTTCTTGTAATATTAAAAAAACGCCTATGCAGACTTCATCCACAAGGACTGGTTAGATGACAGGTCTGTTACATTCATGTCGATGAGAATGCAATTTAATTACGTCACTAATATTTGCAGATAAAGTGGAAACTTCTATTTCACATTCAAGTGTGTTCAAATCAGAAATATTTTCCGAGCAGGATATATTTAACATTCGCTTGCATTCAGCTGAAGTACGTATGCACGTATCTTCTGGTTCTTTCCACGTTCATTCTGAAACGTGAGGCTTGTGGAATTCATAATCCAAATACGGTACTGCCCTTGTCTATTAAACAGACAGAGGTGTTCAGCCGCCAAATAATTCTGCTTTCCGAACCAAGGAATTCCAGCTGTACGTCAGTGAGTTGAGGATTATGTAGAGACGTAACTGAGAACCTTGACTGCAGCTCCGTCACTCTCCCTTCAAATAAGGTTAAGATAGTAATTTAGGAAAAACACCCAATGTTAAGAAATGTCAAACAGCCTCTGCTCTTCAAGGAATCTCACACATATGCCCTTCAGTCTGCTAGCCACACTCACCACGAAATTTAAACGAAGGCCATGGAAATTCTCCACGAGTCCTATTTACACAACTATGACAGCCTCAAACTTAATGCGTTAGAGACACAACTTTATTTTCGATCGCCAAACAGTTTGGTGAATATAACTTTTAAGTGAATACTGACGGCCAATATTACTGACAATCTTGTGGTCTGTCACTCTAAAGCAATTCTGCAGAAATAGGCCACTCCTTTTTGCTCAAAGTAATTAACAGAATGCTATACATCAGTTGCCTAAGAGATCACAGTTCTTCACAGCAAGAAACGGAGTGTGGAAATTGTTATGCTGTAACAGGTACATGTAAGAACATTGGGAGTTATATTCATGTTTTGTAATACAAGAAAAAACCGGTTAGTCTCTACATGGCAAGCAAATAGCATAACCCATATATTTCTTTTGCAGACTATGTTGCCGATAATTTTCACCTACTTTCCTGCGGGGTCTTCTTTAAAAGCTTGGGCACACTATGGACAACTCATGAGGTCAGGTACGTGCGACTAAATTTAGATTCTTCGAAAATATCTTAACGGTTTTATTCAACGCGTTGCCAGGCAACGGCTCTGTAAACACTGTCCGACACGCAATAATAGATGAGGATGTATTTTTCCGTCTTCGCGGTGACGTCACGAAGCAGTGGGTGGTGGTCATGTGACATATGTTTCCTGTGATGCGTGTCCGTTCCTCGGCTATATAAGTGACAGAATTCGTTCAGTTCAGGGACGAGTCAGTTCTCGGTAGGATAGAGCCACGGGAAGTTCATAGTTGAAGTATACAAGAAGCCAGGCTGTGAAGATTTAACGTGTAATTTGGAGACTTTATATGTGCTGTAGCACAGTGATATTGCGAGTGTGTGATTTAGTGAAACTTTTATAGTTCCTCTGTTATAACTCCATGAGGACTGATGCAGATAGACTGATAAGATTAGTATGAAGTGATGTAAATTGTATAAATCAGCAATATTGTTATAATTATTTGTAGTTACGACCTGTAACTATCCAATAAATCCAACTACCAATCTAAACCAGCTTCTTAGTCACAGTGACACGTGACAATATCTTTTGCATGCATATTTACACTGAAAAAAGACATTATGGAAGGTATAATGATTGTGAATTTGGGATTTACAAATATTTATAAGCCTCACATTCATGATCTAACTTAGTATAAAATTCGCAGCAATATGAGTTGACAGCCACGATAAGTGAATCACTGCGGTCTAATAAGTTCCAAGTTTGCGGAAAGGGCAGGAGGTCTCCTCATGTGGCAAACGGGATATCCTATGTGAATTTGTATTTCTCGCGAAGGAAAGTCAGGACTTCACATACTCGTGTATGCTAAATATCCTACCCATCAAATTCTCTTCGATTTCATCACTCTAATGGTAGGCGATGGGACAGGGACCAGTGGAAGGCTCTTGTGAACATGGTAATGAAACTTCGGGCTCCATTGCTGGGAAGGTATGCTGCACAACTGGCAGATTCTCGTGAAGGGCTCAACTCCATGAGTGAGTGAGACGCAGTCGTGTATTTGGCAACTGTCTGTTTGCTATTACCCACCACGGCCTTAACAAAAAAATCCAAATATATTATGAAATTTACTTTGTAGAGCGACTAGCTACTGGCTGGACGACCGAGGGGTCGGAGTCCCCATAGGGTCAAGAACTTTCTCTTCTCTACGCCGTCCAGACTGGTTCTGGGACTCTCCCAGCCTCCTATCCAATGGGTACCGGGGGGCTCTCTCCAGGGGTAAGCTGCCTGAGCGTGAATCTGACCATTCACCTCCAGCTACTGCCGAACAGTATGTGATGAAGAGCACAAATTACGATCCCCGTGTGGCCGCCCTTTTTCTTCTGTTGCAGCTTTCGCTCAGGGGTTCAGTGCTTTAGTCTAGCTTAGGAACTGCTTGGTAACGAGGTTGAGTGTCGACAAGGACTCATGACAAGTCCCACACATTTCCCTCGGGCTTAAAAGTAAAGTAGCCTAAATGGGACAAACTCCATCCTCTTTGCATTTTATGAGAATGTTAAACGAAGTGAGTAATTGTTGTCATATTCACAAAAAGAAATTTCTGACTGATATTCATTATTGTTTTTAATGATTCTAAGAGGCCATAAAATATACAGAACGTTGATCATCTAATAGTTTGATGAACAACGCAGGCTTTCAGGATGAAAATACTGCTTTCGTGCAGCCATTCCTACTTGCCGCTCAGCTTTATCCTCAGGATGCTGAGTGATTTTTTCTATGTAATGATTTTCGAAAGTTTCGACAGACTTTCATGTAACCCAGACGTCACTATTACGTCATATTCTTTTGGTCATGTAATATTTTGATTTCGAAGCACAATTTTGTGACATTCAGTAGAGGAGCCCGAAAATAGTACGAAAGTTACTAGTCCTCATAAACACATATAATTAATGTTAGATGACTTTTCTCTAAACTGAACAAAACTCAATGCAGAAATAGCTCGAAATATGAATAGTTCTATCTCTTTGGAAATAACGCCATGAAGCCCGATGAAAATCAATAGAAGATTCGGAGGAACATATCCCCTCCATTTTCAGTGTCGAAAAAATTATTATTTATAATTGATCATTAATAATGTAGGTACCATAAAGAAAAACACGCAGACCCTAATTGACGCAAGTAAGGAGGTTGGTCTAGAAGTAAATATAGAGAAAACTAAGTATACGATTGTTACTGTCTCGTCACCAGAATGCAGGGAAGTATCAGGACATAAGGATAGGTAGCAGATAGGCCAATCAGTGGCCGCCGTGCCGAGTGGACCCAGTTGGACTCCCCCCCCCCTTAAACGAATTAAAAAAATTAGGTAGCAGATGTTTTGAAAACATGACATGAACTCGGGTAATGCTTGCTACCATTCAGTCTGGGACCTTTTGTCTTCTCGTCTGCTGTCTAAAAAACAAAAATTAGAATATACAAAACTATAATTATGCCTGTGGCTCTGTATGGGTGTGAAACCTGATCTCTGATATTAAGGGAGGAACACAGACTGAGGGAGTATGAGAACAGGGTGTTGAGAGTATTTGGACCGAAGAGAGATGAAGTGACAGGAGTTCCGAGAAAACTGCATAATGAGGAGCTTCATAACTTGTACTCTTCTCCAAGTATAATTAGAATGATCAAGTCAAGGAGGATGAGGTGGGCAGTGCATGTAGCACGAATAGTTGGAGAAAAATGCATATAGGATATTGGTGGGAAAGCCGGAAGGAAAGAGGCAACTGGGAAGACCAAGGCGTAGGCGGGTGGACAATATTAAAATGAATCTCAGAGAGATAGGATGGGATGATTTGGATTGGATGTATCTGACTCAGGATAGGGACCAGTGGATGGCTCTTGTGAACACGGTAATGAACCTTCGGGTTCCATAAAATGCTGGGAAATTCTTGAGTAGCTGCACAATTGGCAGTTTCTCAAGAAGGGCTCAGCTCCGTGAGTGAATAAATTGATCAGTTATTGTAACTGAGCACATTTGATGAGCTGAAAGATTACAAACACGTCTAGAGATATTTATGAAATATTTTATTTTGGAAAGTGTGTACTAACAATTAAACAGTGAGAGCATTAGAGTTCACACCTGCATGGCCCTTTCGCATTTCGTGCAAACGACTTGTTTACAATCGCTCAAAACGATATTTCGTTCCAGGCTTCTTCAGGCAGTACGACTATGGATTCTTGAGGAATTTATTGAAGTATGGAAACACGAAGCCTCCAGACTACAATTTTGCTGTGATCACTTCGCCCGTCAGCCTGATTGTTGGTCAAAATGACTGGTTAGCGACGCCAGAGGTGAGTGAATCTTTTAGTGCATCATCACTTGCCCTGGTATTGGTTATAAAGGCGGTCAAACTTTCGGTAAGATAGATAATTTTAATACGGTTACAATGTATAGCGGCCTCAGAATTGGATATAAGCTACGGAAGTAAGAAAATTAAAAGAATTGAAAGTACTGTTTTATGAATAACCTTTACATTCCTGCATATCAGATAGTTTTCAAACTATTGTTCTAGCTTGTAGTGTCTCATGTAGGATATCTAATGGACAATAAGAGGGCTAATTTTCTTAGAGAAATCACCATTTCTCACACTAGAAAGCAACAACCGCTCCTATTTCCGAACACAAAAGAGTAGGTCTCCTGGGCACTGTACACAGATCGGGTTCACAAGCGGAAATCATAATGTAAGTTACATTCACATCAACAGTGAGCAATTATGATTCATCATAGAAGTTTTAAATTCCTGCTGGCACCCAAAAACCCTTCAAAGTAACCAAAGTGCTAGTGAGGATATGGCCGGCGTTCTCTGTCTTGCGACAAGGCAAAAAATAGTAAGAAATATTTCAATGCTCTTGCCACGTCGTGATACTAACTGTACAGGCAACAGTATCTTCGTGTCAAGTATACAGTTTTTCGCACTTGACGATTTATTCATTCATTCATCAGTAATCTGTCAGACGACAGGTCCACAGTCTCTTCCAAAACAGTTCCTCCACTTAATGCGATCTAGAGCTTTCTCCTTCAAATGAGAATATCCTCTTCTGTCCCCAAGGTCATCCAGCATCTTCTTACGTCTTCTTCCTCGTCTTCTGGTCACTTCTATCTGCCCCTTTGTCTTTCCTTCAATAACTTCTTTTAGAAGGCAGTTTCTGCGTAAAACATGACCAATCCAATTAGCCTTCCGTTTTCTTATTTCGTGTAGGATATTCCTCTGCTCACTGACTCTAATTAACACTTCTTCATTTCTCACATAATCGGTCCAACTGATCTTCTCCATCCTTCTCCAACACCACATTTCGAAGCTTTCCAGGTGTTTCTGATCTACTGCCCTAAGTGCCCAAGTTTCAGCTCCATACAAAGCTATGCTCCAAATGTAGCATTTCATTAGTTTCTTTCTCAAATTTAAGTCCAATTTGCTGGTAAAAAGATTCTTCTTCTTGCTAAATGCAGCTTTTGCCAAGGCATTTCTAGATTTAATTTCACAAGTACATATTACCTACAATTAGGCTATATCCAAAGCAAATATTACCTTATGGGCACACTTGTTTTCAACACTGCCTGTACTCTGCCAGCAGTCTGTCGGTTTTTGCTATCACTCGGAAAATTTTTATCAACTCGCCTACTTTCAAAAACAAAATAGTAATTTTGTCACTTGGTCTTTATGGTGTAAACTCTCATCTTTTGCTTTGAGAGAAGAGTACAAATTACAAACTCGTGAAAACAGACTTCTCTGAATAATATCTGTACATAAGAAGGATGAAGTTGAAGTAGATACATCGACTTCGTCACATGTACAGGTCACCTGGTGTTACTAAATCCACGAAGCTACGATGGGGCTGTATGGGGCTGGATGGGGCTAGATGGGGCTAGATGGTGTTGGATGGGGCTGGATGGAGCTAGATGGGGCTGGATGGGGCTAAAATGGAGGAGACAGGAAATGTTTAAAATTTTGGCGGGAAAATTATTTTGAAACTTCATTTGAAGGACTATCAAGGAGATGGAAGGCTAACATTAAAATTAATCTTGGACAAATACGCTCTAATGGTTGAGAAGTGGATGGAACTGATTCATGCCCCTGTTCAATTGTAGTCTTCAGCATTAGAAGCGGGGAGCTTGCGGTTTCTGCTACCACAGTGCAGTCATAGAAATCCTAACCAAATAAACACAGGACTTTAAATATTCCGCTATTAATCGGGTCACGCCGATTATAAATAAAAAAGAGCCGTTTTTAGAGTACAGTTTGGGATGTAGCACGTAGTCGTTCCATGTCTATGCAATACACAGCTAACAAAAATATTTGCTGAAAGCTTATAATGGATATCTTTGGACCGCTATGCAACTTAAGTAAAGTTACCATAACGGCGTATAAGATGCACTTGAGACGCTGATACACGGGACTACACCTCACCTCGGTACCCACTGGACGGAAGAATGGTGGCCCATTCTGAACAAGACAGTGAGCAGAAGACTGACCGTCGCTGTCTATAATCCAACTCTTATCATCTAGTCCTTAACCAGTCACTCTTCTCAGTTATCATACTCGTAGCCTTATTACATACTTACTTACACATGGAGCTGAGCCCTTCTGGAGGAGCCGCCAATTCTGCAGCTACTCAAGAATTTCCCAGCATTTTATGGAACCCGAAGGTTCATTACCGTGTTCACAAGAGCCCTCCACTGGGTCCTATCCTGAGCCACATCAATCCAATCCATACCATCCCATCCTATCTCTCTAAGACCCATTCTAATATTGTTCACCCACCTACGTCTTGGTCTTCCTTGTGGTCTCTTTCCTTCTGGCTTTCCCACCAATATCCTATACACATTCCTCGTCTCTCCATTCATGCTACATGACCTGCCCACCTCATCCTCCTTGACTTGATCATTCTAATTATACTTGGAGAAGAGTACACGTTATGAAGCTCCTTATTATGCAGTTTTCTCCAACTTCCTGTCACTTCATCTCTCTTCGGTCCAAATATTCTCCTCAACACCCTGTTCTCAAACACCCTCAGTCTATGTTCCTCCCTTAATGCCAGAGACCAAGTTCCACACCCATACAGAACCACAGGGAAAATTATAGTTTTGTATTATTACAAGACTTTATTGTGCCATCTACGGCCTATATTTTAATATGACCCAAGATATTAAAACGAATGCTTTGAGCGTTAAAGACTTGGTGATTCAGTACAAGACCCTGTGGAGACAGAGAGAGGATATTGTCGCTTCCAGTCCAAAATTTTGGATATTGGTACAATAAACCAGTCCCTTCTTCTACGAATTTAATAATAGTTATAACAACTTACATGTGCAACTGATATAAGTGTCTTCACTGAATTTTAGAAGGCTCGATGAAATGGAGAGGCAATATCAAAATTGTGTAACGTGTATTTCCCGTGTTTCAGGATGCCGGTCTCCTGCGTCAGAGCCTACCAGGCCCAGTTACATACTCCACGGTAAAACACAGTGACTTCAATCACTTTGACTTCCTGTGGGCCATTGACGTGAAGACACTAGTAAATGAAAATGTGGTAGATATTTTGAAGGTCGGTCTAGGTAAAGAAATGAGCTACTGAGAGCACGCCAGTTTAAACGTTAGTCTCATATGAACATTGGTTTTCCACTCCGTACCGCACTTTTTATTTGCTTTGTACACGCGAAATAATTATTAATATTAAATTCACATTATGTTATCAGAGTTCTTCATTTGATTATTTGCCTCCATAAAGCATATTCCTTTCTGAGAACCTAACAGATCTCTGCATATTATGAAGATTGATTTGTGTGTCCATTAGAGACTGCAATGGAACCCTATCTTGATCCATCTGAATCTAGCCCACACCCTCACATCCTGTTTCTCTGAGATCAACTTGAAATCTCTTATCCGCCAATCTATGTCTAAGCGTCCAAAATGGCAGCTTCCCTTCGTGGTTTAAAACTAAATTTCTATACGAGTTTCTTATCTCTGCCGTGCATGGTACATGCCCCGCCCAACCAATCCTACCTCATTTGATCACTGCAGTAATATATGGTGAAGAGTACAAATTATTAAGTTCGTCGTAATGGAATCATATTCAATCTCCTGCTCCTTTTCAGACATTTTCTCTTCATGTAATTTTTGTTTTCATTGGCGCTACAGCCCTCGTTTGGGCCTAGGCCTACCTCCATGAAACCCTTACGTTTCACTTCGGCTTACTAGATCTTAGACATACGGTAGGACTCCTTGGGCGGGTGATCAGTTCGTCGCAAGGCCTCTACCTGTACACAAACACAGAAAAACGCACACAAATATCCATGCCTTGAGTGGAATTCGAACCCACGATCCCGTCTTCCGAGCGAGCGAAGACAGTGCATGCATTAGACCGCTCGGCTACCGTGACCGGCCATCATGTAATTAGAAACAAAAATACCCATGAATGTTTAGAAGGCAGATCATGTACAGGTGCAATGCAAACAAGAAAGCGGTAGTCACGATTGCTACATACAGTTCAAACTCTTCTTTAATGCAAAAAAGAACGCTTTATTTGCTGTGATTCGTGTGTTTTGTGTTCTACAAGAAGTTCTAGGAAAGAATTTCTAAACCTGTTTTCCTTCTAATGTGCCATTATAATAGTGAGGCTAACAAGAAATACAAGAAAATTACACAATTCAATGATTAATTTCCATTTGCACGGACTCTGACCATGTTAAATTGTGGGGATGTACCCACAAGGCGTAACATCGTTTGTGGCTATTTACGTATGAATAATACTGAGTTTGTTTCTGTGTTTGTGAAATATCTCTGCATAAAATTTGGTATGCTAAGCTCCAATGGATAATCAGTTATCGCCATCAAACAGAAAACTAAATTTACAATTTGTGCGACAGCCATGTTACACTTAAAGCGAAAAATTAGTAGAAGTTGCACAATTGTTGTACGTTTCGCTGATGTATCAACTGCCACACTCTTAAAAACAGTGGCGCTCGCATCATTACCCATCAGATATTCACAGAGCCGATGTTTTCGTATTGTGGCCTGTAAACCCGTTGCTAGTCAACGACAGCGAAAGAAGCAACTGTACAATAGCCGTTGATATGTAACGGTTCCGCAAACAAGCATATTTCTACGGTAACAAGAGAGTGCAGCAATAATAGAAGAAAAGTTTTCTACGCGATCCGTGCCTAGATGATATAAGCAGGAACACTTAGCTGTTGCAGTTAGAAACCGAAGCTGTAAGGCTGCCTCCGCAATCAATTTTAACTCGCAATTTCTCCGAGCCTCTCAGAACTACTGATATGGACGCGGAGACTACTGAAACAGAGAAACCACTATCGGAGCAGCAGGCTCCCAGAAAACAAAGGTAGACTCTCACAAAAAATGATGACTTTACTACGAACCTCATTCGACTACAAAGCGACTTAAAAGACCACGTCAAAGGAGAGCACAAGTTCCGAAATACACGACATAGAACCTTATCTTTAAAAAAAAAAGTGGCGGACTTTTTTTATTGCTAGTGGGGTGGGACTAAGTCCCTTGCACTGCGGCCAATTCTGGCCTATTGTACCAGCCCCAGATGATAGGTGAGGGTGATTTGGGAGCAATTGGTGGAATGAAGATTGGCAGGGGAAACCTGCCCCAGCGCCACTTTGTCCACCACAAATCCCACTTGACCAGACTTGGGATCGAACCCGGGCCGTCGCGGTGGGAAGCCAGCGACTAACCGCTTGAGCTATGGCGCGGCCAAGTGGCGGACTATGTAGTCATGAAATCCTACATGGAGAAAAAATAATCTCCACTATTTTACCTTCTCCCAAAATTCCAAAAAGCCTATCAAGGCAGTAATCCGTCATTTTGTATCTGACATGCCAGCAGATATTTCCAGCAATCTTGAAAATTTAGAGCTAAACGTCATCAACGTGAGGGAAATGACGGCCACTCGAAGAGCACCCAATGGACAAACCCACGTGGAAACACTCCCTTCTACCAAAACAAAAAATACAAAATCTCAAAGAGACCTTCAAGCTCAACAGCCTTAACCATATTATGGTTATGCAGAGCTCAGACTGGCCTTACGCAGTGCTACAACTAACAAAACTTTGACCATATCCGGACCAACTGCCAGCAACTCCTTCGATGTTTGTGGTGCGGTGGTGGCGACCTGCATAGGAAATCCCCTGAAACGACAAATACAGAATCTACGCCGAGCTATTACAATTTCACCCTTGTAGAAGGAGATAAACCTCATCCAGCGTCATGTTGAGGCTACAGCCGTGCGAAAGGAGAACTACAAAGGACGCGAGAACAACGAGCTCCAAAGAGATCCTCTGGGTGGGCGTTTCTTCTCTAAATTCACCTCACTACAGCAGTCCTACGCAGTTGCACTGCGTCAAGACAGACAACACCAGCAACCACAGACGCCGCAGACAGTTGGAAAAAGTGGCGCCCCCCCCCTCCCCCATACAGCAGCATCTGCCACAACAGGAAATTAAAAAAAGAGGTCTGTCAGTACAGGCTCCCAGTTAGACTAACAATGACATGTTAAAAGTAGCCACTGTAGTGAGACAGATCGTCACAGAGCTCGGTGAAGCTGATAGAAAAACGGAAAATAAGCCATTACAAAAATAATACTTAATGAAACAAAATGGCTGCTGGAGCTCATAAGCCGCTAGAAGTCGCAGCATTTAGTGCAAATGGCATTTGGAAGCAGGGCTATGAGTTCAGTAAACAGCTACAACACTTGCATATAGACGTGGCTCTGTTCAAAGACATTTCAAACCCCTTGTAAAGTTCTTTGTCCAAAATTGTCACTTTTATCGGACTGGCACTTTCCTAGGAAAGAAAGGCGAACCTGCAGTTGCAGTGAGAAAAGGCGTTCCCCACAACCAAGTAGACCTGCCTCTGCTTGTTTCAATACAAGCAACAAGAGTTTTCATACAGATTGGTAGTAGTGAAGTGCTATAGGCCTGGAATGATTCAGACATCATTTAACTCTTAGACGTAAGTTACTACTGACAGGAAATCTGAATGCTAAATATCTATTTTGGAATAGTGCAGTATCCAACATTTCGAAATTTCAACATCACAATCTCCAACTCATTACTCTCCTGCCGGAAATGGTGGCTTGTGCGATATTATTATGCACAAAAAAAGTCCGGATGTCAGAACTCATTACCTCTGACATCAGGGATCCAGACCGCCCGCTACTTGTTTTCGCTTGCTGGATCATAATAGAACTAGGTATCTTTCGCATCCGGTTGACAAATCGTAGATTGGGAGCGGTTTAAAAGCCTGACCTCTGAATTAATTTCACCCAGAATCCAAATTAACTCGAACGAAAAAGCCGATAAAGTGGCCCGCGACTTTACTTCTTCATTGAAATTGAGAAAGACTTGTGGGCTTGATAGTATTCCAAACAAATGCCTTTGGCATCTCCCAAGAAGACCATTAGTATACGTAGCATCTGATACACTTATTTAAACACAGCCTTAGACTGTCTAGTTTTCCAAAGCTTTGGAAGAAAACAGAAGCTGCAACACTACCGAAACCCGGTAAGGATACAAAATCCCCTCAAAATTTAAGTCGGTTAGCCTCTTGCCTATAACAGGGAAGCTATTCGAGGAAGTTCTTTGTAAACAGTCCAAAGGCACATTGAAGAAAGAGGCCTGCTTAACGCAAGCTAGTTTTGTTTCCGTGCCCATCGCAGCACAACACTTCAATGTATGAGGCTTACGGACCATGTTATATTAAATTTCAATAATAAAATGTCTACGGTTGCTGTATACTTAGATATTAAAACCCCTTTGATATAACATGGCACCTTGTCTTGCTATATAATTACCTGAATTAAAATTTTCAATTAGTCTAATCAAGCTTATTAGCTGAAGAAAGTCGTCTTCTGGGATCTGGCGCCGTGTATTCTTGGTTTTAACCGACGTTTCGGAGGAACGTATCGCCTCCATCTTCAGGGCAGGTAAATCGCGATGCGAATAGAGAGCGAGCAGTAGCTGCAATGATTCGGGAGTGAAGAGCGCTAGTTATATAGGTAGCAGGAGGGGGGGTCTGGGAGAGGGGACCAGTGGGAACACTGAACAGCGATTAAGGCCATATATTGTCCGGGGGGGGAAGGGGGTGGGAAACCGGGCAGTGAATCCAGGCAACTTGGAGGTCAATGACACGGAGGTGGCGGGTAAACAAGAAGAACCGGTTGGCTGGGGACAGGCTGCTGGCGGTCAATGACTTCCGAACAACATGAACAAGGAAACAGGGTTTTGTCTCAACAAGTCATGGAAATCTCCCATCTCTTCCCTCAAGAGAACTCCACACAGCCACCCAAGTTCTTCATGTCACTGACCGCCAGCAGCCTGTCCCCAGCCAACCGGTTCTTCTTGTTTACCCGCCACCTCCGTGTCATTGACCTCCAAGTTGCCTGGATTCACTGCCCGGTTTCCCACCCCCTTCCCCCCCCGGACAATATATGGCCTTAATCGCTGTTCAGTGTTCCCACTGGTCCNCTTTTTAGCTCTTTTCTTTCTAAGAGAAAATTCAGAGTTTCGGTCGGAGGTGAAATATTTACGCCAAGGGATATACAAACAGGGGATCCACCAGGTTCCGTCCTGTCCCCCACTAATGCGCCCCAAACACTTGGTTTCTATCTAGGTCTCTTTGCTGACGACACCTGTATATATATGTCACAGAGAGCAAAGAGGTTTATACCCTCAGAAAGCTGCAGCGACGTCTCAGTGCTATTGAGACGTGTTATGAGCGATGGAATATAAAACTCAGGCCATCTACATTTCCCATAGACTTAGGCCCTATGAGGCTCAACTTATATTGAAGGGACGGAATATCCGCTTTGTCAATCATGTAAAATATCTGGGTGTAATTTTCGATAAAAAATTACATGGCGACTGTACATAGAAATGATTGAAGCCAAGGAATTCGGAGCATGTATCAGAATCTACTCCTTATTCAAAAGTGAGCGTTTAAGCGCCAATATTAAACTAAACCTCCATAAGGCACCGATCAGATCAGTAATGATTTAACGCCTGGGAATTAGCAGCAGACACCTACCTCTTAATATTGTAGCGTTTGCAAAACAAGGTTCTCCGCACCACTGGAAACATTACAAGATGCACACCACACCGCGATTTGCAAGTGGCTTTCAACCTTCCATTAGTATACCATTATATAACGAAATTGTGCAGGCAACAAGCAGAAGTCATATTATATCATGGGAATGTACATGTTCGCAGTATGGGATAAGGCGAAGAGACTAAAACTTGGCGATAGTCAAGCTTATGACTGTTCAAGCGAATAAGCTGCCTTTGCGGCATGACATACGTAAGATAGGCATAAGCTGTTTTGCAAAGTCTATATAGTGACAGTGGATTTTTATATTGTAGCGAGTAGAGCCATTGCTGTGCGACGACCGCAAAGTAGGCGAACTTACCAGAGACGTTTCTAGGCAACGACTCGGTAAACACGAAGAATCGACGCGCAACAATAGAGGTACTGTTGGAAACAGGACGTATCTACGTGACCCATGCCGAGGAGTTATCTTGAAGAAAACTGGGGTGACCGAGTCAGTTCAGTGGGTTCTGTACAGGAGTCTGGAAAGAGAAGACATGAGCAGTTGAAGCTGAAGAACCTCCACTGTTTGAAACCGTTGTCAGGGAACGGCTTGTGAAGACACAGCAGGCTGGAAAATGCTTAGCAGATGTGGTGATTTCTGAATTGTAGAGATTAGGGATGGCGCTGTAATTGCTTGTAGCTCCGAGTCGTGTGAGTCAGTCATGAAGAGATCTATTCATCAATTTAAATGCCGGTGAGAGTCATACATAACACGTGACAATACAGTGCAAAAAGAAGAATTTTCAATAACACGCTGTACGTGTATGTGCTATACGTACATTTGACGAAAGGCCAAACACATTCATAAGATACACACCCATTTTCTTGTCAGGTAGGATATTACATAAGGACTACGACCGCAACGGTTCAGTTAAAAAAAATCTGTGGTCGTGAGTCTCAAGGGGCTTGGCGCCCAAACTAAATTGTTTGCGATAAACCGCCAGTCGTAAATTAACTTCGACTTTGACTTGTTGCAGTTAGAAGGCTGGAGAGTGGTGAGGAGCAGTTGCAGTTGGAGAAGCGGCGAGGGAGAACGAGTAGATTAGAGAATAAATTAGAGTTTTATAGAATTTGTTGAGTATTAATCTTTAGCATCACATAGAAATACAACTTGCACAGAAGGCATCAAGTAGGTGGGGGCCTAAAGCGTGTTGTGTTTGAGAGAGATGGCTCTTGCTGCACTAACGCAGTGTGAGACACACTGGCCGGCGCTGCTCGCCTCGTTCGATGAGAGATATAAAATATTAACAGCGGACCATCAGGACGCGAAAAGGGAAATTAATTTAGTGCAAGCTTCTATAGATAAAATAGGGCAGCTTGTTCAAAATTTGCCCAGAATGGATGGAAATGGCGCAAAGTGGAAACAACAAGCGGATAGAGCTGAGGCCGACAGGTTCTACCTCTGCAAGTTTAAAGAAAGACAGGTTCTGTTTACCGGCTTATTTCACATCTGTAATTTTAAAATAATTATGGTGAATGCGAAATAATGACAACAGTAATAAAACTTACATAATTTTTTCTCAGATATTCATTAGGAATTTTAGACATCGGGTATTTTGAGAGTTCGGGAATGACTACATTTTCTATAAATAGTTGAGAGTTAAAAATATAAATCATCATCAAAATCTACATTACACAAAAGTGTGTATTACTATTATGGATATGTATGAATATATAGATAGCCTTCAGTTGGATAATTTCATACATATCCATCAACATCAGGCAGAACAATCCTTCTGGAGCCATGTCCTTCCTTAGAAGATTAAACCATCAGTTTTTCACTTCTTTGGATTTCGCAACATTTTTCTTACAGGGTAAGGTAGTTAGCCTTGCTTCCAAATCCTGGCTTGAAAAACCATGTCCTTGTATTTATGTTCCCCAGTGATAGTGTGGCCCAGTTATAACAAGCATTGGGTTTCTCTTTTGTCGCCTTCTGCGACTCGCAGAACTACGGTGGAAATATTGTAACCCGCCTCGTCAAGGGGGTTTATACATGTTCACTGAAATATATTACAAGCATATAAATATATTCAGCAGTTCCTCAGCTTCAATAACAGAGAGCACTCATACGTAGGTACTGCAGTGCCTAGAGAGAAGAATCAATAACTTTGACAGAAACATTATTTGGAAAAATAAATAAAATTGGCAGCACAAGGTAAAATAAAAAAGTAAAGTAAAGCTATTCCTGTACCAGGCCGTGAAGGCCCACAGGGTTGTGAGACGTTAAGGGTCCCACATTACCTCGACAATCGGCTCAGAGATGGCGGTAAGGTTGTCAGCCTTACGCGCCGGCCACGCTTTACTTCCCAGGAATATTCCTGGTACTCATTTCTGTTAGAGGCTGAGTAAACCCCAGGGCCTAGTGCGGCCGGAAGGATTAGGCCAATTGAAAAAATTCCAGTGACCTCATCGTGGCAGCACAAGGTGAATCTTGAAAAAGAACTAAGGTCAACAAGTACAATTATGATTGTTTACTGGTCAGCCAGTTTTCAGGGCAAACTGATAACTGCTTCACTATATAAATGAGAGCGTGTTTGTGTGTGTGTGGCAATACGGGAAAGTAAGACAATTATAACAGTTGGATTTCTTATTGGAGTCACAGTTTTTAAAAGCGAAATATGAGTGCGATATTGTTATGTTTTGTGATCTCTTTGCTAAGATATTTCTTTTTGTGTTCCTGCGACAGTATTGTTGACGGCAATGACAGATCTGGCTTACTGAAGAAACCAGATTATAAGTTATCAACAGTAAGTGTAGTGCTAACAGATTCTTTTTAATGGGACCAGGGTTAATTTGTCGCATAGTTGGCATGTGAGAAAGCAATTTTGAATAAGTATTTTACACGCTTGATAACATTTAAGCATATTATATGGATCTCCTCACCAGTTTTACATTACATGTATGAAAGTTAATAAAAGACGTTTCGACTTAGGTTCTTAACAATCCTTTAGCCTAAGCCAACATCTTCTCTAACTGTGATGCTTTCACTAACGCCTTCATGCAATAGAAATCTTTATATATCTATGACTGATATCTGAGGCCAAAAGAAACTACGGCTTAATTTAATTCCTGTTTTTCTTTCGTAAATATTAGGACCTGGTGTAGCGTCAGTGATTGCTATTTATCTGTGTAATAGTGAAGGTAATGTAAGTAAATATCACAGATCATGGTATGTGTTAAACTTAACAATGTAAGAAGTGACGCTAGTGTGGATTTCTGGAAAAAATGATAGAGTACCTTATCTGAAAGACCTTGAAGAAAGCAATAAAAAAGATTAGAAACTTGTACAGGTGTATGAAAGCTGAGCCGTTAGTATCTGATCCTAGCCCTTCTGAGGTTGAAAGTGCTATTGCGAAGTTGAAAAGGTATAAATCGCCAGGTAGTGATCAAATTCTGGCAGAACTTATTCAAGCAGGTGGCGAAATATTACGTTCTAAGATCCACAATCTAATTACTTCTATTTAGCATAAGAAAAAATTGCCTGATCAGTGGAAGGAGTCTATTATTGTACCAGTTCACAAGAACGGTGATAGAACTGACTGTAGTAATTATCGGGGGATATCACTGCTATCAACTTCATACAAAATTTTATCCAGTGTTCTTCTCTCAAAATTAAGTCCATATATAGATGAAATTATTGGGGATCATCAGTGTGGGTTTCGACGTAACAGATCAACTACACATCAGATCTTTTGCATTCGTCAGATACTGGGGAAAAAATGGGAGTACGATGAGACAGTACATCAACTATTCATAGACTTCAAGAAAGCCTATGATTAAGTTAGGAGGGAAGTATTGTACAATATTCTCATAGAGTTTGGGGTACCCATGAAACTGGTTACGCCGATTAAAATGTGTTTAAACGAACCGCATGGTAAAGACGGTATAGGTAAACATTTGTCTGATAATTTTCGTATTCAGAATGGTTTAAAACAAGGAGATGCTTTATCGCCACTGCTATTCGACTTTGCTTTAGAATATGCAATTAGGAAGGCCCAAGAAAACCAGGTGGGACTGAAATTAAATGGGACACATCAGCCTCTAATAGAAATGAGTACCAGGAATCTTCCTCAGGGTAAAAGGCGGCCGGTGCTTAAGGCCGACAACTTCACCGATATCTGTGAGTCGACTGTCTAGAAATGTCGGCGTCTCAATGTCTCACAACCCTATGGGTCTCCACGACCTGTTACAGGGATAGCTTTACCTTTTATTCATAATAATTGACTGTTAACAACCCACGATTTCATGTTAAATATGTATAATACATTGCCAGATTTTTCAATATTTCTATTTAAAGCATTCACACATTTTTTAAAAATATAAAATTATATACATCTCCCCCCCCCCGAACCAGCTAGTTCCACCGCCTCCTGTTCTTCAGTGTTTAAACAATGGTTTATGGTACTTATTTCAGCCTGAAATGGTAATGAAGAACGGATACCCTGTAGAAATTCATGAAGCAACTACTAAGGATGGGTACATCCTCAGCATGCATCGTATTCCATATAGCCCCAAGTCTAATAATTCAAGGACAAATCGACCAGTGGTTTTCTTACAACATGGCCTTTTCTGCAGTTCAATAGACTGGGTGATACTTGGACCCGGTAAAGCACTAGGTAATATTGACGGAAATGTTGAAGAGTATGAAATCCTTCCCTGTCATTGCCAAGATTCGTAAGCTTAAGTAACGAACCCTCACATCAATAGAGAATAAAACTACATTGTCCTTGAATATTGGGAGCCGTGACAGCTCAATCTTTATAGCGACAGGCTACGGGCGGGGAGGCTGAAGAATTTCTCTTGACAGCATTCAGACCAGCTTAGAGGCCCACCCAGCTTGCTAGCCAATGTATACTGGTGCGCTCTTTGGGGGTGAGTTAGGCGGCCGGGGTCTTAAAGTGGCCACCCGCCTTCATATAGTGTCGAGGTTAAGAATATGTGGATCTATACCTCCACTCCTCAGTGTGTCACGGTATGGTGCTTACTTAATTAAGCACACAGACGACTTTATCTTGAAAAATTCTGCCATAACATTGCATACCTATTTCATTTAAAGCAAATGATAAAGAATGTATGGCACAAACTCCGTCCTAAGTGCAACAATTTATTGTAGTTCTTTTGTCTTCTTTTCTTCTACACTACATGTTTCGGCCGTAAATGGCCATCATCAGGTGTATACTCTCACGTAGCTGTTACACCACAGGTAGTTTAAAATTAAAAAAAAAAAAACAGCTTTCTTAATTGTTCAATCCTCAGTTGTTAATAGGTCCCGATATATCAGGATCCCCTTGCTGATATTTGTCAGATATGTATAAAATCTTTGTTAATTTACATACGTCAATTTGATTTCTGAATTTTGGTATTTTTAACAGGATGCTTAAATATAATATTGCAAATGATAAAGAACTAGGCAAAGTTGTCCTTGAGCTTAATTAATTAAGCACCACATCATGAAGATATATGGGGAAGTGGAGGTATAACTCCACCATTCTTGACCTCGGAACTAGATGTAGGTGAGCGATCAGCTACACGGCCCGGCCGCTTTAGCCCAGGGGTAAGAGTCCCCGGTACCCATTGGATAGGAGGCCGAGTAGGCTCCGGAGCCGTCTGGACAGAAAAATCTCCCCTGCCGGGAACCGAACCCTGGCCGTCCAGCCCGTAGCCTGTCACTGTACCGATTGAGCTGTAAACAAGATCAGTATCAAGGAAAAGGGACTATAGTACTTTGTGTTCATGAGTTCAAGCCCTGGACCAGTGATATTTAATAACATAGTATTGATATCAAATTTCATGTGATTTATCCCTTGGATCGGAAGTATCGTAGACGGATCTAATTGGGATCTAGAATTAACTGAAACATTTACCATATGTTAATGCAGCCTGTCCGGCTCTAAATGACACTAAAGTAAGATATACAGTCTGGCCAGTGAATGTAAGGAAAATCTGATACCTTTTGAATCACTGCACCTCGCAAAGTTTCTTATGACCCAGAATATCTTAGTAAGGGGACCATTCGTGACATGACACACTTAACGCGATATTCAGCTCCTCGTCAAGTATCGGCAATCATCTCATTCGAGGTTTGAGATTAACCGACATACAAATAAAAATTTCTCGTTTTTATTTCTAATTTAACATTACATGTTTCGACCACAAAACAGCTGTCATCAGGTGGTACAAAAATAGTAAAAACGTCTATACTGTAAGGCAAAAATTATAAAAATACATAAAACATAAAAAAGCAGCCAGGTCGATCTTATTTAATTTTTACATCGGTATGTATATTAAAACCGAAATTAACGGCGGTGAAGATTCCTTATGCTGACCACGCGACACCCTCTATCGGCTAAAGTTGGCACTAACTTCGCAGACAAGCGGCGGTCGCTCGATCGGTATTGTTCACTTGCGGACTAAAGCCACGGCGTTTTTATGTATATTAACAGACAGTGCCTGTCACACTACACGCAGTCAATGTCATTCCCAAATTCACTGGATGTCTATTAAGTTTATAGCTCACGTCCCACTGTATAATTTTCTGCACTTTATACTCTCACGGTATACATTTACTTCTCTCCTACGCACTCTCCCCGTTATACTAACAATTTACAATTCCACGTTGTACGTTAATTTTAAGTTGGAGTGACCTTTCGACATTTTGCTGAATAGCTGAGGGGGGTTCTGAATTTTTTTAAAGAGGGGATTCATATTCGGCGAGTATATATTAATTTAAATTTTGGCGGTGGAGAATGTAATTTTACTTACAAGTGTATGTTACAGAAATAGGATGATGGAGGTTATGCGCTGGATTCGTCTTGTTCAGGATAGGAAACAGTGGCAGGCTCTTGTGAACACGGTAATGAACCTTCGGGTTCCGTATCGTGTTTCCAACTGGGCCAAAACGGGACGGAGCGGAGCTTCTCCGCATTCGCATAGAAGGTGACTTGCCCAAGCAGGTTACAAGACAAGACACTACATGAATTGTAGAGTTATGTACCAGAAAAAAAAAGTCTTCATAACCACCTCTGTGAGAACCTAAGTTCCTATAGACCTATACATGAAAATGTCCGCAGCTTATGTCTGTTTTCAATTCACATATATAATATTTCATTGGCTTTAGGGACGGACATTCTAAATTTAGCAACATACAAATGAACGACATCAAGTTTTATCTACTTATGGTTTACTGAATGCTGTCAGCAGTTTAGATTATATAGCATTGCAAGACTACATGATTAGTGAGTAACAAATTTGAAATTGTGTGAAAGCCAGTGAGCATGGGCTCATTTCATCACTTGCAACGTGAACTAAGGAAAATCACGAAGAATCTCGGTTAGAATCGTCGAAATTCAACTTGGGCATTTCCTAAGCACAAGCCAGAAGAGCTGCTTCCACTTGGCTAATCTGTTCGGTAACTGGGGTGAAGTCTATGGCGCGACTAGGCTGCCGATGTTAGAATCGTATATGCAATAACATCTAAGCGGATGAAGTATGCAAAATAGGAAAGAATTTCAAAAATATGCCCCGTGTTTGCATTCTAGCATATTCATTCATTCATCAGTTGTCTGTCAGACGACAGGTCCACAGTCTCTTCCAAAATAATTCCTCCACCTAATGCGATCACAAGCTTTCTCCTTCAAATGAAAATATCCTCTTCTATCCCAAAGTCTTCTTCCTCGTCTTCTGGTCACTTCTATCCGCCCTTCCGATTTGTTTTGCCTCCAGTGGAAACATCTCGCATACATGGTATCTCTGTTTTTGGAAAGAGACTATCCAGGAAAAGTGATAATGTGGTAGTTTTTCCATTTGCTTTCCACATCGCAGTACAGCAGCCGTTCAAACCACTCTGGTCACGCCTGTTGCTATACGAACTTGAACCATCTCGAGCATCATTTGCTCTGTGCTTCAAGTCGCTACTGATGACGCTGCTTCCGGCATCAGTTTCTGGTTTTTGATCTCTCTCTTCGTCTGATGCCTACCCTATATATATATAAGCCCGAAAATCGTCTATGTCAATATAAAAAAATTCGAATGACTTCAGTTCTATATCCTCTATACAGTGTGGTCCATACCGCTACAAGTACAGTACCCCTAACAAAGAGTACTGTTAATGACTTAATGCACTCATCATATGTTAATAAATGTAATCATGAAGACTTGTATGTGGACTCTTACAGTGTGCCATATTATGTATCAAAAGAGCTGTACTGGACAACTACTACTACAATAAGACACTCTTCCCATGAATTAATATTGTATGTCTGTTTTCAGCGTATTTATTGGCTGACGAAGGCTATGACGTATGGCTAGGTAATGCACGAGGCAACGTATATTCCCTCAAACACACAACCTTGACACCTCAACAAAAAGATTTTTGGAATTTCAGGTATCATTATGTTTTCGCATTGTAAACGCAAGCATTTAAACTTAGATTATTTGTCACAATAAGTATTTTAAAAGTTAAGTCAACATAGTAACTAGGCCATGGGCTGGGGGACCGGATTTTACATTCTGGTTGGAACAGAACATCTTCCTCTGCATCGCATACCTGGGGCTCTCTCCCTAGGGGTAAAGCATCAGAGTGAGTAGCTGACCATGCAGCTACATGTACATCTAGTGCTGCGATTGTGAAGGAATGGAGCATTACTTTAACTCCTGCATGTGTCTTCACAGCGTGGTGTTTACTTAGGCAAAGGGACACCTTTAACCTCACCTTTGAGTGAATAGAATCTAATAACATCCTAATAATGATGATCTGATCTGCATCTGATTATGACTCACCCTCAAAGATGTTTTGGAGAGAGTAACAGCCACTCTAGCACTAAAAGTATATCCTCCTGCTAGCATAAATATTCAGCAAAGTGTTAGAGGCTCATGAAAAGTTTCATCTATATGAAGTTATTTATGTGTTCCAAATACCTACATTTTTTAACCACAAAGTTCTCAATCACTAGATTGAGACTAGCTCTTTCTAACGGGCCCAACTGGGTAGGTCTATCCTGCCCCATCCGCCTGAGGACGGAGACAGATCCAGTCTCTGAAACGTTGTGGTTTTTTGTCTTATATACTAGACAATGGATAGAGTCCAAAATAAGCCTAATAGTTCTGTACAGATTTTCATAACTGTGGTGAAATTTATCACAACTTACACTGGAACCTTTCACTCTACATTCCAGTTTATACTTTCTCCTGTAACATAAAAATCAATGTCAAAAAAGTATTTTTACAATGTATCCTTAACTTACATTCGAATTTCCTGTGTTATTTCAACTGGAAATACTACTAACAAACACCATTGAGAATATTCATTCTTAGGCCGCGCCATAGCTCAAGTGGTTAGTCGCTGGCTTCCCACCTCGGTGGCCCGGGTTTGAGCCTGGGTCTGATCAAGTGGGATTTGTGGTGGACAAAGTGGCGCTGCGGCAGGTTTTCTCCGAATACTTCAGTTTCCCCTGACAATCTTCATTCCACCAAAATCCCCATCATAATAACCTGGGCAGGTATAATAGGCCAATCAGTTGCCAATGTGCCAAGTGGATCCAGCTCGACTCCACCCCCCACCCCCCATGCGAATATAGAATCTGCCAATCATGAAGCGTGAAGGCTCAGTACCATTCTCAGAGCCCACAAGTCAAACTACCATGCAGAACAAACAGGGATATAAAATACTAGATATAAATGCAGTCAGTCAACTGCAAGTGGTATGTAAAGGGCATGGAAACAAAGATTTAATTCTGTACATTGTTTCAGAGTTGAAATTTATGCAGTATATCTGCATACAATTCTGTTAAGTCTTAGAAACCAGAAAACCTGAGAGACAATAGAAAAGGTAAAGGTTAAGTTTCCCCTGTGCTTAACTAGTTAAGCACTATGCCTTGAAGGCTTATGGGGGAGTTGATGTATAGATCTGCATATTTTTGACCACTTAGCACTATTTGCGAGTGGTCAGTTTCACGTCTCAGCTGCTTTACCCCTGGGGAAAAAGCCCCTGGTACCCATTGGATAGGAGACTGGGTGAGCCCCAGAAATGGTCTCGGCGTGGAGAAAATTCTTGACCCTACCGGGACTTGAATTTCAACCCCTCTGCCTTCCAGCCTGTAGTAAGTTGCTATACCGACTGCGCTAACCCATAGAGAATAATATTAAAATTGGGGGGGGGGGGTTGGAGGAAAGTGGACTAAATTGGCCCAAATAAGGGGCCACTGCTAGGGTTTTTTAGTATTTGTAACAGGATATTTCTTGAATAGTGATAAATGATTTGGTAGGAGCCTACATAAGGAATTTAGTCAATTATTCCTTGTTTCATAATGAAACCACATGATTTGGTTGGCATCACACTGTATAATACTTCATGGAAAGAAGTTATCGTACCATCAACCCAATGATAAAACTACAAACCTACGATTCAACTATGCAGCAGTTTCAGAATTTGACTACTGGAATAAGGATGTGTTTGCAGCTGGCATGAGATGGGTACTTATGACCTACCTGCTGTCATTGACTATATACTGGCCAGGACAAGGCAACAAGATGTGTACTATATTGGACACTCCATGGGCACTACTATGTTTTTTGTGTTAACATCCCTCAAGCCAGAATACAACACCAAGTTTCGACTCACGATTGCCTTTGCACCTGTTGTTTTCATGTCAGATGTGAAGAGTGACATCTCAAAGCTCGCTGCTTTTAGTAGAACAGGGGTAAGTTTTCATATTTATGAGTCATGCTGAAATAATAAATGCATGGTGTTCCACAGGGATCAATTTTGGGCCCCTTGCTTTTTCTCCTCTACATAAATGATCTATCAAAAACCATCAATAATAAATCTAAACCAATTCTATTTGCAGATGTCACTAGTATAATATTTAAGAACTCTAAAACTGAAGACTTCAAAAATGATACAAATTTTGTATTTGAAGCTTTAAATAGATGGTTCGAAGCCAATAAACTCTCAATAAATTTTGATAAAACCCATTACATACCATTCTTAACTAAATACAGCCACCAAATTGATCTGGTCATCAGTTATGCCAACAAATTAATCTGTAAAGCACCTGATACAAAATTCCTTGGAATACATGTAGACAGTACAGTCTTGGAAAATACATATAGAACAAACTATACCTAAATTAAGTGCAGCTTGCTATGCAATGAGATCAATTAAGCCCTTTATGCCACAGGAAACACTGAAGATGATTTACCATGCCTACTTTCATTATATTATGAACAATGGATTAATATTCTGGGGGAACTCTTCACATAGTGTAAACATTTTTAAGATACAAAAGAATATAATTAGAATCATTACAGGGCGTAGAAGTAGAGATTCATGTAGAGATTTATTTAAGAAATTAAAAATTCTATCTCTTCAATCACAATATATACTATCGCTTCTCTTATTTGTTGTGTACAACAAAAATAAATTTGAATTAAATTCCAATATCCATAACATGAATACTAGACAAAAATATAACTTCCATCTACCTTAATCAAACTTATCACTATATCAAAAAGGAGTCTACTTTTCTGGCATAAAAGTGTACAATAGTCTCCCACAAAGTATCAAAAACTTGAGTAATGATACTAAACATTTTAAATCAGAGCTAAAGAAATATCTGCATGCTCATTCCTTCTACTCTGTAGACGAATACCTCAATGTAAATAGAGAATAATGTAGAATTAAGCTATATTAGTTTAAGATAAAATTACTTGTACCAGTAGGTATTATTTTAACTTGTTCTATATCCAGAGGTATTAACCTACTTAGGATCTATGGAATGCAAATAAATTCAATTCAGTTCAACAATTCCCACAGTTACCTCCAGACTCTACTGTTGCATGGGCTTACTATAAAATAACTTCCCACACTTCCGAACATAAAGTCTCATTCAATTTCCTTCTTTCCACATCACATTCCCTCGCAATTGAAACATCCAATATATTGTTGCTATGCCTCCACATTTGGTCAACTTCTCAACCTCTGACCACCTCAGCAATGGTAAATCTATTTATAATTTATTTAAAAATTCTGAGAATAGTTCAGACTATAAAGCATTGAATGGAAGGACAATTAATGAATGATGAATTGGAGAGAATGTGGAAGAAAGCAGTCATTGCCCATTTCAAGGTAGTGAGCCAGAATTTGTCTAAGGAGACTGAAGAGAACCATAAAAACAGTCAGGAAAGATGTCCCAGCCAAGATTCAGGATAATTTCTGAATGTAAGCCAAAGGCGTTGCTGCTTGAGCTAACTGGCTCGATCAGAGAAAGTCCACTTCTGAGGTAGAGTCTATTGCCCTTGGTGGCAGTGGCAGTATACGGATAAGAATTATGTTCAGCTAATGAAATATTCTTCATAATGGAAAGTAGTGTTTCAAACAGGGAATGCTTGAAGAAAGCAGTCTTCTGGGATTTGGCACCGTGTATATGTGGTGTTAACTGACGTTTCGTTTCTCACGGTGTTGTCGCTTGCAGATTTCTTATACTTTTTCTTCTACCCTGAAGATGGGGGCGATACGTTCCTCCGAAACGTCGGTTAACACCACATATACACGGTGCCAAATCCCAGAAGACTGCTTTCTTCATAGTCACCGCCGTGAAAGCCTCAAATCTTACATAGTGTTCCTCTATGGGGAGGCTACTCAACGACACATTCGACGACTCGAGACGCTACGTTGTCTGCTTTACCGTTTCTCACGGTGTTGTCGCTTGCAGATTTCTTATACTTTTTCTTCTACCCTGAAGATGGGGGCGATACGTTCCTCCGAAACGTCGGTTAACACCACATATACACGGTGCCAAATCCCAGAAGACTGCTTTCTTCATAGTCACCGCCGTGAAAGCCTCAAATCTTACATAGGGAATGCTTGACTACACATTGCTCATTAGTACGATTCTAAAGAAGGAACAGAATCCCAGGTATATTGTGCAGACACTAGTGTACCACTTCATAATTCTTTAAAAACTTAAAATAAATAATGTTATTAATATTGTAAAATGCCTGCTCAAAGCCATAATTGTGGAGTCAGAAGAGACAGCCATTGTTAGGGAATGGCCGGTAAACACATTTCCGTGGCACCGAATACATGAATGCAACAATGAATAAATTAATGGAGCTGTGTTTTCTAATAGGTATATGCAGAGGCTATATAAGGACAGCCATTCCTAGGCAACAATCAGTGAAGACATAGCAAACTGTGAAGTCTTAGTGTGTGCCATGGAAAAATGCATAAATCAGTGAGAGTACTATAATTACTTGCAATTACAAATCATAAGTGTTCAATACATCCAATTACTAATCCACACCATGTGTCTAGACAACAAGTACTGAATATTAAACACTAAATACACAACTTTGTTTTCTTAGTTGATTTAATGTTTTGTTAACTTTTTAGTGATGGAAAATGTTACAGAAGCAAGCTGATCAACTTTACAACAGTGGTATTTTCTTTCCACCAAGAACATGGGCTGAACACATTCAGGTGGCTTGTAACAACAGGACCTTCACCCTATGCAGTACCCTGATCTTTCTGGTTGCAGGTTTTGATCCACAAGAACTTGATCCGGTAAAGGACCAATAATAAACTTTTACGTCCATTCATGATAACAGAACAACACAGGAAATAATGAAACTGAGTTTCTTTTCAGAGATGAGGAGGCCTAATAAATCATTTTTTCTTTGAATCAAACTTCCTTATGTTTTGTCTATTATTTTTGTTATTCACTCTCAGCTTGATAAGTTCTGGAAAAGTACATCAGTATAATTTGATGATTTAGTGATTATTAATGCATGATGTGCATGTGAGTGTCAGTGTGACTAAAGTGAAAAAAGTGAAGTAATCATTAGCCTTTTTTTTCTCTCTCTCTCTCTCTTCTTTTCCAACATGCGTGAAGAGCAGACATCTCAGCTATGACTTTTCATGTTTGTATGTCTCTAAATAATAGAAACAATTCTTATAGTACAGGGTCTGATTAAAAAGTTGAAATTATCCAGTTCATCAAAAGATATTTTGATGGTTATTCAGTCTATGACAAAATTTCTTCCCTTTATGGAATCTGAGGTTCATTACCTTGTTCAGAAATGTCTGCCAGTGGGTCCTATTCTGAGCCAATTTAGTCTGATCTCCACATTTAAATCATATTACATAAAATAATTTTATTATCATTCTCCTATATTTGCTTAGGTTCCATAACCAAACTTCTTTATACATGTTGTACTTCCCCCATTGTGTCCTACATGTTCCGCCCATCACAACATCCTTGATTTCATTCCCCTAACAGCATTAGGTGAAGAGTAACACTATGAAGTTCCTCATTATGCAAATTTTCATCCTACCATTACATCCAATTCCCTAGGTACAAATATTTTCAGCCCTTCTCACATCCACATAAATCAACAGGTCAAATTATACACCTTGTGTATTTTATTGTTTAAGAGTTTTAGAAAGGAGATGCGAAAACAAAAGATTCTGAACCAAATGGCAATAACCATTATCCAGATTCACTCTGATCTTAATTTCAGTTCACTTGCATTTGTTATAGTTCTCAGCATTTGATCTTTGCTATATTTTCACATGATTTTTAGCTCTCTTAATATCACGATTTTCCTCTATTCTGGCAATGGGACATGAATACATACATTTCTTGGTTTTATATGCATTTATTTCTACACCACCTTCTTACTAGCTTCTAAGAGAGTTTGTGTTTTTCTCTTTATGTCATTAAAGTTCTTGCCCAGTAAATTTACATCAATACCTCTATACTGTCTTGGACTTTCCTATGGTCTGTCCTGAAAGATGAAACTCAACAGTATTATAGCATCTGCACAGAATCCACTAGAGTAAGAAGCACAATATATAATATTTACAAATACATACAGAGATTTTCTTTGGCTTGCACAGATACAAGAGTGTTCCTTTAAAGATACATATACTGTATACATGCAAATTTCTTCTTGCAGAAACTCCTTCCAGTGATACTAGCCCATTATCCTGCTGGATCCTCCATGAAGGCCTTGGTGCATTATGGTCAACTAATGAGAACAGGTATTAATTTCAGAACTGTCACCCATTAGAATATATTATAATTGCTGGGTTACACCAAACCATTCATTAAAATTTATATGAAAATTTCTCTGGGAACTGGCCATAAAACTTTAGAAGCTGAGGATTCATGAAAATCCAGTGATCACCCTGATTAAAAATTATATGTTTTCATAAGTAACATGGTTAAATTGAATAACCGTGTGCTTCAGCCACAAGAAAATCTGGAAAGACACTCTAATTCACTGCACTAAGATTATTGACATGTGATTGTTGCAAAAGTATAATAATCATTCTCCTTGTCACCTTACTTATAATTTCCCTGACTGGTATGACTAACATAACATTGCACATAACCGCTCACATGCTAACATTCTTATCATCTTGGGTGACTTTTCTACAAACTAAATACATAATAAAATAACAAAAAATTTCTCCTGGTAATGACAGAATAAAGACTGACCTCCTGAAATACGCACCAGTATAAATTAAAATAAGATATTTAATAATAATTAACATATGTTGTAGAATGCAGATGAATAGAAAGTGGCATACTTTGCCCTATTTTCAAAAAGGTCCAGTGATTGAGACTAGCTCTTTCTAACAGGCCCAACTGAGTAGGTTTATCCTTCCCCACCCGCCTGAAGACGGAGACAGATCCAGTCTCCGAAACGTCATGGTCTTTTGTCTTTTACATACCAGACGATAGATGAAGTCCAAAACAAGCCAAAAGAAGTACAGTATACACCATCGTCACAATCCTTTCAAGTCTAACAACAGATAAGACTTCCAACAATATTACTAAATTAAATTATAAACCCAGAGGACACTGAAGTATTGGACAACCCATAGCTAGATGGGACGATATATTCTCATGAAGCCACAAACAGGCCAATGACCTATATCCTGGAGGGAGGAGTAGAAGGGTGAAGAGGAGAAGAGTTTCTTACACTCCAGCCCCCTTTACTTTCAGTACTTAGAGAAAAGATTCATAAAAAAATACAAAATTTAACTAATAAATTCATGGCATATGCAGTATGAACTGAGAATTAAAACAGAGATAAACTACAAATTCTAACTAACGTTTAGTCTATTTTCTCCACCTTCCATGAACAGATGGTTTTATGGTATTATGTGCACACATGCCTGTAGGCATGTCCTAGTAATTGATTTTCATGAATCTTCAAATGAATATCATGCCATTGCTAACTAATCCATTTTCATATATTTTAATCAAACTATTTAAGTCACATTCCATATAATAATTATATGCACTTCTGCCTGACTACACTATGCAAGAGGGCCAAGATAATAATACAAAACAGCAAATAAATCCCTTCAATACTGCACTTGATCACACTGTTGATGTATGTAAATTAGAGACCTGTGTCCTGTATACCTGATACCTGTCTATAGCAGTTATGGTATCTATCATCCTTCTTTTTCAACTTACACCAAGGGCAATTCAGAACCTCATCCTGGTCAACATGGATCACTTGCTTTCCACTTCAAAAGGTCAAAATGTTAATGACATTATAATATCTTGATCTGGATTTACTGAATACATATTAAAGAGAAAAAGAAAGAGATGAGCAGAGAAATGTAGTAACATTCTTTCCTGTTATTGCAGGCAAATTCCAACAGTATGACCATGGCAGAGCTCTAAACATTATGTATTATGGAACTCTTGAACCTCCACCATATAACTTATCTGCTGTGACAGCTCCTGTCAGCTTATACAATGGTAAAAATGACTGGTTATCATCTATAAAGGTAAGAATACAAAAGATTGTAAACAGTTTCCATGTTCTTCCCTTCCATCTTTGCCTTGTGAATGCTCCTAACAGCTACAGATCAATTTCATGAACATGTTAACAATATACACTGACATTTTCCTTGACCTATTCATTTTAGAAAAGTGTTCCCATAAAATACTATGTCTAGGGCTCAAATTTCCTGCTGCTTGCAATTTTAGATATTATTACTGGTGGTTGTGGTAGCAGCAGCAATAATAGCAGTAGCAAATGTAAAATAGTAGTAGTGGTGGTGGTGGTAGGAGTGGCAGCAGCAGTGGCAGCAGCAAGTAGTCATAGTAATGGAAGAATGTTATTATTTTTTTTGTTTGGAAGGATCTTCAAATTTGCTGCAGATAACACCAAAGATTAACATCATCACCATGGTTCTGTACTTACTTACTTACTAATGGAGCTGAGCCCTTCTTGAGGAGCCACCAATTCTGCGGCTACTCAAGAATTTCCCAGCATTTTATGGAACCCGAAGGTTCATTATTGTGTTCACAAGAGCCCTCCACTAGTCCCTTTCCTGAGCCACATCAATCCAATCCATAGCATCGCATCCTATCTCTCTAAGATCCATTTTAATATTGTCCACCCACCTGTGCCTTGGTCTTCCAAGGGTTTACTTCCTTCTGGCTTTCCCACCAATATCCTATTTGCACTCCTCGTCTCCCCCATTCATGCTACATGCCCTACCCACCTCATCTTCCTTGACTTGATCATTCTAATTATAAGTACAAGTTATGAAGCTCCTCATTATGCAGTTTTCTCCAATCTCCTGTCACTTCATCTCTCTTCGGTTGAAATATTCTCCTCAACAGCCTGTTCTCAAACATCATAAGTCTATGTTCCTCCCTTAACATCAGAGACCAAGTTTCACACCCATACAGAAACACTGGCAAAATTACTTTTGTATATTATAATTTTTATGTTTTTGGACAGCAGGCGAGAAGACAAAAGTTTCTGGACTGAACGGTAGCAAGCATTGCCTGAGTTCACTCTCCTCTTAATTTCCTCCTGAATCAGGTTCCTTTTGGCTTTGTAAAAATATTTAACAATATGAAGTACTGTGTGTCATGAACCTCACTACCAAATTCCATTGAGTCCAGCAGTTCATTTGTTACCACCATCAAACAGAAAGATAAATATTTCATTCAACCATCACTTTGTCTTGTTTTACAAAAAAGAAAAACTGCATGTATTTCAAACATGTCACTATAGAAAATTTTAGGACTATATATTATTTGGCACTAATGTCACTCCCACCTCACAAGTTCATACATCCATCACATTAGAAGTACAAATTGCAGTAAATTAAGATTATGATTTTGGGGTAGATTGTAATGTCATATTGTTCATATTAAATTTCATTAAAACCTATCCAATAGTTTTTCAGTTGAAATGTATGGCCATACATGACCAATCCTAGACGCCTTAATTTTGTGCACATCATGCTAAGAATGTATTAGTGTAAAAGGGGATGTTCCAGTTGTCAGAACTTCCTAAAAATTTATGAATTAGTTAAGTATTTGCCAAAACAGCACTTAATTTAAAATTTTGGGCATATCAAATACTCGTAGTAGCTAAATACATTTTTGAGAATTATTTCACAATTTGGCATTCCTTGAGGCAATGCCATTACTATCATAATGATTGAAGTAGTCATCGTCGTCATCATCATGTCACATCCTAGCTTGAAGGCAGAAATTGTAGTAAACAGTATATAATTTCATTATTTTTCCAGACAAAATTGTTAAGTACAATACAAGCATAATTAATTTCAACGTCCCTTCATAATGACTTGTTTTCTGTTCAAAGAATGCTTTTTTGCTCAAATGTGCAGTTAGCAATTTTTGTTTGTTTCTCTTTCGTTACCACACATTGGACCCCAAAATAGTTTTCTCAGTGCTGCACAACTATTAGTTCTGTCTGCATATCTGATACTCAGTCAATTTAAAACTAACTTTCCCTTGCTCTTATGGGAAACAGCAGAGGTGGCCCAGATATCAATCCCAACCCAGCTTTGGACTAAAATTAAAATTGAGGAAAAGAAAATAAACTAAATATTAATAATAAAAATTAATAAAAGTATCTGTAAAAAAATTATTCTTGTCCTAAATACTCTAAAGCAATCCATAAAAACATTCTTAAAAGTTTGTAAGGAAAGTTTCTGGCTTCTCCCCCACCACCCAAAAAAATCCCACCAGCACCCATGCTTGCTGCTATTGTTCCCTACAGGGCACAAATAGCCAACAATATATATCAAGGGTCTCCAAACTACGGCCCGCCGGCCATGTCCAGCCTGCGAAAGAATTGTGCAGAAATGCGCCAATTGAACTAATTTTCCAATGAGTACTGGTAAAAAAATACTTGTTCATATATTTCAAATTCATTAATTAAGACTGTGTTTAAAATATATTGATATTCCATATTATGTTAATATTAATATTATTCACAATTTTACTAATTCTGGACCGTACTCTGCGCGGTATTTCTTCGTACTTGTTCGGCCTCGATCCACAGTGTCACTTCGTGGCAATGTAGGTAGCACGAGCAGAGTTTCCTTCCTCATTTGCAAATTTAGTCATTTCAGATTTGAAAGAACAATTTCGGAAGCGATTTGCTGATTTGGATGCCAGTGCTCAGGAAATTAGATTGTTTCGAAATCCGTTTGACTGTGATGCTGCAGATGTCCCAAGTCAAATTCAAATGGAAATTATTGTACTTCAGGAAAATTATCATATTAAAGACAAATACAAGGAATGAAATTTGATCAAATTTTATAAATTTCTGAACTCTGAGCAATTTCCAAACTTAAAAGAAATTTGCTTGTAAATTTATCTCAATTTTTGGGATGACATATCTGTGTGAACAAACTTTTTCCCAGATGAAGTACATCAGGTCGAAATACAGGGCAAATTTATCCGATGAACATTTAAAGTCGCTACTTGTGATCAGCTTTTCAAAATTTGAACCTCAATTTAATCAGATTTTAAGAATGCAAAAAGAGTTCCATCATTCACATTAATTGTTTTATTATAATTTGTGATGAAAATATGAGCATTTGCTGCTACTGTCTGTTGTCATTAATATATGATAATTTATTCTCACATACTTTGTATTTAGTTTATGAAATTCTGTGCTTTCAATAAAACTCATATACCTAGAGTTATTAATTTCTCATTTTATCTGGCCCGTTGAAAGTGCTGAATTACCTAATGTGGCCCGCATTTCGAAAAGTTTGGAGACCCTTGCTATACATGAAACCAAAGACAAAAATTGACTGAAGTGTTAACTGTCTCAGAAAGATTTACATGGCAGCCATTTTGGAATCATTGAACAGTGTTTGGATGATTTCCAGTGTCATGATTTTGCTACCAAAATCAACCTATCCCTGTAACAGGCCGTTGAGGCCTATAGTGTTTTGAGACAACAAGGCTCCAACTTTTTTTTAATGCTAGTGGGATGGGACTAAGTCCCTTGTACTGCGGCCACTTCTGGCCTATTGTACCAGAAGGCTCCCACATTTTTTAAACAATCGGATGATAGATGGTGGTCAGGTTGCCAGGCTTACACATCTGCCATCCTTAAAGCCCAGGGAGATTCCTGGTACTCATTTCTGCTAGAAGCTGAGACAACCCCAGGGCCATAGTGCAGCTGGAAGGGTTAGATAAAAGTAAAAGATAAAGTTTTCCTTGTGCTTAACTAATTAAGCACTTTGCCACGACGGTGTATGGTGAGTGGATGTATAGATCCATGGCTGGAAGGGTTAGGTCAACTGAAAGATCCAATGACATCACTGTGTACTGAACCCACAACCTTCCAGCTTCTAGCATGAATAACCTTGTTAAAAGTATCAAGAAGGGAACACAGTCACACATAAACATGATTTTACCTGTTTTTCACTTTCAAACGCTTAAGAAAGTGCTAACAAGTACATGTCTGAAAAGTAAAACTTAAAACTGCTTTCCTTTACAGGACACAGAAAAATTATATTCAAAACTGCCGAACATTGTTGGAATGAATCAGGTTCCATTGGATACTTTCAACCATGCTGACTTCCAATGGGCTAAAAATGCAAAGACATTACTCTACAATGATGTCATCAAGTTCATGAAAAATTACTGAATTTCATGACTCATATGTCAGTTCTAATGGGAATGTTCCAACTCCGGGCTCCACAGGGTGAGTTTATGTCAGTATTACGTAGGTGTTTCTATTTAATAATTACCATGACTAGAATTTATTTTCAGTTACCATCCACCATACAACCATATGACACTGCACACTTGATAGGCAACAGGTACACCAAAAACAGATTACACATAAAAATGAATAATACATCAAATATCTTCAGCTGCCGTATTTTTAACTTGGTTCCACAGTTTCAGGCTCAATATTAAGTTAGGCTCCGATTTTACACAATATCTGTTGGGGTAATACACAGTGTTGCCATGGAAGCTGAGAAGGCCAAACAGGAACCCTCCAAATGGCTCTGGTAAAGCCATGCTTTTTGTGTGCTTGTTTATTATTTAACAATGCTGTATCAAGCCTATATGGAATCAATGATAGGATGACTAATGACCAAGTCAGTGACATGAGAAATGACACAGGAAACCAGAGTACTCGAAAAAAAAAAAAATACCTGCCCAGAGCCACTTTGTCCACCATAAATCCCACATGACCTCACCTGTAATCAAACCCAGAACATTGCAATGGGAAGCTGGAAACTAACCACCTGAGCTATGGCACAGCCAGGTAAAGCTATGACAGGTCCAGCAAGTCAACAGTGGATTCAAGAACACTTCCAAAATGATGATCTGATTTGTATTTCTATTAAATCATCATTATAAGCAATAAGGTATTAAAGATGTTAATCCAACTACAATCTTGATAAATGTTATATTTAATTTTCAGTACAAAGGTGAACAGATTCTGAAAGTAAAACTAGAATAACATTCTTCACAAAGGTCATACAGAACACAAGGACAGATGTGATACTTATATGGATATGTTTATTATGTGGAGACCTTCAAACATTACCAATCACTTCCCATCTTCTTCACGTTTCTTTTCTTTTTCACTTTCAGCCTGTAACACCTCCTGGTACTGTGTAACCCAGTTTTTTGGATCACAACCATAAACCTGTAATAAACACATTTTTTCCACTGAATTCTTTCTTAGGTTTTTAATAACACTTTCTCAATTGTACAGGATGAGTCATACATGCATAAATGTGGAAGTAGCAAAGACATGAATAGTGGTCCCCATTTCACCATGACAGAAAACTGCACAATAGAGTCAGGGTGCTCTGAAAGTATACGAGGGGGTACCCAAAAGAAACCGAACTTATTTTTTTTAAACTTATTTATTCAAATTTTAAGCACAAACCTTCAATCCCCTTCAAAGTACTCTCCACTTACACTAATACACTTGTCTAGTCTTTTATTCCATTTTTCAAAACATTGTCTAAATTCATCTTTTGAGATGCTTGACAGCGCCTCCGTCGTTTTTTCCTTTCATGTCTCTTTTCATTCGAGGAAACAAAAAAAAGTCGCACGGGGCAAGGTCGGGTGAGTATGGAGGGTGAGGAACAGGGGTCATACCATTTTTGGTCAAGAATTATCGTACAGACAGGGCTGTGTGAGCAGGGGCATTGTCATGATGGAAAAACCAGTCACCCAACTGACACAAATCTGGCTGCTGAGCTCCAAGTCACTCCCGACAGCTCCACAATTTCTTCAATGGTCCGTCGTCGATCTTCCTTGATGATTTCACGAATTTTTTCAACATTTTCATGTGTTCGGGCCGTGGAAGAAAGACCAGAACGAGGTTTGTCATCAATCGACATTTCACCATTTTTGAAACGGGAAAACCACTCAAACACTTGAGTTTTCCCCATAGCATCGTCCTTGTACGCCGTTTTTAACATTTCAGGAGTTTCTGTTCCACTTTTCCCGAGCAAAAAGCAGAATTTCACTGCCGCACGCTGTTCACGAAAATCAGCCATTGCAAAAACGACGATCACACAAAACAGTTGTCACTATAAACTCTACTGAAACTAGTCCTTACCTTCTGAAGCAACGGTAGTCGGCCTATCGACTCAGGAATGTTAGGTCTATGCGCTCATAGCGGCAAAACGCGGTACTACAAAAGCTATGCCCACAAAAAAATTAGTTCGGTTTCTTTTGGGTACCCCATCGTACATGTGACACTTTTCACCCATCACAGGCTTTTGCTCTGCCATCTGAAGCCATTTTGTCCCTACTTTAATACCACAGTTCATGTAGTGTTTTTACAGGATACGGTTCAATTTGTCCTGTGCGGAAAACTGGTAGAACTGCTGAAGTGCAGCAGCATCCTGTAGCCAATGTGTTGTACAAAGCCTGGAGTTGAGAAGTGATGACACAAATTCCATATTCCTTGCATGTATCCCTGTGTGGCTATTTTGTGTTTGATATTTGGGAAAGATTTAAACAGACAAATTACATTAACAAGGATGTCACAGCATCACTATACTGTCTTGACACAAACAATTACAGCAACATCACTGACTGTATAATCGATGTTAGAAATCACCTTAGTGGTGATTTCACTGAGAAGAAGATAAATGCAAATGTATTGTGACACATTCTATTTATTCACTATGGCTTTAACATGGACAGTTGCATATAAGAAACTTCTGAAATGGTCCATGTAGTCTTAAATTCATAATGAGTATCATTTCTACTTATTACTATTGTTCCGTAGTACTCAGACATTGTTACACTTCAAAGGATTTAACATCAAATATAAAACAACAATAATAGTAGTAGTAGTAGTGGTAGTAAGTAACAGTAACATATAAATATGTGAGTCAAAGTTCCCCCCCAGAAAAGTCCATGACCTTCAACTTCTTGCATGTAGTTAATTGAAGTTAAGGTGTTATAATGACCAACTACTAATGTTACCACAGTATGAAACCCATAGGCAGTAGTTACTATAGGATTCTGACGATGGTGTATAACACACTGATATGTTGGGATTTTGGACTTTATCCATCGTCCTGGTTTTTAAGATAACAAATAAAAACACAACATTTCGGAAACTNCATAGGCAGTGCTCAACTAAACTTCCAGATATATGAATTGGAGGAAACTGCATATTTATGAAGAAAATGTTTACAGTGACAGATGTTCTGCAAATTTTATGAACGATAGTTATTTCTGCAGTGCCTGTCACAGCAGGTTTTGTGAGCACTGTATAGAACTTTCTCCATAAAGATCAGCTGAATCACAATCTGCAGATAAAGAAAGAATTAATTTGTTCATCTAAAACTGTTAGAACAGTCATTAAAATAAAATCAAAGAATGGATCCTAAATTAATGTAACTAAAACCTGCATGTGAAATCTGACATGTAGCAATATATGACTGGAACCAAAATCCGAGTAAGAGTGTAACTTATTTACTCACTAACATAACATTCACTGGAACTGACAAAAGAAAACATAATTTAATGAACAATGACTATGTACAATTACAAGTACATACTAACTGCTGAGTATCTATTCACCTGATCCCGTTCATCCATTTCACAGGGATGAGCCCTGAGTTGATCTGTGTAAGATAATTAGACTAACTCTGAATTATGGGTGCGCCAATCCTTGGCTAGATTTCAACACTGTAAAGACTTCTTTAAACAGTATTCTCACTGCTCTTGCTGCTATATTTAAATTGTGTCCAGCAACCAGCTTCTTACAGGTCAGTGTGGGGGGAATACATATAATTTAACTTCATACAGTTGCATCCATTGGAAATCACACCACATAAGGCAACAGTCTAATCTTACTGTTAAATGCACCATAATCTATCATCAAAGTGCTTAAACAATGTTCTGTTGCTGTCCAAAAACTATTATACTGAGTTACCACCATTATTTTATGTCCCATGTATAAAATTTGGTGGCAAAACGTATTCAGTGCTCCTGAGTAAAATTCAACTGTAGTAACAGATTTCAGTGTGTTCTGTCTGTTGTGCAGTCATTCCTCTCTCAGCTAAAAGTCCCTACATGGTCTTGTCTACAGCATGGAAAATTCAAATGTTCTTCAGAAGTAGACAGAGATTGCAGTAACTTACCAAACTCACAAAATTAAGGAGTTCACGCCGAGATACTTCTCCTTTGGCTCGATGGCCCCACCGAAACTCATACTTTGGGGGGTTCGACTCAGGAATACGAACATATTCTACATACATTTGACGCACAAATTCCTAATGGAATAAATTAAGACTTTTATTATAAACATAATATTTTTATATTTAAGAGATTCAATTGAAAATACATTCTTTAGCAATATTGTCCACTTCTCTACATAAGTTACTATTAATATTTAAGCCTGGTCAACCGCTTCATATTCTAGAGGTTCCAAGTTCAAATCTAAGCCCATAAAACTTCTATCTTGATTGAGGTTTTATGTGGTTCCCTTCAGTCTCTCTAAGCAAATGCAAGGACAGTACCTTACAACATGCCACAACTATGTCCTTCTATACCCTTTCCAATTCCTTATTCACTAAATATCCTTTCACTCAATACATATTATCTTAGCAAATGAAAATGCCATTAAACAAACTAAGAATAAGCAAATAAACAAATACTGTGGCATGCAGACCTGTTGCTAGGCAATGACCTCAACATAAGCACTCATGCAACAGCCACTGCTCAGTAATGTCTGTAAACAATAACCTTGTCAGGCAATGGCTGAGTAGCAATCATGTGTGCATCCCAAAAGATACAAACACAACAAGGATACAGAAATAGGAACAGTGTTTTCTGGTCTGTCTGATATGTTATAAGTAGGACAGCTGAGGCAATGAGTTAGTTGTGGGACAGTAGCCAGCCAGTAATAACATAATCACAGAAGCAGAGAACATTGTTGGGATCCATCACCAGGCAATAACTGGTGAATACACAGCAGACTGGGAACACATAGTACGTGCTGTAGAGAACTGCAGAGTGTGTGAATTAATCTCTGTCAGTTTACTTAAAACCATACTTCAAGCAAAAAGAACAAAAACAAAGATTTTAAAAATCTGTCGGTATATTAAGAACCAGTCACATGAAGATGAGAGTAGAGCAAACTTTCAATATATCTTACATACTACATATACTATTAGGGCTATGATATAAAACCCGAAAACCATTAGTTGTATACAATATTTTAAATTGTTACATATATTACCTTTACCCTGTCTGTATATATATCAAATTCTAGTTTACATAAAAACCAATTTCAGTGTTTTCATAACCAATTCAGGAATACACTCACACAATACGAGGAGAAAAGAGGACTTGTTCATAGTGCCATGTAATACGAGTCTATAAAAAAACAATTTCAATAATATTGGACTTACGTTAAATCAGCTGCCACAATATATTCAACAGATACCAGTACTATACAAGTTTATAAAGACTTTGAAAACATTCCTACTTGATCATAGTTTCTCTTGTTTGGGGGCAAATCCTAGTCCTAATCACTTGTAAACATATATTTCAAGAATAATTAACTTGTAGATTTCAATACTAGTAATGTTACAGGAATGCCTACTGCCATATTCTGTATTTTTTCTTACAGGAACGAGATCGAGGATACCAGGGTATTTTGTGCCGGGAGAGAAGGATAGGGGCCTTGAGGCGTACAGCAGTGTCATGTGTTAAAAGATTATATTAGTTCTATTATTAGAATCATCATTGTACTATCTTAGTACATCATTATATAATTTATTATATTATTATTCTTATTTCTTATTGTAAAGTATTTGACTTGTCCATGGATATGAAGTAAATAAATAAAAATAAACATAACAAAGACTTGGCAAAGCAATTACCAAGGCCTGACCATGTGTTTTCTGCAAGGTAAAAACCACTGGCATGATTTTCAGACAATTCTAACCACTGCAGTCATACAATCAGCCAAAACAATGAAATTAATAAGCAACCAGTAAATCTCTTTATTATCATTTACTATTAAGAGAAATGTATTTCTATTAACAATACATAATGTATAGCAGTTAGCATATCAGACATCTTGAACAGCTACAGCAATCTTTTAGTTATAAACTTTTGGACCTCTATCAGAACAGAGCAATTTTCAGAACACTTCAAAGCATCAGATGTAGAATGTAAACCTCCTTTACAGTTCTAACTAATTTACATGTGGTGAAGTGAACTAGTTCTAAATTTAAAAAGCAATTTATGTAAGTTTTATAAGTATCCTCCTAAACACAATTATCTGAATCTCTGGCAGGCGGCAGCTTTCATATAAGCTTGTTCAGAAGCACTTAACATTTGTGAACAAGCTTTCTCAATAATCAGCTAAATAAATCTACACAGTGAAACATGCAGAAAGATAGAAATCTTACATCAATTCTTCGACTGACTATAACAAACATCACACCTGACTTGGAAGCTTGGCATATACAGTGCAGGCTCAATGGTTACATTAATAATGGCATATACAGTGGACATGTGCCATGTCACAATATAATATATTTTATGGGACCACGAAAACCTGCTACAATATACTGAAGCCAGAATGTTGTTAGTATCTACAGATGCTAAATGTGTGTTACAGGACCTTTTAAGAAAAGAAAAATACATGTAACTCACCACAGTTAACAACTTCCACACGTCACCAAAGTATTCATGAGACTTTCTGCCATTCATAATACCCAGCCTAGTTAGGAAACTCGACATAACTTCTGAAAAGATAAAATGTATACTGCATATGACACAAGCAGCATGTAATTAATGACATTTTATCACAATTTAAGTTTCACCTTTAAAATTGTCTTGTATAAACAATTCAATCTATAATAAAATAAAATAAAACAGGTAGTGTCACATCTGAAAACTGTGAACATTAGTGTTGTCTGGAATGTGACATCATGCAATCAGATACATATTACAAGGCTTTTTGGAGCAATGTTCTGCCTCCAGCTTCAGGACAGAAGAATAAACTAAGTGTGAAAAAACAGATATAGCAAGGGAGACAGTTGACATAGGAGCTCAGAATAAGTTAAATGAACTAAGTAGGGCAGCACTTGTAAGGCCTATTTTACCAGAGTAGAAAAATGGGAAAATTAATGGCTCTGAGTGAGTAATGGGTTACTCTTACTGCTATACACAGTTTAGTTTCCTTTTGAACATATGTTTATACATTTTGTTGTTACTGTTACAAATTCAACTTTTCATTACATTTTTCTTTTTATGAAACAAAGAAATAAACATGCTCATGCAAGTGCATGTGTCTTTGTGCAGGCATGTACATGCTTAGAGGGGTGTCAGCTTCTAAAACCTGTATAGTAAAAAGGTAAAGTTTTCATTTTGCTCAACTAATTAGTACTACACCATGAAGATGTATGGGGATAGATGTATTGACATGCATAATCTTGACCTCAGTACTGGCAGGACGTAAGTGGTCAGCTTCACATCCTAGCTGCTTTATCCCCGAGGAACGAGTCTGTGGTACCCACTGAACAGGAGGGTGGGTGGGCCCCAGAACCAGTCTGGGTGTAATGGAGGAGAAAAATCCTGCACTTACCAGGACGTGAACTCCAGCCCATAGCCAGTCACAATACCAACTGTGCTAACCTGATTCTAAAACCTGTGCCTATTTAAAAATGAAGCTAAGAAAACAGGTATGTACTAGGGGTAAACATAACACGACTGCCCACCACAACACAAAGCTACATAGCCCATCAGACAGCCATTAACACACCTGAGGGACCCATCATCCCAGTCTCCTGGGTAATCTTCCTCCCCTACGACAGAAACTGCATACACTCCTGACCCACCAGTGGTACAATGCACCAGATGGAACTGCCACTCTGGGCCCAACAGCAGTCTTTCAGTCTCAACACTGCCTCACACCCACTAAGCCACTTGGCACATATTTCAGATACCATAATCATAGAATTACAAGCATTGTGAGAATTAATCCACATGAAATTGGTTTAAGCAATTTCAGAAAACCCACACGATGAAAGCAGGAGCCTAGTAAAATTTTACTAGTCTTCAAAATGCACATATCTCAATTCTGATGAACAATTCATATGGATTTCTATGCCATAAGAAACAAAAATGAACCTATCCACTTTCTGAATCCTACACCTCAAGTCCAGTCTCAGAACAACTATCCAGACCATATAAAATGTGGAAGAGGAAAAAAATCCTCTTCACAAAATGGCCAAAAAATCGATTTTGTAAGCTTGCCTTTAACTTATTTATATTGTCACATGTATTAGTGACTACAGACTGCATTTTGATTGGTGAATAGATTTACTGACCACTTAAAGGTTGTAACTACACATAACTATAACACTACTGCTGATTTTCACACTACAAATCACTCCACACAAGTCTTCTCAGTCTACTCGGCAACAGCTCCTAACAATGGTTATTTCTCTGCAGTGTTTTCACTAGACATTTCCTTGTAACAAATCTTAGCAATGGAGATTCTTCAGTTTCTGTTGCCCACTGGTTAACACTCCATAACTGCATTGCACTCACTCTCTCAACTCCTCCACTGAACAGCCTCCACCTACTTCATATGACTTCACTCACCTGATTCAACCGGACTCAGTCGATTGAGTCATATAGCCTTGGAGCAGACCCACAGACAATGCCGCTTGCAACATCTCTTCTACTGTTGCGTGACGTCACTGTGTAAATGTATGCTGTGAGCGTTACGTAGCAACAACCACTGTTTACAGAGTCACTGCTAAGCAACTGGTCTATACACAACAATATTTTCGAAAATTTTCTTTGCTGTAACACAAATATGATACTTCCTGATGATTTTCCTTTGCTCTACTTTGATTTTAGAGCTGAGAAAAAATCAAAATAAATCTGCAGTCTTGCGACACACACACACACACATCAGTGCTCCAGTTTTACTAGTACACATGATTGTTTATTACTCTATCTCAACAGCCCACCTCAGACTTAAACTAATTATGTAAGGAAAAAGTTACTGTTACACACACAGAAAGATTTCATGTTGTACAGCATCATCATCACAGAGTGGACTGTTTATATTATAAATGAAGTGTGAGAACACAAAAAGTAAAACACAAAACAGAAAATTATAGCAAACATGAAATAAATACATACATACACCAAGCTTTTGACATTCTCTGTTCTGATTACTAATTCATATACAGTAGAACTTGGTTATAACGTCATCAAAGGGACCTAAAAATAGTGTCGTTATAAACAAATGTCATTGTAACCGAAATGGGCACTTCCACAGTAGCCTTATGTTAGTCACGTAAAAATCTACCAAAAACCGAGTTAAAAGTTGCATTTTTTAGTGAAATACGTAGTTAAGTACAGACTAACGTAACATTAACGTGGAATTAATATGGATTCTCCATATCGTTTGTACTGTAGAATTCACCAAACCAAATTCGAGGCATACATCAGCTTTTTTCCTTCCATTTTCTATTTCACGAATCACTTTAACTTTCTCTTCAATGCTTAAAACTTTCCTTTTCGTTGCCATGTTTTCACTACTGCGCTTCTCTGAGTTTAGGCAGGAACACTATAGAGTAAGTAGACAATGTGAGGTCCTGTTAGACGAGATTCTAGGAAAGGAATGCAGTTAACAACCTGCCGCGTCCTCTTGCACTATTCACGCAGTCCCACCCCACATCCTTGTTTTCGCATAAAACCCACGCTCCTCTTGCAGCCCGCGGTCGAATTCTTATAGGACAGTCACGTCAGCAAGTAGAGAAAGTGAGGGTGGGCAGACACATCGAACTTTCCCACGATATCAGAGAAATTCAGGAATGAAAATGACGTTACATACGAGGTTGATGCATTTGTGCATGTCGTACTAAGCAAGGTATAAAAACAGTTGCTTTATGAGGAATTAGTTCGTACCATTGAATATTTGACGCAATAGACAAGGTGTCGCAGAAACCGATGTTGCTATAACCAAGTTTTACTGTATTTTAAATAAAAACTTTTGATCATTGCAAAATATCATATCAAAATTAACACACAACACTTTGTTTTCATCAGAACTGTCCTCCTTGGTATATATTTACTGCACAAAATTTAACTTCTACGGTAAACTTTCACATATTAAGTTCTTCAAATAATTAATTAAATGGTAAAAACATGCTGATGAGCAACATTAAGTGCTCCCAGTACACATCAGATATAGAACGACAAGTATAATTTTGATGATCTTCATGAAGTTACTTGTTTCTTTCTACAGTTTACTGCTACATGCTTCTGTGAGCAGGTAATGGTTCAGTTCATATGTTTATGATTTGTCAATTCGACAGTGGCAATTTGTGGACAATATTTCAGATCTCTGGATGGGAATCTCCATAAATTGTACAGATGGAACAGTCAGGAACAGAGGTTTCTCAGAATTTCTGAAGCAGTCCTATATGTACAGGACAGGGTTCTTAGGCAGATAAATGTCCAGAACCTTACATTCTGATGAACTTTAATTCAAAATTTGCATACAGCCTGTTTAAATTTCAATGGAGAACTGTTAAAGAAACATGCTTCATCAAAAATGCTTAACTTCAGTAACTTTTAAAGTTCTGGAAAAACAGCTACATTCATACTCAGGTACTAAGCTTGCCAGAATAACAATTTGTGACTCCTATCAAGATATGTTTTCAGCATAGCCCATTTACAATGGCGAACTTCATTAAAAATATTATAGCATGTAGAGACCCATTGTTAGGTAGTGACCACAGAACAGACAAACATCTGCTGCAAGGGAACAAATTTTTAATAAGCAACAACTTAACTACAACAGTGGATCAGTTTTTTCTATGTGGCCAGTGCTGAGATTTTCATGCGGGACAGTTGGAGCAGTGAGTCAGTTGTGGAGTATTAACCAGCAGACAACAATGTGAGAACAAAAGCTGAAGACTCTATTGTTAAGATCTGTTACCAGGAAATGAATAGTGAAAGCAGTGAAGTCGGGGGCCTTTTGAATGTGTTCAATTGATCAGATTTTTAAATGATAATTATGACATGAGGATACTTAGCACGAAAATCTTTTAAGATCAAATTATAATCAGAGCCAGGGAATTAACACTGTGATCACTATTCCTACACACTAAATCTAGCTTCATTTTCATACCTTCTTTCACTACACCACCACTCATGAAAATTAACGACAGCAACAGCATTAGAAGCACTTGCTGTGCTTCCACCTCTTCTGGCCACTTCAAATCACTCACATCTCTCAAAAACTGTTCATTGTTTACAAGAATATATTGCTTCATATTTGAGCTGTGCTCAATCTCCACCAACTTCATTCCAAAAATCTGTAAATGTGTCACAATTATTACTATTAACTACTATTAAACACCCTGGGGCAGTGCAATAGAATTTTTGAGGCCATTATTAGGCTTCATTAAATTAGTCCACCAAAGTAATTCCGACATCAGAGAAAGAGTGATAATTACAAATGTAGTTGAAGAGACATAAGGACAGAAACAAAACTGTAAAATACCACTTGGAAAGACATGGCCTTCCACAACTGGCATTCCATTACTGACAGAAGTGGTGATGAGACTTTGGATAACCAAAATGATGGTGGAGAAACCATCATCATTATCTTGGAGTTCACAGGACCTAACAGACCTTACCATATAGAATGTTCATGAAGTGCTAATAATGACTATGTTTGTTGTTGTTGTTGTTGGTAAAAAGTAAGTAAAGTTGTCCCTGTGCTTAACTAATTAAGCACTACGCCATGAAGGCAAATGGGGTGGGGTGGGAGGATGTATCGATCCACATTCTCTTGACCTTGGCACTATCCAGAGGTGAGTGCTGTTGTTGTTCTTATCATTATCATAAACATTTCTGCTATGCAGCATGGGGCTGCATCATGACAATTCTTGGAAGACAACAGCTGCCATATAACATCAAAATGTCAAGGACATGTTAAGAAACGTATGAATATGCAAGTATAATTTTTATAACTTTTGGCTAGCGAGACTGTAACGAAACTAGTACTAATGACAAAATTCTGACCAAGCAGATCAATTATTTACAAAAATCCATAAGTGGATAAAACAGGAGACTCAGACTCAATCAGATATTCAGGCAGAGCAAGCAAGTCTAAGCATTGGTTCCAGCTAATGGCAGATAACCCTCTGCAATTTGCTGGTGCATACACTCCAAGCTTGTCTAGCCGTTAAGATAACCTAGACATTTTTCACTATTTAGACAGAAATGTAAAGTTACGTTAACATTGAATGAAACAGCACATTCAAAGAGTGGTAGGCTAGTGAATGACAGATGGAACATGAAACTACTTAGTTGGATTTTAGAGAAGAAACTACTTAGTTGGATTTTAGAGAAATGTCTTATGGATTGTAACACCATGTAGTTTGGAGACCTGAACTACATGGCATGACAAACTCAGAAGGCCACATTCTCCATGAAAACTGCTTGCATACAGGCTCTCGCAAAACACAGTAACGTACCTCTGGGTTCTATAAAAAGTAGGAATTTCCTTCAGTAGGTGAGCAATAAGGGCTCTGATCTAGGAAGAGCAATTCGTCTTTTTCTTAACATCCATATTCTCCAATTTTGAATAAATGCATATTGTGCTTCCTTCTTTCAAACTGTGGTGTTACGAGTCTTGAGACCACAGTCTGGTAAGTGGTCACCATTTCAGAGGAACATATTTGTCCATTTTTTAGAGCAGAAGTGAGTGAAGTAATTTCAAAAGAAGCCTATCTGATTATCATGGACTTGAACTCTCAGTAAACAGTCTTAAAAATAAATTACTGAAACTGAAGAATTTCATCTTTAATTAGTACGTTACTTGAATATGGATAAATGTTAACAATGCTATTGCCTTTTATTGTGTTTAGCAAAGGAACAGGTATCTTATTTTTGCTCTGACGAGCCCCAACATTAACTGCAATTCCCTAACTCCTAACTACGCTTATGGTCATAACCTAGCCAACTGCAGTGTTCTTCAGAAACTTAATGCCCATGAGTGGCATGGAATTGCTGTATTTAAGTTCTCTTCAATCATTTTTAGGCAATCAGGGCATCAAGTGTTTAAACACTCCTGTTTTCACTCTTGAAATAAAAACTTACCTCTGTCAGTACATGTGCTGCTTCATTCATAATATGTTTGTAGTGTCTTCCGTGAGTTTTCAGAACATTTTTTACAATGTCCTGTCGCTTGATAGGATACTTGGTATGATCCTGAGATAAGATGTACAGCACTATATCACTGATCAGAGCACTCTGCTCTTGACTTGAAAGTTTACTCCCTTGAGAAGACTGGGATGCCATTCTTTACCTACAAACAGGAAACAAATTATATAATATATATATCCTAATGAGCTCGCTCAATCCATGGCATATGATCCTCCTTCAACAAGTAACACATATTAAGTTGTTCAGGAAACTGTTATTATGTAACCTGAAGGTTGGTTACTGTCACCACAAAATGTTAAAATTATGTTACATGTCCGATAGCTGGACAAAACCGAAGTAATACATACAACTGCACTGCTTAACATGATAATCACACATGTGGTCATTGCATGTGACCACGCATTTATTGCAAACAAAAAACTACATTGCTTTAAATGATCCTGGAAGATGTTCTAATTTGCAATCATTTCCACTGTGCTGCTGCAAACATAATCAGATGGGAATCTGCACCACTGGAAAACCACGTCCATAAACAGAGAGTTAACTGTATAATTATACTGATCTGCAATGCATCTGTTGTCTGGTGATCACTCACTCATGGAGCTGAGCCCTTTTTGTGAAGCTGCCAGTTATGCAGCCACTCAAGAACTTCCCAACATTTTATGGAACATGAACGTTCATTACCATGTTCACAAAAGCCTTCCACTGGCCCCTATCCTGAGCCAGATCAATCCAGTCCATACCATCCCATCCTCTCTCTCTAAGATCCATTTTAATCTTCTCCACCCAACTACATATTGGTCTTCCTAGAGAACTCTCTTCTTCTGGCTTACCCACCAATATCCTACATGTATTCCTCTTCTCCCCCATTCATGCTACATACCCTTTCCATCTCATCCTCCTTGACTTGATTATTCTAATTATATTTGGAGAAGAGTACAAGTTATGAAGCTCCTCATTATGCAGTTTTCTCCAACCTCCTGTCACTTCATCTCTCTTCGGTCCAAATATTCTCCTCAGCACCCTGTTCTCAAATACCCTCAGTCCATGTTCCTCCCTTAATGTCAGAGACCAACCTTCACACCCCTATAGAACCACAGGCAAAATTACAAAAGGTTCTGGAATGAATGGTAGTAAGCATTATCTGAATTCAATTCCCTTTAATTTCCTCCTGAATCAGGTTTCGATTTGTTATAGTCATTCCGAAATATCTAAATTGTGCCATATTTTCAAAACATCTGTTAGCCATCTTTATGTCATGATTTTGTCCTGTGTTTTCATGACTAGACAGCAACATATACTTAGTTTCCCGTGTTTACTTCTAGACAAACCTCCTTACTACCATCAATAAAAGCTTCTGTGATTTTGTTTATAGTGTTTATGTTATCTCCCAGCAGATTCACGTCATCAGCATAGGCCAGGAGCTGATGTGTCCCATTTAATTTCAGTCCCACCTGGCTTTCCTGGACCTTCCTAATGGCATATTCTACATTTCTTCTGCCACTGCCCTGAGCAAACTTGCTCTATACATACTTCTAACATTCCAAGTACCAAATCTCATGTCCATTTTCTTTTGCTTAGGTTGTTTATCCAAAGAATCCATCTGGGTCTGAGGTTCCTTGTGATCTTTCATAGCAAGCTTATTTTTTTATAGTGAAGAGTTGTTAGCCCCATCCCCAACCCCCAAACTGAAGGACCACCTCATGTCGGCTGTCCACGACCACTTATTCAATATATTCACCGCTACCCTCCATGTGTGGAGGCCGTCTCCATCCACAATCTGAGGATGCACTATGCCATGGTGACAAGGTATCCACCTAACATGGGTTGTCTGGAAATACTTGTACACTCTCATTTTGACTCCAAAAATTGCATCCACTGGCATTTTGCCCACCAAGTACAGTTCAAGATTCAGGTATGAAATTCTGTAAAGAATGTAAGCAGAAAGGCACTGTTTAAAAATAATTACACCGACATGTCTACACTATGGTCACTGTGTTAATGGTGTGGTTAATAACCGCCCAGTTATCTATTTTGCAGTTCACGTTTGTCTGTAACTTCACTATGTGAGAACCCACGGACGTCCTACAAAGACATCTGGCTGAATATTAAACACAATAAAACGAATACCTACTATTTTTGTAGAAAAAAAGTTTTCTAAGAAGCTTATAGTTTACATTGAGTAACACTGAAACTGAAACTACTATATAGAAAACCTGTGTGAACAAGGTAACAAGCAGGGCCTGCTTCACACTCGTTTCTTGTTTGACTTATTCTTCATTCCTCATGATGGAGGTGACATTTTCCCAAAGAATGTCGATTGACTTTAAACGTACTATATGGCGTCATATTCCAGAAGACAGAACTCTTCATAACTACCGCAGTGAGAACATCAAATCCTCCATTCTCTTCGTGTTCCCTCAGCTTCTTCAAAAGTTGAATTCACGAATTGTGCCTACAGTACGCAATCAGTGCAATTTTCCTGTGGTATACAGCATACGGTCTACATACCTCAGAAACTATTACATGCACCATGAAACACACATCAAATATAAAAGAAGCAAATAAAATTACTTTTCTGCTGTCCTGAATCCTTAAAATAAATTAATAACGCCGATAACGCCAGCCAATACGCTACCCACACGAAACAAACTACCAAACTTACCCGCGAATTACAACATGCGAAAAAACTAACTACTACTAATAATAATAGTGACCTCTAGGGACAGTAACACAACACAACGCCGCGCATAACCAACATAAACTGGGAAGGCGAAAATTCCCGCTGCTCAGCAAGAAACCCGCGTAAGAGGTTTTCGTTGTAAACGTTGGTACTGAAATCGGCAGGACGGATTGGGCGGATTTTCGCGGATTGCGCAGTTGTCGCCAAAGGAGACTTGGAATTCAAACCTGATATGTCCCAGAGCGTAGAGTCCCAAATACCGATCAGAGAGCCGCTTCCAACAACATACACAGGAAGAAAGCAGTCTTCTGGGATTTGGCACCGTGTATATGTGGTGTTAACCGACGTTTCGGAGGAACGTATCGCCCCCATCTTCAGGGTAGAAGAAAAAGTATAAGAATTCTGCAAGCGACAACACCGTGAGAAACTACCGAAACGTCGGTTAACACCACATATACACGGTGCCAAATCCCAGAAGACTGCTTTCTTCATAGTCACCACTGTGAAAGCCTCAAATCTTACAACATACACAGGAGATGTGCAAGCACGCCCAACAGCCTGTAATTAGTACAACGAAGCAGTAAAAATACTCTCCTAGAAAAAGGGTGACTGTAGTCTCGACTGCTGGCCTGAGAAGGAACACAGACCCCTTCCACAAATGAAAGAAAATGATAAGTAGGGGCAAAGCGTGTTTATGAAAGGATGCCTCATCAGCTGAAGTGGGATGATGAAAGCCAGAGTCAAGCCCACCTTTCCATAATTTGGGCCCCTTAGCACGGATGAACTTGAGCCAAAAAATGGCAAGCTGATAGCTGGAGCCAAGTCCATGTTTCCATGTGTTGGAAGCCTTGGTGTGGATACCACAGTTACAGGCATGCTTCCTCATGGAGAATGGGAGAGAGGGATTAATTATGTGCAAAGTACTGGTGAGAGAAAGAATGACCAAGCAGGAGCACTGGTGTACAGAATATTCCAGTTTTATTAACTATTGAAACCAGTGGCTTGAAATGGCTCTTCAGAACTAGATAGGTGCCCCTTATCAGTGGAAGAACATAGGTAATGACCAATACATGTTACAAAGGAAATTATTAAAGTGTAGGTTCAGGAATTCATTCCTACATGCACAGTTACTGGGAGCAATAGGTCATCTTCAGGCACTGTAAATAGATCTGTTAAAGAAATGTACTATGCTACAAGCTGGAAGGTCACGGGTTCAAGTCCCAATGAGGTCATTGGATTTTTTTCAATTGACCTAATCCTTCCGGCCGCACTGGGCCCTGGGGTTTACTCAGCCTCTAACAGAAATGAGTACCAGGAATTAATTAAATAATTTTCTTGGGGAGTGAAGCGCAGCGGGCGCGTATTAGGTATTCAGGTATTAAATCCAAACTGATATAGAAGTGGGAACATAATACTCACTGTTTTCAATAATTTATTGTCAAATAAAAATAATTTTACATAAGATAATCATGGACACAAACATAATGCACTCACACAGCCGCTTGGCTATTGTACATCCTCTGTAACCATTTCACTGTTAGATTCCTTAAATGACAAACAGCTTGCTCATTATCACTGCCTAAGCCACATTCAGAGCTGCCTCCTTGAGTTGCTGGTGCAAACTTACAACCATATGCCAACAAATCCTCACAATCTGAAACTGAACCCAAGATGGCTTTGCTTCGTTGAACAATTTCAAACATCTTTTGTGTGCTTATTAAACTGCAGGTTGCTCTAGAATTTTCAAATGATATTACAGCTTGCATCATATGCAGGTACTTTCTAAGGTCAGACACTGCCAACTTTGAACCAAGTTTTGGCAAAAGATCTAACATCAAAAGCAATATGTGATGCGGAAGGTGCTGAATCATGGATGATTTCTTTTTAACTTTCTTGCCATCTTTCAATTCAGATGAATTAAGCAGAATAGTCTGAAAAGAGGATATGATATCAATTGTTGTGCTGATGAGAATTGTGTCATCCTGTGAAAACTGTCTGATTGTTTGGTGCAACCAGGATAAGAGACCATATGTGGTCACAAGCAGTTCAGCTGGAGTGGGAATCTTCACAGTTGATTCAATTACTTCCAGAATCAATTTCTGGAACAGCATAAAGCATAAATATAAGATTCCATGAATTCTGAAATCTTACTTCATATTTTAAATACATATCACATATAAATAAAGAGCAAAACAATGAATTTAAAAATATCATCAGTAAATAGAGTAATTGAACGTTACATATACGAGGGGGGACCCAAAAATAACCGGAAACGACCTGTTGTGCGCGCATGCTTTGTGAGTTGTGCTGCTAGATGGTGTTAGCTGGGGGTCTCCCACGACTGTTAGTGAGCTGGCGTCAGTCTGAGTTAAGTGGTTTGTCTGTGGTGCTCTGTTGTGTGCGTTCCTGTTTCAACCCTTTGGCGATTAGTGAGATGGCCGACCAGAAGGAACAAAGAGTGTGCGTGAAATTGATGAAGATGGTCGAAAGACCATTGACCAACTTTCTGAGGAAACGAACATCTCATGGGCACGGTCCAGCAAATTTTAACTGAAGGTTTGCACATGAGACGGTTGTCTGCAAAATTTGTTCCTTGCTTGCTCGGAGATGACCAAAGAGAAAACCGCATGAATGTTTGCCGCGACTTGAAGAGTGAAGTGCAGTTTTCCCTAACAGAAAGCAAAATTTCATGCACACTCTTTGTTCCTTCCGGTTGGCGATCTCATTAATCGCCAAAGGGTTGAAACAGGAACGCACACAACAGAGCACCACAGACAAACCACTTAACTCAGACTGANCAGCAGCATTCAACATTCGGTTAAACTTGCAGCATTTATTTCATTACACTCTATTTACTGACATTAATTATAATTTATTTGCATTATATTGTCATGTTCTTACACGTGCAAAGCACTGTCAACAAACAATGTAATGAGGGTGACCACTTTTTGTTTGTGTGTGCTAAAACCTTTACAAGTATGTGTAGCAATCAAAGATAGAGTAACCACAGAGCATTACTGTTCATTTGGAATCATCAAACAGCTAGGGAGAGAAATTACATTATTTACCCCAAGTAGTTCTACATACAGGTATGGAAAATAAGTGCTTAAGTGATCACTTCCCTGAGTATGAGACCAAAGCTGTAGAACTTCATTTTTTATTTGTGCCTGTAAGTCATCACATAACATCCTGTGTTTTTTAAACAGCAAACATTCAAATCTTAATGGTGAAAATCATATTCAAAAGGTCAGAGTAATGAACCTACAGATATGCAATAACTACATTTTTTTTTCTTTGGCCTAGGCCTACCTCCATGAACTTTCGGTTTTTCTAGATCTTACACATTCGGTAGAACTCCTTGGGCAGGTGATCAGCTCATTGCAAGGCCTCTACCTGTACACAAACACAGAAAAATGCACACACACAAACTAATCATCCATGTCCTGAGTGGGATTCGAACCCACGATCCCAGTTTCCAAGTGAGTGAAGACAGTACATGCCTTAGACTGCTCGGCTACCGTGAACGGCTAACTACATATTACCCTAATATAATTTACCAACCTTGGTATCATCATCAGCAAGGACAGATGAATAGAAGCTCAGTAATAGCTTGAACACCACACATCTCTGGCTTATTTGGAAATCCAAATCACTCTTCATACCATCTCGAATTATCTGCAGTATCCAAAGGCGATACATCCTACAAATGGAAGTACAGCAGAATAAGATCTTCAACAAAATAAAAATCCTGCTTGATTTCTTTCTAACTGTACTGTGTCTATATTCAAAATAAATAAACATTAAGACTGGATAAACAAAAGTATCTTTTGAATCTTTTAGGAATATCATTTGAAATTGATGGGAACATGTATAATTAAGCTATGAAGAGATGAGGAAAGATAACATTAATGAAAGAAGAAGATGGACATTTATTAACCCTTCATTCTACAGATCAGGCCGTGCCTTTGAACCTTTCCTGCAGGTGGTAACGTAGTGTGATTAATGACTGAGAAAAAAAAATTTGCACTTAATCTTGTGATTACAAGTTTTCCTTCAGGTGATAAATACGCAACAAGCAAAAGAAGAAATTTACAACTTCCAGAATCCACAGAACTTACATAAAAAGAAAGAGAACTGGATTTGCTAGAAGAAAGCTATGTTTAGAGTATGAAGGAAACAATGGAAAGAAAACTTTAGACTATGGTGTGGTGGAAAACATTCCTTGTGGGACACAGCAAATATTTCTGTGGAACCCCTACTTAATATTCCTAGATTCTAAGTCTTCCTGCATTTTAAAATTCAATGTCAGCAATCTCATCTCAATAATCAGGGCATGTGGTAATGCAGTTGGTTGAGGCACAATGCCACAAGCTGGAAGGTCACACGTTTAATTCCTAATGCGGTAACTGGATTTTTTCAATTGACCTAATCCTTCCAGCTGCACTATGGCACTGGGTTTGACTCAGCCTCTGATAGAAATGAGTACCAGGAATCTTCCTGGGGCCAGCACATAAGGCTGACAACCTAACCACCATCTGTAAGCCAATTCTCTAGAAAATGTTGGGAGCCTTGACATCTCACAGCCCTATGGGCCTACACAGCCTGTTACAGGGATGGATTTACCTTTTATCTTTTTACATGTCAATAACCCCGGCATTACATACCCTCCATTTTAGGTTTTCCACAGTTCAGTGTTCAAAACTGCTGCTTCTTGGGAAAAGTGAAAAAAGGAGTTTCACTGTTATGTAGTTGTATTCGGGGGGTGGGAATTTAGATATTACAATAACTCTCATACATGTGGTAAAGCAGAAATTACACAGCATTAAATCCATTTTTAATTCATTTTTGGGGGAACAGCTCTTCTTAAATTGCATCAAGGTATTCACTAAATGGCAGTTATACAAAATTATACCAAGAAAATGTTCATTTTCTTATAAAACTACTGTATATAACTATAAAATAATTAATTATATAACTGGGTAAACTGCTGCTACAAAAAAAAATAATAAAACATATAATAATATCAAATCACTTTCTAAAATAATGAAATATCAAAACAACACTGAGAAAACCTCAGTCGAGAATCAAAGCAACTATGATCACATGCAGCAGGACACTCTGACAGAAAGAAAACGTACCAATTGCTATTTTTACCACAAATTCCATTAAATCAAGGCAGGGTTCTGGAAGATCAAAGACTTCTTACACTAAATGAAGATTATTTATTAAATTGAAATTCACAAAATATGGAAAAATAATACAGTGTCCCAGGACGAAAGATCAGTATTCTGGGAGGTCATGGTATCTGTCATTTGAAGCAAAAAAAAGTGTATACCTACATGTATCCTATTCCAAATGGTTTCTGAGATAAAGTTATTTCAGGAGATATTACGTACTGTTTCTGATTAGATAAAGTTGTCCCTGAGATTAACGAATTAAGCACTATGCCATGAAGGCGCATGGGAGAGTGAATGTATAGACCCATGTTTTCTTGACCTCGGCAGTAGCTGGAGGTGAATGGTCAGCTTCACACCCTGGCTGCTTTAACCCTGGGGAAAGAGGCCCCAGTATTCACGGAACAGGAGGTTGGGTGGACCCCAGAGCCAGTCTGGAAGAGATCAAAAAGTAAAAATTCTTGACCCCACTGGGACTCTAACTTCAACCCCTCGATCATCCAGGCCACAGCCAATTGCTAAACGAACTGCACTATCCCGGCTCTTTGCTGTTTCTGATACTGGTATTTATTGTTCAAGTGACAAAGTTGGTACAGTTTACCTAACATAATACTGTCATGTGTAGGGAGGCGCATGTGACGATAATGATGGGTTCTAGTTGAGATGATTGGATTTATTAGCACCTTGGTTATAAGTTCTTTCTTAATTACAATTTGTGCAGCGCTATCGCTGTTTCTGCACTTTATAGTTCACTGTTACACACACATTACACCTCTCCTGGTAATGCAATTAAAACATAGGAACTAGCGCTTCAAATCACTCCAAATATTACAGGTATATAAAGTCTTCTAATTACACTTCAAGTCTTTACAGGTCGATTTCAACTACGATTTTCCCGTGGCCGTCTCCTACTGAGAACTCAGAACTGACTTGTAGCGCTGTTCATCTGTAAGATAACTCCTTTCTACAGACCCCACGGAAAACACCATCTCCCATTGTTGTGGATGCAAGTTTTCCACTGCATTGCCTGGTAAAGGAAACATTTTGCCAAGAATTTGCCTTCGCAGGAACATGTTTACCTAGCTGTTCCCTAGCAATGGATAAGCATGTCACAATATATTTCTGAAAATTCTACCATCAACATCGATGCATTTTGCAACTTGAGTGAAGACATGTATGTTGCTCATTTGAGTGCATCTTGACGTTCCTTTATGCAGGTGATAACATTCATTATGTGACTGAGCAGTTTGTCTCATGTATCCACCTTTTTCTATACACTTCATAGTATACTCTTCATCCAATCCCATAAACAAAAATCTAATGGTGTTAAATGTGGAGATCTTGGTGGCCAGTTAGTGATAATGCCACAACCGATGCACTGATTGGAGAAAGTGTCATTGAGATGCTGCATCACCAGTTGTGTGTAATGAGAAGGGGCTTCCATCACGCTGAAAGTGTGTAGCAATCTGTGTAGCCAAAGGAACATCCTATAGTTGTTCCAATAATCCATTTTTCAGGAAGTCTAAGTAATTATGTCCTGTCATAATATCGTCTAAAATAACAGGACTAATCAACATGTCATCAATCACACTGATAGAGAAATAACACTAAAAAGTTGTTTCCACAGTACCATTTGCATCATTGTGACACCATCGATGGCAGTTATGTATGTTGTTGGTTGAATTACATGTGAAAGTAGTTTCATCAGTGAATAGTATTAATGGAAGCAATTGTGATTAGTATGTAACCAATGACAAAATTGTAGATACATGGCACTGTCCCCTGGATGTAGATTGTGCACACACACTGTGGGTGAAATGAGTACAAGCCATCATCATGCAGTGTGGCCACACATGTGATCCTGTTCCACCACATGTTGCTGATGTGCTTGTTCAGATGAAACATGAGCAGTGGGAAAGGTACCACATTCATGCAATGTATTGAACACCTTGGAAAACACTCTACAATTTGGATTTCTGAGCAGAGGAAACAGCCAATGGTATTCAACAGCACCAGTGGTACTACCATCGCAGAAGCCATAAACATACAGCATATCAGTATATTCAGCATTTTTCACAACACTCCTACAATGTCACTATCAACAGTCACAACAGACACCTGACACTTCACACCGATTCACATGCTTCAGACAGTTGCGCAGTATGGCAGGAGGGAAGGACAATATTGGGTACCAAATCCAAGGAAACCATTTGGAATAAGACACATGTACAAATACACTTTTTTGCTTAGAATGACCGATATTATAATCTACCAGAATATTGACCTTTCTTCCTGGGACACCCTGAATATTATTTATACTGGGCCTGACAGGGATCAGAAAGAATACTAACTACATACAGGCTTTCCTTAAGTGTGGGAACAACAGACTGGGATTTCACTGAATATGAAGAGAAGCGGAGGAAATATAATGACGTAATGACTCTATATGCTCATGTTTCTGAAGTCTAGATTTGGTCCACTAACACAGAGAAGACTATCTCAATGCTATTCTAACAAACTAAGGAATGAGTCTGACCTCCTGTTCACAGACTAAGTGGAATTCACATCTGAAGTCTCAGTAATCAAGCCACTCAATTTCATGACACCTAGTCACATCATTCTACAATGAATAGTGTGACGTGTCGCGCTAGCTGGACCCCACCCCCCGGGATCTAATGCGCCGAGCGGAGCCGAGGTTAGCCGAGTCCCCGCATCCTGGTAGCTATGCAACGCGAGTCAACAGCGGTGACGTCACCAAGGGGTACCGCGGTTGCTAGGCAGCGCGGGTAAACAGTGATTGCGAGAGACGACAGTAGTAACAGTGGTACACAGCGTTTCTAGCACGATGGCACCAGACATAGTGGTGCTTATTACGTGGCCGTTTTCTGTATTGTCCGATCGAGGCTACATAAGGAGCAGCGAAGGCTATTCACAGTTAGTCCTCGAGCTACCTCCGAGTTAGTTCCGAGTTAGCCAGCAACCAGCCAGTTGTATTCTGGCATTTGGAGTATAGTATTTGTGATACTGCAGATAGCAGTAATTGTGAATCTGTAATTTGGGTGATTGTAAGTGCGAATGTGAAATAAAATTCGCTATATCAAATACGGTGTGAAGTTATTTGTCGCGTTATACGCCCAATACGTGACAATAGTAACAGAGGGCTGATAATGTATGCAATGGACCTGGAACACATACACATGAAGTACACTAAACGTGTTTGAGAAAGAAATCAAATTCACCTGAATTCAACTTCTGAGCTATGGAAGAATGTGAAGAACTCAGGTACAGTATTCAGATTAAGTGATAATTTGGCTATAATGAAATTCTGCAATGGAATGTACATCGCATGATGCGTCTGTGGCAGAATCAGCGAAGTTCTAGCAAGAAATGTAGCTATGATGCAAGCAAGTTGTGGGTTTGGCGTCTTGTTCTTCAAGGAAACCACTCCATTACGCAGAGCATCTAAAAACTGCAGACCCAGCAATCTTTCTTTGACATTTCTGTAACAAAGTAACAACATTAAATGGTATAAATATCTCTAAATCTTCCAAACCCCTGTTTATATTTGGGATAATACTGTCTTTCTGACAAACTGTACTTAAAAATAAATATTTTTTATAAAGGGAACCATATTTATGTCAGCAGCATAACTGATTTATGAATCATGCTTTTCAGTTACTGATTTTCCTAAACATCTCCAGAAATGAAATCCTAGGTACCACGTGTTACTGTCCAGAGCAAGAAAACTATAAGGATGGGTCTTCCTTAGCTTTCTTTAGGAAATATTTAAGGCATATATTCCCATTATAAATAACAATAAGACTTACCTACATGCTTCTACATGGAAGTACAATCTTGCTATGACATGATATGCAGCAGCTCGAGTATCCTCACATGTAGAACATAACGCTGCTAAAGTAACAGCCAATCCACCTGAACTTATGAACTTGTGGGTATGTACAACTGCTTCAGGAGCCAGCAAGTGACTGAAGAGCGGCAGCAAGAAGGCTGGGTCATACACTTTATGCTCATACTTGGCACATTCAGGAGCCTGCAGACATGGCAAGTAAAGTCTCACTTATGCTAAGTATCACACTTCCACACAAGTAAAAATGCATGTGGGGGCTCGGACATAGAGCCCCACCTACTGTGGACCTTGGGACTACAGAAATGAGTGATCATCACCACATTTTGCTTCCTTTACTCCCAAGAAGATGGCTCCTATAACCCACTATACTAGATGCTGGATGGACCAGGGAGATTTTCTTTACATTGTGGTGAGGAGAAAAATACCAGCAAAGAAACCCCAACCATCCAGCCCACAATCAGTGATCTTGCCAACTAAGAAGCTATCCTTGTTCAACTATATGAAATTAATACAAGATCTAATGCTGAACATTGAGAAGTTGCAACTGTTACTTGAGAAAAAGTACACATAACTAATTATGGCTGGATTAATTGGCTATCATTATTACTAAAAGCAAAAGGTTATGTAAAATAAGACAGCCAAGAAGAATGCAGAAGATTCTTGCTCATCATATGAATAACACATATACAATAATACACAGCTTGGCAATACCATAGCTCAGACAGTTAGTCACAGGATTCCCATTGCAGCCTGGGTTAGATCATGGGTCAGGTCATGTGGGATTTGTGGTGGACAAAATGGCACTGGGGAAGGTTTTCTCTGAGTACTTTGGTTTACCCTACAAATCCTCATTCCATAAAATGCTCCATACTCATCTGTCATCTGGGGCTGGTATAATAGGCCAATTAGTGGCTGACATAGTCTCATGCCACTATAAGAAATTAAACAAAAAAATAAAAACGTTTCTTGTCACAATGTGGATTCAAATATACCATGAAAGCATGAAAATAAATTTTACAGTTTAAGATGAGATAAAGATGAGAATCTTGTAAAATCTGGGGACTCAAGATTAGAATGAGAACTTTCTCTAGCAGACCAATTTTTCACTGCAACTGCAATATGTATCAGTACCCACTTTTCAAAATGCACTAAAATGTACTTCTTATCCCTTCTGACACCAAATATTTCTTCAATAAAAAACTGTCATAAAGTACTGTATTAAGAAAACCAATTCTATAGCCATGTCCTTTTTCACCATGGGCATAATAAATGACAGAGAGCCAGACTGTGTTGAAAAGTTGATTTGCGCTAACAGTGGATCAGTTAATTTGTTCTACTGTGTAAAGAAAAGAGTTATCTGAAAATTCTTGAAGTCTGAGACTGAAAATCAGTGTTCAAATCACAAGACTTTTTATCCAAAGCCTGAAGAAAAAAGTTCACCTTTGAGACCTAATCATAAATGCTGTGTAATATTAAAATCAATACTACAGAAGGGCATGAACTTGATTCAGATACATGAGGATTGGTATTGTGGTGGCTCTCATTAACACAGAATAAAAAAGAAACAGGAAATTTCTAGAAAGACTAGGCAACTATAACTTTCCAAAGAAAAGTCTGTACCATGGACTGAGCTGGTTAATTAGTCAGCAATATCTTATGACCCACTTTGACTAGGCATGTTCAGTTTGGTACAGTGAAAAGTGAAGAAACATAACCACAAAATTTTATATAATGTTTCTTTGTATTTAAAATATCAAACAGGCAACAGCAGGAACCTTTGATATTAAGTTGTTTAAATACTGATACTCCTGAAAATTCCACATGAAGATACAATAATATGTTGTACATTTATTAACCCATAGATTCTACTGGCCCCTCTGAGCAAATTAAAAAAAATGAGCACAAAAACTGCTTCCCAAAACGTTTTGTTAATGTAATACATATACCAGGTATTCATGTTACAATGCATCAGGTTATCTAAAAAAAAAGATCAAACACATAAATGCTTCATAATTTGATGAATATCCAGAGTTCTCCTTTGAATAACATACTGCACTTATTTTAAAATAAAAAATTAATAATTTTCACCAATATGCTCCAAGCTACATGAAAGGCGTAAGTACTACAAAAAACCTACAGGAACAATGATAAAAGATAAAACGTGCTCAACTGTAGGGGTACCTTACTACATCCTATTGCATAATACAATTAATTCAAAACAAGTAATACTTAAGTGCTCACGTTTAAACCTCTGCTGAGGGGAAAGTTCTTTATGGTTTCTAATATACAATCCTCATCAAGAAGCTCCAAAACTTGGTTTGCTTGTGGCTGTCTCCACAGGGACATTCCCATATCAGATTTTACACTGTAGTAGCTGACTGCTGCTTCACCCCAAAGATATGGCCGACACTCGTACAAGCTTACTCCTCCAGCCTCATACATCTGCAGTAGCTGTAATCAGTTACATTAAATTAATTACAAATGCAGTACACAATGCAGATTTTTATACTAAACACAGTGTAAATTCTGATGCTGATGGAAATAAAAACCATGAAGGAGCAGCATCTGGAAACCAATTATGAAGAAATGAGAGTTTTTCCATGTATCAGTCTCCTTTTCTCAATGAAACAGGCTCAAAAATCACACTGAAACACCAATACTTGTAGTAATTCAGAGTTTGTGGCAAAGAGAAAAGTTCCTGCACCTTGCATGAATTCAACCATGACCACCCAGCTTGTACACACCTGAGTTCACAGAGTGGGAAGAACGGGTACAAGAAAGAACATGAGCTATGTGAAACTCATGAATGAGAGTAAGGTTACCATAATAGTGTCATAATGCACAATGATCATGAAAAATCTCATATCTGAAGGATCAGTGAAGTTTGCATTATATGTGAAGAAGCTGGTCTCCCTATATAAGAGCAACAAAATTTGAAAATTATAATATAACAAACAAAATTATTTTTTATGGTCAAGTATCTTAGAAAACATTTCTAATTAACATTCCCTCCAGATTATTGTTCAATTCTATTGCTTCAAAAGAAGCAATTGAAGAATTTCAGTATACTACAAAAGCGGTCTGAGAAATGGATCCATGATGATTTTTAAAATAACTGATATCCAATTACTAAGGACTTCTTAACAGCAAGACTTACTTGGAGAACAAGCTGATCAGTCATCTCCAGTGTTGCATTGTATGAGCCCAAAAGAACTGGAATGTGGGAAGATAACATTACTGATGGATCCTTCTTCACAAGCAAAAGTAGTAGTTCTGTAAGTTTACCTGAAATCCAACAGATAATAAACAATGAGAAAAGTCTATCAAACAATATTTGTGAGTAGAGGTTCCAAACAACTATAATTTCGATGAGGAAGAATCATGATAATTAACAAATGCAATCAGATTTAATTCCAACTAGTGATTTTAACATTTTGACAGCAGAGGAAACTATATTAAATGACCAAGTGAACTCCAGTTATGTCATTAAACACAATATCTTCCATTCATGACATAATGAAATAGCGAGTTAAATACATTACTGTATAAACATCTAGTTGCATTTTTTTTTCTCCTGAAAAGTGATGTTTCGTTATTTAATTATGATTTTCCACATCATTACAGAATTACACATAAATGACCATTTGAAAATGTTTAAAAATGCATCTGGGTATAACAATGACAAATAGAAATGAGATTCAATACAAAATTAGGAGAATTCAAGAAATACTATTATTAATTTCAAAAGCTGTTATCATCCTATCTGCTTTCCAAAGTGCTAAAATGCCATAATTTCTTTCTGGTTGTTCTATATGGCAGTGAAACATGATCTCTTATCCTTAGAGGAAGACATAAATTGCAAGCACTTGGAACAAAACTGCTTAGGACAATATTTTAATGTAAGGTGAATTAAGTGACACACTTAGGACAATACACAACATGAAGCTCTCTGATTCATGCATTTACCTAGCATTCTCTGACTTGTGAAACAACGGCTATGATAGGTTGTACATTGCTTAGCTGTGAAACAAATGCAGATGGAGTTTTTTCTTTAAGCTTTTTTATTTAATGATGCTGCCAGTATCAAGACCATAGTGTGTCAATGATAGGATGATTAATGAATATGGAGCAGTTGGCAGAATGGGAATTAAACAGGGAAAGTGAAATACTCTTGAGAAAACCTGCCCCAGTGCCACTTTGTCTACCAAAAATGCATACAGAATTTTGGTCCATAAACATCAGGCAAATTAGCCATTTGGAAGACCAAGGAGAAATGCAAATAATATTACACTGAACCTTAGGGAAACAGGTTATGAGGATACAATACATATAAAATTCTCTCAGATTAGTGATCAATCATGGGATTTGGTATTTACAGTACCAAGCCTTCAGACTCCTATTGCCATTTAGTTAATGTGTTGTCAGTGTCATACAGTATCTTCATCTTGCATAAACAGAAGTATGAATAAACAAAACAAGGAATGAATAAATAAATTTTATATAAGTCATGAAGAGCTGTGGCAAGGTTGCAATAAAACTTTACAATTACCAAGACATCAGCAGTTAATAAGTTAGCAATGGTTCTAAACTGAGTGGCTCAGATTAAAATTCCACTACCTGCAAGAAGGCAAGGGGCCAGAATGATCCCTTATGCCACTTCTACATTAATCTGATCTTACCATGGCAGGATATGCCATGCTTTCACAAGTGAGATCCTGGAAACTGTCAGGGCAGTATAACTGACCACTCATTGCAGTATGGCAGAAATGCTGTGATTATATATTATTACTATTAGATTCAAGATCAGCTGTTTTAAATAATACCTATAACTACTGTCACATAATTAACTCTAACTATATCAGCCATTTCCAATCCCTTGGGATTGATTTCCTTTCAGCAACTATAGCTCACAGCACCTTTCGTCAGACTTAAGCCTGAAGCAAGTCCATGTATGAAACCAATCATTCACTTCCTTCTATGTCAAGGCCTAGGAGTATGCCAAGTTGCACATATTTTGACAATTTAATTTATGAATAAAAGATTCTACTTGAAAGTTATTTGAAGACATTTTGTAGGAGTTGCTTTCAGATGTAATTCAAGTCCAATATGATGAATTTACACATCATACAATGACATGCAAATTATAATAAACTGCTGAGTAAATAAGTAAATATATAAAGGCAGAAAAAAGAATCAACAGTAATGCAAATATTAATTTAATATCAAGAACCAAAGGTTAAATTTTTCATATAATCTTTAAAAACTTACATTTTTTTGGTGTTTTCCCAAGCATAACATTGAGAAATTCTGAATGTGACAATGTCCACTGATATACTTCATTTATTTGTGGTTCTTCAGCATTATTTTCATAAATTATGTCACACAGCATAGCCAGAGTACCAAGTAACTTGCCACTGGTATCTTGGTGGGGCTGTAGACCAAACTTCAGTGACATCTTAATGAAAGACAGCCATACAGTGCTCTTCTTCATAGGTGCTGAGATGCCCTGTTTTCCATCAATTAACACCACACAGTCTTGTAATGCTTGACACATATTTTCCATCTGCTTCTCATCTAATACATTTTCTGTTGGCAAACTGACCAACATCTCAAGTATCAATAACATAAAATCAATCTGACACATTTCACTGTCATTTGGATTTGTTGCCATTTTTGTAAACAAGCATTTAACAATATTTATGTAGAAATTCTCGTATCTGTCCACCTTTGCAGCAGTTGACTTCATTTTATGATAAAGGTCTTTACACACATCAAAATCTGAAATTAACACGTCATGACTGTAATAAACACAAATATTTTTGCTGACAGGTTATTCAACTAACTGATTAAAATACTTTCATAATGCCTTTACTGCATTTCAGTTCTACAAAGATATGGGTTAGCATCTACATGTCACAGTCTTGAACCTCTGCACTATCTACATGTCACTGTCTCGAACTTCTGCACTAACTGATTAAAGCAGCAGTCTCTAGACTACACTCTACAGGCAATTAAGTGATAAGAACTAACTGCATAGGTAAACAGTCACTCAGGAAGTCAAGAATTTCCCCATCTTCAATACAACCAGAAGGTTACTCATCATGTTCACAATCTACATGAAAGCAGCAACATCCTCACATCCTGTTTTCTTTAACATCTATTTTAATATTATTCCATTAGCCTTCCATCTAGATTTTTTAACTTAAATTTAGTACACATTTCCTATCTTCCCATGCATGCTACATGTCCTGTCAATCAGATCCTTCTTAATTTCATTACCCTAATACTATCAAGTGAACCGACTGAACAGTGTACCGACTGGCTATGGACTGGACGACCTAGGGGATGGAGTTTGAGTCCTGGTAGGGTCAAGAATTTTCTCTTCTCCATCTTGTCCAGACTGGCTCTCAGGATCACCGGCCAAGGCGTGAAGTTGAACACTCACCTCCAGCTAGTGTCAAGTTCAAGAAAATATGGATCTATACATCCACTCTCTTACGTGCCTTCATGGCATAGCGCTTAAGTGGCGAGTTGAAGAAAATGAGGATCTATACATCCACTCCCTTCTCCCTTACATGCCTTCATGGCATAGTGCTTAACTAGTTAGCACACAGACAACTTACTTGAAATACCATCTGGCAAAGAACACAAAACATAAAGCTCCTCATCAGGTAATTTTCTTCAGCCTCCTGTTACTTCATCATAGATCTAAATATTCCCACAGCACCATGTTCTCAGGCTTTACAGGGAGGGACCAAGTTCCACACCCATACAGAACAACAGATATTAGAATCATGTCAGAGAACAGTATGAACAATGGCAATATGCGAACCATCCAAAATGGATAGTTCAGCTAGGTGAGAGAAGATAAAAACTGGTTTCTGCACTGCAGCAGACATTTCCAGACACTGCTATACACAAACATTTCTCAGAGTCATTGGGGCATGTATCTTGCCACTGCAGGTAGACCTCAATTGTCACTGTTGGCATATTAGAGTGTGCATGAGGTACTGTAGAAGCAACTGCTAAATTGTGAACCCTGTGGAACAGTTGAAAATGTAAAAAAAAAAAATATATATATATATGCCAACAATAAAACAGAAGCCTGACTTAACTGCGAAATCTGAAAACAGTGGACTTGATGACAAGTTATGTATGGACTATACATGAAATAAAGAACATGTCTAAGTTCACAATATTGGCAAGAAACTGTGCTAATAATGTTGGACATTCTGTATGTATGATTATGAAAGACTGGTGGGAAGCCAGAAGAAAAGAAGTAACTAGGAAGCCCAAAAGGTAGGTTATATTAATATGGATCCTAGAGAGACACGATGGGGTGGTATGGACTTGATTGGTTTGGCTCAGGATAGGGACCACTGGAAGGCTCTTGTGAACATGGTACTGAACCTTCAGGTTTCATAAAATATTCAGCAGTTGTTTAGTAGCTGCACAACTAGCAACTTCTCAATAAGTACTCAGCTCCATGAAGATAGTTAGTGATGATTATGAAAGAAGCATCATACAAAGAACTGGATGCTGTACTTTTACTGTAGTTCATACAGAAATTATTTCATTCCATTTGCATAGTATTTCACAAATTTGTGCTAGAAGCAAATCTGAACATGCACACTCCTAATGAGTGTGGATTATGTTGAAAAGGCATTCCCATAAGAACACCTGCTTTTGAAAAAGAAAGGCATCTGCCCAGGCATAAGTCACATAAAGCACATCTTATGATCATGTGCTGTGCAAATGCAACTGGAAACCTACAATAAAACTTGTAACTGGCAAAGCCAAAACCTATAATTACTTACAGACACAAAATCAAGGACTATCTGTTCAATTACAGTCAGAAAGAATAGAGACATTTCTGAAAATTGGTTCCATAAGATGTCTGTACCAGGAATTCACATTTCCTGAAAGAAAAAGCATTTCCTCAGAAAATAGTTTTGCTGCTCAGACAGTGCCCTTCTCATCCCAGCTCACTGCCTTCAGACAATGACCTCATCATTGTAAAGTTCTCTGCCTCAAAATGAGAATCATAATGCAGCCTACAGATCAAGATTTCATTGCATCAATGAAATGATACTACCAGGATGGCTTTTTCAGAATTCTTGTCAAGAAAGATGACATTATGACAATCTGGTAAAAGGTGACAGTGATACATGGTGTGACTGGTATCTCAAGTATTATCTTTAGTAGAAGAGTTAACACTTGCATAATCATAGAGGAAACAACTTCCATATCCAGAAGAAGACAATTTTCAAGGTTTTTTAAATTACTGATTAACTGAATGCTCTGCAAGGGTATGAAAACGGTGATGAATTAAACTTTGATGAATGGCTGCAAAGTTACACATATGAATCTAATTTCTAGTACATGACCAATACAGGTATCGTCTCAGAATTCTAAAAGAACAAGAACAAATACATATTACTAATTTGTCTGTCAAAATAAGAAACAATTGTACAGATCTAGTATATAAATAGTGAGTAAGTGATTCATGATATGCTATAAGAAAACAAAATATCTTTGATTATCAGTGGTTTTCACTTATTCATAGAACTTATCTCCTTCATTTATCTGCTTAATTGGGATCTGACAGTATTTTGTTGAATAACAGAAGAAAGCAAAATAAGTTATTAAAATTCTATTTGCATTAGGAACAAAACTTTATGGCACTGCCAGTAATGATTCATCAAAGACATGGTTCTAGCCAATTTGTGTTCAATTCATTGGTTTTAAATTCACTTTGAATTAACAGATTCTTCATTTGTTTTTATATGATACATTTCCAATTATTATTTTTTGAAGCTTACATTGCAGGGCTAGTGCTGAAAAACATGTTATATGCAACACACAGTAACAGTTCACAAGATGTACAATAATGAGTAAATTTCTTCTGTAGTTCTGTATAAATGACAAATATATGAAGGCTCTTTCTTCTTTTATAAATGCATGAATAAATGCAATTCAAAGAGTATGCAGCTTGTACTGGCAAAGTTTTATTAATATACAACTTACCTATGCATTTATGCATAAGCTGCACAACAACAGAACTGTAAGACTTTAGCCAATCTGCAGCCTCAGAAGGACTCAACAGCGCTACCTGAATTTCAGCACTATATTCACTGTACATTTTGTTTAGAATGTTTTGTTCAATTGGTGTACTGGATTTGAAAGCAGCAGATAAGAGTGGTAAGACAATAGCAGCATTCTGTCTCAGATTTTTACTTTGTCTTACAAGTGATATAAAGTCATGAATGAGAACTGGTCTGCGACTAAGCAAGAGTGAACACAACTTTACAGAAGAGCTGCTAACAGCTTGCTGCTGAAGGAGACACTGGAGCAATCCTGAAACACAAAACACGATGCAGTGTCACATTTGAAGTTTCAGATAGGAAAGATCCAGCATTAATCGACGTGGGAGATGCAGTAGGGAATAATTTCCTGGAGTAACTCATCTGACAGAAAAAAGCTATTTCCATTGCAAAATTAAATTGGCAAACTCATGATGGGTGTCAAACCCCATAATTCTTGTACAGATCTATTTAAGAGACTAGAGATCATAACTCTTCCATGTAAATATATATTTTCATTAACAACTTTCATTACAAATAAAGAAGAACATTTTCAGACCAATGCAGGCATACAGTGTTGTTGTTGTTGTTGTTGTTGTTGTGGAAACACACTTGTAGCATTACATAGTAAGGTTCCGTGTAGATACTCAGCATAACATCTGAGTTACATTATCCACTACCTTGGTCAGTCACACTTTGGGGGGAATGTATTATCTCTTCCTTGGAAAACAAACTGAGCCATTCAGGAAACATGACTTATTACTAAATGTCTAATAAGATTAATGATCCATAATACTACAAAAGTTATGCTGTCTTCAACATTGTAAAATGTAAACATCATCTACCTACATTAATTGAATGTTACTTGACAAATTGTCACATGGAAAGTTTCTGCCGCTTTGAAGTGTGTATTCAATTTGTATATTTTATAACTCTTAATTTCTATGTATATATTAGACACATTAATTCTATATTTCCTAAATAAACTGGGTCAAGATCATGGAGAATGCTAGAACATGAAGACAACAGAAACAGTTCTCTTACTTGTCTGTATATGTTCAAGATGATGTGGAAACTGCTCCAAGTATTGCAGGAAGTGTTCTTCCATCAGCGTACTATGAAGTTGCTCTTGTTTTGCCAGCTGAGCCACATGGTTAGCTACGGCAGTCACCATGACTGCCCTAAGAGGTTTGTGCAAAGTTATGCAGCAACCCAATAGTTGCACTAAAAGACATCCCCACACTGAGAGGGAATGTGAATCATCACTTATACATATCAAGACCTCTGTTGGCACTGCCACAAGATGGTCCATAAGTTTTAAGACCTCGGGAAAACTCAGCTCAAAGAGTTTCACAAATGGAATGACATTTTCCATATTCAAGCACAATAATTTGTTTTTCTTTAGTCTTCCAATGATCTGCTGGATTAGTTTTTGTTTGAATGGCTTTAAGATACCACTCAAAGTCATCATATCAGTTCTTGAAAAAGATGAAAATTTCAGCAATTCTAAAACAAGTTCAGTGACCAGTTTCTCAGTAATTTGTTTCTTTCGATATATGGGAGTGAAAGACTGCAGAAGAATTGGGTGGGTAAATGTGTGCTTAAGGCAATGAAGTGACAGCTGTTCTTGGTCTAACAAATGAGCCTTTTCTTTCCAGGAAGCTTCAGCTACCTCATCTTGATGTTTCTTGTCTAGATGAGAGACTACAAGCAATAATGATAACAGTGCCTCTTTACAATTATCTTTCAGTTCCTTAGTAAGTTCTCCATGGGATGCAAGCTGTGTCATGTGAAAAACACACAATTTGTAGAGAAGCAACATGTGTATTGAATCTCTGATGCAAGATCTATCACTATTGAAATACTCTGTGGGGTCCATCATTGGATTTGAAGCATTAATTTCATTAATTATCAAAGAAGGATCCATATCTAAACCCAGAATACGACTGATAGAATATTCAACTGGCTGTAAAAGGGCTTTACTGATTTTACTCTCAGGACTCTGACTTCCAAATGGTTTCTTGAGTGGCTGTGGTGATCTTTCAGACGACCATCCACAGACATACATCATGACAGCAGATGGCAATAACCCAGACCAACGTTGGATAAGATGTAGCAAAATTCCTGATGAAGTCTGGCAATGGAGCAGATGAGTTACCACACATGAAATAAAGTACTTAATGCCCTCAAAATGATCATTATCACTCATAGCAGCTGCAGTTTCTAATACACCTGGCAATAATGGACTCAAAGTGACAGCAGCAGGCAAAGCATTTTCAGATTCTTTCATCTTTTCTCCATCAACCTCATAATCTGAGGCTTCCAGCAGCTCTGAAAAGAAATCATTACTGATATAATAAGAAGCATAATTTGATCATCAATGATGCAGACATTCATAGGTGTCCTACATACCTGAGGCAATAACAAACTGAGTTAAGTATGTGCTAATTTCTTATTGCAAATGAGGAATATAATTTTATTTCAGATAATACTTATTACATTTGTAAGATAGCAAACTCCACCTGCTGGAACAATGTTGTGTTGACAGAACTATCCCACAGAGACAGTCCTGGGATTTAACCCATGCTCCAGTGTCAAGTCTGAGGTATGGCAAGATCTAAAAACAAATGTTAATAAAAAATCTATTTATCCTCACCATCAAAAATATCTTCTAGTCGACTGCTCTCCAGTACTTGCTTAGTGTCTTCTGCTGCTTCTTCACACTGTGCAATGAAGTCTATATATGTTTCTGGGTTCTGACTAACACGTACAATTGCATCAACTAGAAGCCTGATAACAGATTTCCTATGTTCAGCAGGGACTGTAAGGCAACAGTGAAGCCACACAAACACTTCACTCAGAACACCCTCAAACAACCCTGTGTTGATCAAAAGGATACACAGGATATTCCTGGCCTGTATTTTGGCAGAAGGGTAGTCAACCAGGTAAGAAAGACGCTCAATAGCATCACCAAACATTTCCTAAACAGAAAGAAAAAACCATGGCCAATCTTCATACATGTTCATTAACTTGAAGATAATAAAGGCATACAAATGTACAAGTGCCTAGAACATAAAGTGCACACGGAATCTCGGAGAATCCCTTGCCATAATGCTTCTGCATGGACCACTCCATTGAGAATATAACCCAACATGCAAATTGGCAAAACCCCATAGATGGTGTACAGAACACTCTAAATAAGCAAGAATGAAATAAAGTATATATCAGTGTCTGAACTATAAAATGGGCTTGTGTTTTGAAAGCCCCCTTAAGAAATTTCATTCTACAGCATATTTTAAAATTTCTCGTAAGTTCATATATTTAATGCTTCAACTGGTATAAAATTTCTTTGGTATAAATACAATTTCATATTCCCCATACTTTCTTCAACATGTACACAAATTCTGGTGGCTACTGGCCATGAGAATTGGTGTATGAATTTATGTTGAACATTGCTCATGTACAGATCCAACTGACAGTAAAGTAGAAATAAAAATATTACTGCTTTTCAGTGCATCCATGTGAGGACCAATGACCAACTTGGACAGTTAAAAAGAATGAAAATGATAACATTTTAATGAAACTAAAGTGCTGAAGAAATGATTTAATTCCCTGGTACAAGAGAACCTAAAGGTTATACTCCAAACAACAAACTTTCATTAATCCCACTAAATTAGAGTTCTTCAAGGCTTCCTTCCGACAACAATTTTAATGTAAGTGCATCCTGGACATCCAGGCAGCCTTTCATCACATGGTTTTAAATTCAGTGATTATTCAGTAATACTGTTTCCCCACACGTTTTACGAACTCAGTCCGTACAATTTCCTTGCCACATGTGCAAGGACAGATGGCCACACATACATGCATGCATACACACACAGATCTCTAGATATACTTCCCATATTTAAATACAAATTATCATCAGACAAAATGGTCTTATTTAGAGAACTAGTTATGAAGATTTAAATGATATTAACCTTATCAGGAGTAAAGGCAAAGCTGTCTAATGTTATCAAAAGTTGTAAAACCCTCTCCTGTATGATAGCCACAGCTTCACAATCTTCTTCATTTCCCAGCATTTGTTCAATATCAGCTAAGAAATTGACAGAACTTGGAATGTCCAAAATATGTGGAAAACATTTATTATATAGCAGAAATAAATCCATCACTGCCAAAAGATGTGATCTTAAGTTCTGCTCAGGTATACTGGGACCAAATTGAGAGTCCTCTTCCTCTTCACTTTCTGCAGGTGGTGATAATGCCATGTTCCATAAAGACAACAGCACTTCAGCATTTGGAAGTTCCTGAAAACAGAAGTAAGACAAACATTTAGGTATTTCCAAAGACATTTTCTGTAACAAGGCTTGTTTAAATTATATTATACAATTAGGGATTGTAAATTCTTATAATGGGAAAGACACATATAACAATTATGCAATGTTAAATCTGAAAGTTATCATCTTATAAAAACAGTGATATATCAAACTTTTATGAAAGGAGTAAAGCCTTACACTAGGAAAGAGAGGATGAACCAATGGCACTAATTGAGATATCAGGTGGCACTAATAATGACAGGTTTTATCTATATTAATATCTTGAGCCACCTGGCAATTTAACAGTTCCCAAAGCTGTAATCCTCTTTTGTAAAACACACTTTTGCTACTACTTTATGCATCCACCATGAACACTAAGAAGGTTACCTCAAGAAAGATAGCTATATATATATATGTGTGATGATTCTTGCATCTCTCATTCTAAGCCACCTTATTTTTACCAGATATAATGTCAATAAATGGAATAAGGAAATATCTTCTATACTTATGAAAATTATTGCATACATTATTACATACCTTCATAATGCTTTGCTTGAAAGAATTTTCAACAGCTTCATCAAAAAGATTCCATTGTTCTATGGAAGTAATAAACCTACTGAATTGCCTCATCATAGCAAGCAGTAAGAGCAATGCCTCATGTCTGATAACCAATTGTCTATGTTGAAGCATCCCCATGCCAATAGCTCTCAATAAAACTGATGGCATAGTCAAAGTATGTACCACATTTTTTATTTGATGCACTGTCAGACAATCAGCATATGGCTTCAGTGTTTGTTCTGGATTCATATTCTGTACCAGCTGAAAGCAAAAAAAGGTAGCCAAGTACTGAATGTATATAATCACTGTTAAAGCATATACAACTTACTCCATGGAACATACTCTTCCTAGAGCTAGTAACACCACAGTTTTCACACATTCAAAATAATACCTGCTACAGATCTAAACAGTTCATCACCCTAGCCACAAAAGTCCTCTACTAGATCCTATGATACATAACACATTATTATTCTGCTGTTTTTACATTCAGAACAAAGTAAAATGTGACCAAGACTATGGCTTACATACTTAAAAAATAGCTTAAATAACCAACTATTTTCCTAAAATCAATTCATCCTAAGGAGCCCTGTGGTAACTAATGTATGGAATATTAACACCACATTTAAAATATGATTGGCAGGAACTGATGCACATCACCTTTAACCATAAACTTTTAAAAAATATTATGCATATGGTGACCATATGAGTTCAGATAATTCCAAATCAAAGCTTTTATTCCATTGAAGTTCGCTGGCTTGTTAACAAGTCATTTATCAACATATTTATAAAGAAAATGCTTCTGTCTCACACTGAAAATTTTTTAAAAGGTAACATGAAAATTCACAGATATATTCATTAGCTGACATCTATTTTGTGTAGTTTGGACAGAAACTTGCTTTACAGTGAAAGGGAGATATCAATTTTATGACAATTAACAATTCACATTTTGAATAAATATCACCTAACGGTACAGCTGAAATGAATCAAAACATTCTCTGATAATTTTACCTGCTTCACAAAGTTAACTGCTTTCAACCACTTGACAGAAACTCGAGGCTCCAAATATGGTTCTGTATTTAACAAAATACATTTCATCAAGTCAGGGCAAGCAATGAGAATCTTAAGAACCAATTCAGCTTTCTGTTCGTGTTCCCACGGTCTCTCCAGGTTCTGTTGAAATGATAAACAAAATACATGATTCATTCCATGATTTGTGTTTCAAGAATAAGTACAGATGTAATATACAACACATACAAGCAAAATAGTCAATTCCTCAGTAAATTTACTTGCAAAATTTGAAGTCAATTTAAAATGGGCAGAGGTCAAAATAACAAATGCAACCAATTCCTCAGGGCATGTCCTTCTTAACAAGCTAACAGTAGGTCACCTACACAAGAAATCTCCTCCTTTAAACATATAAAAGAACCTTATCCTGGGCCAGACAAATCCAGTCCTCACTCTATTTCTATAAGTACATTTCAATATCATGCTCCCATCTATGCTTGGGTCTTCCATAACATCTCTTCCCTTCCACCAACATTTTTACCCACTTCTGATCTCTCCCACAAATGCTATTTTCTATATTCTAGTCACAAAAAGCCCAAACACTATCACATACTCCACTGGATTGAAAACGCCAATATGCAGATGAACACACAGCCTTCATTATAGAATAAATACAATTCCACACAGTCATAAATAGAAATCATTATAAGGCCATCACCACATTCTTCTGCTGTTAACATAACATGACCCCTTTAACTTATTTTAACAGATAATTCCCTTAAATGACATTCTAATAATTTATGTTTGATATTACATATGTAATTATTTCCTCTATAATGTTTGCTTGCCTCCTGATGATGGCCACAAGTGACCAAAACATGTAAAGAAAAATATATTTCACATAATTAATCATTAAATCGGTTACACTTGATAGATTTTATTTTTGATGCATTAAGACAGTTTAATGATCAAGATGTCCTTCATAGAGATTCTTACACTAAATGTGGTTATTTACTATATCATATTCATTAAATATGGAAAAATAATACACAGTTTATTGGTTTTGGCTAAGACCAGAAAAAATATTTATTAAATATGAGATTTCATTAAATGACAGAACTCCACACTGGGTTTCATTCTAACTGGTTCTTGAAGCTCAACTGTTTATCACGTGCAAATTCCACCAATCTGATGTTTATAATCTATGAAGATGCATGATATGACACAGACCACATGACAAATATGTGGGAGGAAACTTGTAATGAAAGATTAAAAACTGAAAGCAATGTACTTGCGCATAACTGTGTTGTGGTGTTGTCAAGTTACAGAATGGTTATCCGAGGAGAACTGTTTGTGTTTTGCTGCAAGCTACCGATTTGTCAGCTACATTTCTCCCAGAGGAGCACATTCAAGTTTCCTCATTCAAGACCCAGTCCACAACTGGCAGCACAACTGAGAACTTAAAACTAACTGAAGACACTGCATTCTACTGCAAGAACCAAATTCAGTGATGCTACTTAACCTTCCCTTGAATCAGTCTACATCATAATTTGGTAAGCTACAAACTGTCTATTTACCTAAGCACCATGCCCTAAGTGCTTCCCAGATGACTCACCCACAGGGAAATTCCCTACTAGATATAGGATTTGTGGACCAAAAAACTATTCTGGACATGTAAACAAAGAAGAAATTTCAGTCCCTGCTGGAAACTGAATCCCACCTGACCAGCTCACATTCAGTCGTTCTACTGACCAAACTATGAGGGTTGGAACTTTAATAGTGCCAACACTGCTGTAGTGACACCATGCAAAGGAATCAAATAATAATGTCACTCATACCACACGTTAGTTACATACCTACCTTACCTCAGAGCAAATGGACTCTCCCTTCCTACATCACGCGCATGTGCAGTGATGAGAAGAACAGAGCCTCGTGTTAGCTGGCAGTCTAATGTAGTGTTGTCACGATGTTTTTGAAACAGGAACAACAGAGTTGGATAAAGACTGAATGTGCTAGAGGCTGTACAGCGTGACAGTGTTATCAAGGTCTTCAAGAGGCTTGCAGGGAATCTGCATTGCCTTACAGAACAGTGGCAAGGTGGGTAAAAGCCTTCAACGAGGGATGCCAAAATGTGGCAGACATGTGTCGGCCAGGTCATCCTAGTGTCAGTGAAGAAGAAGTGTAACCTCTTTCCGCGTTACTGGAGAGTGATTGATGCCATACGATTCATGAGCTGGCCCGAGAGACAGGATTAGCACATACAACTGTGCTTCACATTTTGAAGGAACGCCTGGGCATGAGAAAAAGTGCATCACGATGGGCTCAGCATGATTTGACAGAAATGCAGAAATGGCAAGCTGTGGCTGATTTGTTCGATCAATGGTGCTGGGATGTGCTGTACCATCCACCAAACTCCCCAGACTTAAGCCCTTATGACTTCAACTTGATTTCTAAGATGAAGGAACCACTTGTGCTTCACATTTTGAAGGAACGCCTGGGCATGAGAAAAAGTGCATCACGATGGGCTCAGCATGATTTGACAGAAATGCAGAAATGGCAAGCTGTGGCTGATTTGTTCGATCAATGGGGCTGGGATGTGCTGTACCATCCACCAAACTCCCCAGACTTAAGCCCTTATGACTTCAACTTGATTTCTAAGATGAAGGAACCACTTGGTGGCATTCGCTTCAGAACTGTTCCAGAGATTCTTCAGGCAGTAGACAACTCCATTCGAACTATCAACACAACAGGCACTGCTAAATGTATCCTACGTCTTCCACATCACTAGCAATGGGTTGTACACAATGCTAGTGACTACAGTGAAGGGCAGTAAAACTTTGAAACATGCATCTATTTTGTATCAGTTGTAAATAAATAGTTCCAACCCTCATATTATGCCTCATATATTGAGACTTACTCACTCCTAGTAACAGATACAAAAAAGTATTTAAAAGAGCATTTACTTCCAGTACAGTTTGCAGTAACTCATTATGCTTCTTGCCAGATGTACCAATACTTCTGTCATGAAAAATTATACCATATTTATGAGATGTGCACAGAACTTGAAGGAAATCATGAACTGCATCTGCTACAATCTGCTTTTCCTCCTCTTGTTGCACATCTTCATTCTGTAACAAAATACAATACACTATTATGCTTTTCTTTTCCAATGTAATATATATAAGAAAGTAAATGTGGTGGTGAAAAAATCAATGATGAGATTTTGATGGATTTACATATTTTCAGCCCTCATGTATATGAAAGGGTGGTCGCAGCATGCCAGGGGTTTTGTGTGTGCGTGTGTGTAAGGGGCTGTTTCGAAAGTAACCTCTGTTTATTTTAGACCACTATTGCAGAAGCAGTGGAGGGCTCATATATGCGAGGTAGTGTCACATGACTCATTGCCTTGTAAACCATCACATAACTGCTCGCCTAGTGCTTGTTCTTGTCTCTACAGAGAGAGTTATGATGTGTCCTGTGATTGATAATCCCACCAGCTTCGAAATTCGTGCTATTAACCCCTTTCTTCTCACTAAAAAACATGAATGCTGCAGCAATCCTTCATGAATTATGAGTGGTTTACAGCCAAAATGCAATGAGTGAAGGAACTGTAGGGCAATGGCATAGAATGTTCAAAAATGAACAAACAAATATTCACGATGAAGAGGAAAGTGATGATCTGACCATCTGTAGCGATCTTGTTCAAAATGTTGGCCAATAAATTTGTGAAAGACAGCACTTCACAATATCCTAACTTTTACATGGATTTCCACAAATTTCACGCACTGTCCTCTACAAGATTATCATAGTTAGGCCAACCTAACACAAGTTTTGTGCAGTACAGTTTCTTGCCTTTGGCTTTGACTTTTTCTAGTGCAGTACCACATAGATGATGATGAATTTCTCAGTCACATCGTACAAGTAACAGGTGATGAAATCTGGGTTCATTGGTGAATGTTGACGCCAAGGAGCATTCAAAGCAATGAATGCACACAAATTCACCAAACAAGCCAAGAAAGTTTAAACAAACGTCATCTGCCTGCCAGAAAGATCATGGCATCTGTTTTCTGAGACAGGACAGGGAAGTAGTGCTAATGATGGAATTCCTGCAACAAGGGGCCACAATAACGTTAGAAGTTCACTGCGAAACACTAAAATAAACTGTAGGGCCAGCCATTAAGAACAAAAGGCATGAAATGATGACATCCAGTGTAGTGCTCCTCCATGACAATGTACATCTGCATACAGCTACTCACACTCAAGCACTGCTGGAGAATTTCAACTTGGAGTTATTTGACCACCCTAGCGGCCTCCGTAGTCTAGAGGTAAAGTTCCCACCTCATGACTCGTANAACAATGTGCATCTGCATACAGCTACTCACACTCAAGCACTGCTGGAGCATTTCAACTTGGAGTTATTTGACCACCCTTACAGCCCTGATCTCACTCTGAACAACTACCACCTGGTTGGATTCACAGCGCTTAACTACTGAGTTGATGGAAGGTATCAAAATGTGGCTGAGCTCACATGTGGCAGGCTTCTTTGACAGAGTCATATAAAAAATTACTCCCTGATATGACAAGCGCCTCAATTCTTACAGTAACTATGTTGAGAAGTACCTTATGTAAGTATTTTTATATATAATAATTTTTCTCTCATTGCTTGTTTTGTTAGTCCACCAGAGGTTACTTTCTGACTAGCTCTCATATGTACCTATTTATGTTATGTATGCATGGATGGATGGATGGATGGATGTGCTAGCTCCAAAATAGTTAGGACAGATTTTATTCATATCTGGTATTCAAGGGTTTATCCATCATAGGTCCACTGTTCATGAATATGAACAAAATTAGCAGCTCTCAAGACTGACTGCAAAACATAAAATCGTTATTTTCTTGAAAATAGCTGTAATGATTTTGATGAAATTTCAGTAATTTATGAAGATAATCTCCCTAACTAAAGCTGCATAAGTGATATTCACTAGCTGCCCAAACATGAGATGATGATTTTGTCAAAATGGTTTCACTAGTCANCAAAATAGTTAGGATAGATTTTATTCATATCTGGTATTCAAGGGTTTATCCATCATAGGTCCACTGTTCATGAATATGAACAAAATTAGCAGCTCTCAAGACTGACCACAAAACATAAAATCGTTATTTTCTTGAAAATAGCTGTAATGATTTTGATGAAATTTCAGTAATTTATGAAGATAATCTCCCTAACTAAAGCTGCATAAGTGATATTCACTAGCTGCCCAAACATGAGATGATGATTTTGTCAAAATGGCTTCACTAGTCAGCTGGATTTCACTGTTTACTCAGTAATCTACAACTAATGATGGTCTATAGAGCAATGGTTCACTTTGTTTACAAGATAATGCAGCCCAAATCAATTCCATAAGAGAACGTATGTGCAATGTCCTTTTACTGATATTTTACTTCTTGATTTCACATGTTTCACAACTCTATAAATGCGTATTCAGAGTTACAACCTTGTCTATCACTTGTATGTCCTACATATACACTATATACACTTCAACACCACATATTTATATGAAAACTGAAATTTTTAAGGCACAAAATCTCTATATTAGGTAAGTAGCTTTCACCATCTGAAAGTCACAATGGAACAATCTGTTTAACAGTTGGAAGTTCTCATATTAAATTCCAATTCTGAGCTAACTATTTTACAAAAATTATAAATTACAGTACTTACAACTGTGTTTCACTTTAAATCTGTATCCTTCTGGTATAATTTACAGACCACCTACTTTTGCTAAATCACTTCCACTGTATTTATTGATATCAAAGTTATGCTATACTCATTTGTCAGTTATTTTCACACCTAAGGCAGGTGATAAAACTGAATATGAATAATCAGATGGATTCTGCATAACCTGCATAGGATAACTAGTGTTTTGCACTGTGTTTACGAACAAGAGCATGCTTACATAAAGCTAACACTTTCTTACCTCATTTGTACCAACAATTTCATCATTTTGGTTCTTCCTTGTGGGGTTCCACTTCAGTGGCCCCTTCCAGTCATAAAGTGCAAGAAGAGATCTCACAACTGCAGTGTTGAATGTGTGCAGCTTTGCTGTCTTTGATATTGACATATTCATCAGTACTCTATCTTGTAGAGTTGTCAGCACAAGATGAACAGTATCTGAGCTATCATACAATAGTCCAGGTATTATACTTGTAAGCAGACCTGTCACAAGGATTAAGGATGTCAGTTTCCAACACCAACAAGCTTATAAGACACACTATCTATATTGTGCTGTATCTTGCAGCTGTAATTCATTGATTAATCTTCTGTGTTATCATGGCCTCATTCAGAGCTGGCTACTAAAGTAGCTGAACACTCAGGAAGGCAACAACAGTAAGTGCAAAAATGTCAGCAAGTGCAATGGAAAGTCCACATTATAAGGTTTTCCTTCACTTAAGATTCAATTTCAACTATCCCAAATCAGTCATCTCAGTGTTAATTTTTATGCATTGAAGATGTTCCTTATTTAGTGCTCAAAATCACGGCTCCCCCAAAAAACCTTAAACTTTTGAGTCTGATTAAAAAAAACAACAAAAAGGACTGGAATGAGATGAATCTATGCACCTGTAGGAAAGACACATCTCTAGATAAACAACAAATATATGTGTGGGGCAAAGAGATTCAAAAATGTTATTAGGTGTTTCACTGCATAACTACAAGATGCAGGCACAATGCAGATGGCCTAGCTTCTCATGTGGCTTGATGTCATGTCAACTGTTCAGCAGCTTTTCTCTTCCAGTGATTAATACTGTAATAATGTATATGAGGACTTCCATTTAGTAAATTTCATTACCGTATTCATTATATTATATACTTCTCCACCTCCTGAAAGGACAGATTATTTTCATGCAACTTCCACATCTCATCTATCAGTAAGAAGCTAAAAGGAAAATTTCAACCTAATTACATCACTATCAACACCTAGGGGAAAACATACTATGAATTTCTTTACATTCTCTCCACATAAGCACAGAAACAGACTCAATTTCTGAAGAACTGTAGTTTTAATATAAACAATTAGATGATGGGCAAGTTCAGTTAAACGCCCTTAAATTAGTTTTTGTTTATAATTTTATTATTATTATCTAAAATATTGTGCAATTCTGTGCTTACCTTTAATTTCTAGTAAAGGCCGAATGATGGAGACACAGCCATCAAAAAGGAATGCCAGCAGAAAATGAATGAAGTTTGTGCGCACACTCTTGTCCACTGGTTTTGTGTGCTTCACCAGCACAGCCCATAACTGAGGACTGATCTTCACATGGCTTAAAATCATCCGTGCCAACTGAGGACTAAGTGTCACTATGGCTATACAAAGTAATTAAATTTATTTACTTACACAAAACACACACACATATATATTATATATACTTCTATATATACACGGAGGATTTTTACTTAGTTGACAAGTTCACAACTCTGTGCTTCATGGTGACCGGTGCACTGCTGGCTGCAAGATGCATACAAATTCTGCCGATGAATCAGATGATAACATTTGGAACGAAGGGAAGTATTAATTTGTAGACCGCTTCACAGCATTATGTTCCGCAGCAAACAGTGCAGTTCATGCGTGGGAGTTTGGTTATAATTTGTCAGCAGCAGGCAGCAGTTATCAGTTCCATTCGTCATCTGTTCTGTTACAGTTAATGAGCAGTGTTGTGTATCATGGTGCGGCATACTTTAGAGCAATGTGTATTTCTGTATGACACCTATGTTGAATATGGATCTGCTGGAAAGTGTAGGCAAAATTTTTTATGTAAATTTCATAATGAAAGAGTTCTCAGCAGATAAACAGTTCACAATTTGCTGAATAAACTTAGAAAAACAGGATAATAGACAAGGAGTAAAAACATAAGTGCCGAGTGCTTACTGAAGAAAAGTTAGATGATACAGGAGCCAGACTTGAAAGTACACATAGAAAATCATTGAAACTTCAAGCTCAAGAGACTGAGGTGTCAAAGTCTAATGCAAGAAGGGCAACACAATTGCCGAAGCTTAGACCTCTGTAAAACAACAGTAATCCATGCCTTGCAGCCGGATGATTCAGATAGCAGGGTTCATTTTCAACAACTCTTGTGATTTATGAACAAAGGCAAGAACTTCCCTTCATTCCAAATGTTATCGACCATCAGGTATCCTGATTCATCAGCAAAATTTGCATGCACCTTGCAGTGGGCGGTGCACCAGTTGCTGTGAACTCAAGTAAGTAAAAATATTCCCTATATATAAATATACATATGTATCAGTCAATAAATTATATACCTGAGTATGACTGTACTTCCAGGGACAAACCTAACATTTACTTTTAAGTATAGCTTCCCTTCAATGAACTAACATACTTGTTCTATGTTGACTGTAAGGATACAATTTAGTATTCTAAACATAAGGCAAAATTTTGAAAACATATTTCTGCTGAATTAAACTCAATAACATTTTTGGGTTTACTTTAAAAGTCCTGCAGTGTAGAAGAGTTATTGAACTGAATGATTATGATCACTCAAGTCATTAATTACAATAATAAGACTAATCATTTTTCCATGGATTACATGCTGATTTTTCATTTTTATTAATTTTGACAAATTATAAATAATATATCAACATACAATGGAAAGGTCATTCCTATTGTGCAGAGGTGGAACAAAAACCATCTTTTTGTAATATTATATTTAAGCATCCTCTTGCATTTATACATCTTTCATGCACAATATATTCAGTCCTCAATGCAACTACTCCCACTTTTATTTCTCCTCCTTACAACATGTTTTTGCCTCAGACGGCCATCATCAGGTGTTCTGTCTATGCCAAAACTGTTGTACTGTACAAAATATATAAAATGTTCATTTATTTATACACTTGCAAATATGATGTTTCTTGTTCAATTTACTTGATGTACACTTGATATTTATTTGCATTGATTAATTTCACTCACTTTCTAGTTTAATTTTGGTTTGAAATTTCTTAAAATTTCTTACAATTATATAATTCTTGCACATCTATTAGGGGTGTCCTTCACTTGTCCAAATGATATAGTTCTACATAAATTTCTTTATTTCATTTAATTTCATTTATTGACCTTCCATAAATCCTGTCAAGAATACATTCTCATGCAGATGTGGAGATCGTCCTTGTTACAGTCACAACTAAGGACTACAGCTGTCATCCAATAGCATGCACATTTGTATAAAATACTGATAAACATATACAATAAATGAGTTAATTTTAGTAGTAAAAGTAATGGCAAACCTTATACAATTTGTACAGTTTTATGCAAGTCTATTAATTAAAAATTCAATAGTTAAAACATAAAACAACGGATTTATTAAAATCCGTTGTGGCATTGAGGCTTGGTGTTGCTTGATGTTAGTGTGTTGCTTCTGTTCATAAGACCCTTCTCTGCATTATCATTTATCCCTATTTGTGTGTTGTTCCCTGCCCCTGTATATGGCGCTGTCATTAACTCTTGTGTGTGGACAAACAGAAACAACATACAAACACCAAGCAACACAAAGCTGCAACATAGAACTATATCATTTGGACGAGTCAATGATGCCACTAATAGAAATTCAAGAATTATATAATTTTAGAAAATTTGTAAGAAATTTCAAACCAAAATTAAACTAGAAAGTGAGTGAAATTAACCAGTGCAAATAAATATCAACTGTACATCAAGTAAATTAAACAAGAAACATCAGATTTGCAAGTGTATAAATAAGTGAACATTTTATACATTGAAGATCCTCAAATCTTACATTTTATACATTTTTTATTGTGCGACAGTTCTGGCATAGACAAAACAACTGATGATTGCCATTTGAGGCCGAAACATGTCATATGGAGGAGAAATAAAAGTGAATATAGTTGCATTGAGGACTGACTACACGTATATTGTGCGCGAAAGAAAAATAATCTTATATTATTAAATTTCTTGCAGTGAGAGTTTAAACTCATTCCACAATTCACCAGGAACTCTCACAACCCTTGACCTTCAATTCTTTCCTTGTATTTCTCTACCAGCATTATTCCTTACTTTCAAAAGATTCTGACATGAAATAACAATTTCTTCTACAAAATCACATCAATGAAACACGAGTTGCCAGATTTATTGCAAATGGAACATCTATATTTCTCAATTTTTAATGCACACTTCTCACGTTCTTTCTTCAATACTAAAAGTCTGTCACACAACTATAAATTTAAAGTTTTCACTTTCACTCAAATAGACAAATGTTTATATTCATAACACTCTAAACTCTTCCTCAGCAAATCAGGAACCTACATAGAACTTCAAGGAAGGAAACCACATGAGATACAAAGGCAATGTAAGGAAGACACTATTAAAATATAATAGAATGAAAACTGACTGCAAGGAAGTGAACTGGATTACAGAGATTTGCAATACTATCTTATGGTAGCAATGATAAACCTCTGAGTTCCATAACAACTGCTGATTTCTTATGGTAAATATAATATGTATGGACTGTTTAGGGAGTCAGCACATTATGGTCTTAACATGACCATCCATAATTTGCATGGCTTTCAATGTTGATATAATACTTATACATGACTTTTGGACCAGTTTCATATTCATGCATCTAAAGGATACTTCAATTACCACACAGAGTATGTGGCTTTCATTAAGGCTTTACTTTAACACTCAAAGTATAATTTGTATGATGTGAGAAGCCAGCTCACAAGACAGTAAGAAATGAAGTTTTGAGTTTTTAGCTATAATAAAAATTATGCTTGCTCCTGAGTTATTTAACTCACACTCAATGCCATAATGGCTTTAAAAAAGCCACTGACCTGCCAGCAACTTAAGTACTATTTGTCTATGCTTTGGGGTGCTCTTCAAGGACAGCATGTTGTGTATGGTTGACAGATGATAATTCAGAAGATGTTTGCATGCTTCTTCCACACTAAGCCTGTATTTCTGAGCTTCAGTAAGGGTTCTGAAATATGATATGAAGACAAAAAGATGAAAAATATGTGGAATTTACATGTGACACAAAATGACATCCAACATTAAAGAAATCAAAACACAGGATTTTGAACTAATTTTTATGCAAAATAAAACAAACAGTGTCGGTCCTGCTTTTGGGCAATGGTGTTGTATGGATGTGGGTTGTGTTACCAATGTTTCAGCAGAACCTATTATATCCTTCATAGAAAAAGAGTAAGCTGGTTGGGGAAGAATGGCCACTGATATAAGGAAGGCCAGACCAGGACTGAAAGTTTGAGCAAGACAGTGAGAACAGCTGGCCCTGAAAAGGCGGGAACAGGGAGTGTTTTCTGAATGGAGATGGAAGGTGTGTAAGAGGAAGGAAGGTTGATGTGAGAGGTTGAAATAAAATACAGCAGAAACCAAACTAAATAACTAAGAAAAAGAAAAAAATACAAAGAAAGGAATAAAGGAAACAGAAGGGAAGGAAGAAAACTGGAAAAGGAAGATGGGAGAGATGAAGAAATGCAGGTGAAATCCTGAGTCAGAAGTTTTCTTTAAATCAATAAACAGATGATGTGCTGTGCCAATACTCCCATTTCTTCTTCAGGTTCAGACAAATGCAAGACGTGATGTTTAAATCCACACTGATGATTCCAAATAATGTCATCTACATATGAATCAAAGTTTAGAAAGGAATGCTAGATAAAACTTTTATGAAACCAATAAGAATGATGAAGAGTTCTGTCTTCTTGGATAAAATACCATGCAGTCTGTTGAGAGTCAACCAACGTTTTGAAGGGACATACCACTTCCATCTTTAGGGTTGAAGAGTAAGGTAAGAAAGGAACTACCATGAAGAAGGCAGTAAATTTACTACTCTAGTCTAGTCTAGTCATAGAATAAACCACAAAAATAGCTATATTTCAAGTTACATTAATCACTTTCATATGATGTTTATTTTATTATATCCTGCACTTATTATATCCCTGCAAAAAAGGGATTCTTTCAGAAATGTCAATAAGCAAATCCTTTCATTTAACTGCATAGTCACCCTTAAATGTCACAGAAGCATCTGATATCACTGTTTTGCATGCAGTGAAATGATATGGCCCATTGACTCCTCCTTTCATGAACCATAACAAAACAAGAACAAAGATCTGTCACTTTCTATAATGGAGTAACACAAAGTGGAATAACAAAAAAATATTTTAATTGAAAGATAAAAGTATCACCACTTTGGCACTGTCATATCAGGCTTTCTAATAATCAGCCTCACTGTCAATATCAAATTTCAACAGTTTACTTAATTTTTCCCCAGCACTACTTACGTGCACTGTACACTGATGCTAATTCCAAATTGAAACTTCACATCATTTTATGGAACCTGAAGGTTCATTACCATGTTCACAAGAGCCCTCCGCTGGCTTCTATCTTAAGCCAGATCAATCTAGTCCATACCATCCGATCTTATCTCTCTAAGATCCATTTTAATATTGTCCACCCATTTATATCTTGGTATTCCTAGTGGTCTTTTCCCTTCTGGATTTCCTATATGCATTCCTCTTCTCCCCCATTCATGCTAAATTCCCTGCCCATCTCATCCTCCTTGACTTGATCATTCTAATTATGCTTGGAGAAGAGTGTAACTTATGAAGCTCCTCATTATGCAGTTTTCTCCAACCTCCTGTCACTTCATCTCTCTTTGGTCCAAATACTCCCCTCAACATCCTGTTCTCAAACATCCACAGTCTATGTTCCTCCCTTAACGTTAGAGACCAAGTTTCACACTCATACAGAATCACAAGCAAAATTATGCTTTTGTATATTCTAATTTTTATGTTTTTAGACAGTAGATGAGATGACAGAAGGTCATAATCCCCAATAATTGCATCTCTATATGGGCTTAACCTTGAGGGAATGACATTGGATAATATTTTGTATGAAGTTGACAGCAGTGATGTCCCACGATAATTACTACAGTAAGTTTTATCGCTCTTCTTGTGAATTTGTACAATACTAGACTGCTTCCATTGATCATGCTATTCTTTTTTATCCCAAATAGAATTAGTGAGTTAATGGATCTCAGACCATAATGTTTCACCTCTTGCTGAATTACTTCTGCCATAATTTGATTACTACCTGATGATTTATACCTTTTCAATTTTGCAATAGAAATTTCAACCTTAAAAGGACTAGGATCAGGTACTAATGACTCAGCTGTATCTATCTGCCTAACATCACTGACCCTACGTACATTCAATAACTGAGATAAGTAGTTCTTCCACCTATTCAAAATGTTGTGAGAATCTGCAAGCAGATCACAATTCTCATCCTTCACTAAGTTACTGCTAGGTTGGTAACACCTCTTAAAGTCATTTATTCCTCTATACAGGTCTCTAATGTTCTTCTTCTTACTGTTCATTGCAAGCTCTTCAATTTTGTCTTTCAGGTATTCTCTTTTTCTTCCTGAAATTGCTGCAGGTTTCACATCTTATATTGTTCATATTATCCCCATTTATTCTGCTTGGATGTTGTAACCAATGCAATCTGGCTTGTTTCCTTTGGTATAATAATTCTGAGCATCCTTCATTGAACCATGGCTTATGCTTCTACAATTCATAATAACCTAAGACTCTCCTTCGTTGAAATTTTTCTGTTCTCTCTGAGTTTCCCAAGCTCTATTAATATCCGCCTCTTTGTCTAAATTTTCCAAACCTGCGAACCTATTTGAGATTTCAACACAATACTGCTCCCCAGCCTTTACCTCGTTTAATTTATTGTGACCTCGCTGCACTATTTTTAGATTTATACATGTGGAAATATATACTTGAATTTAGTATTTACTGCTTTCCCACTGCAGTATATAGATAGCTGAAGCGTGCTTGCACCAGTTCAGCTGAATCAATATCGAAAAAATTAATACAGTTGAAAACAATGTCCATAGAACAAAGAACTCAAACACCTTCTCACTTCTGGGAAGTAGGCTAATAAAAAATGAAAGTCTCACACGTAATACCGGCATAACACCCTTCCATTGAAGTGTTACAAATTACAGTTTTAGTGAGGATTATCAGTATGTCTTGTTTGAATATAGTAGTTCTCTAATTCTTTTTCTTACTTCATGATGATATATTGCAAGGCAGAAAATACTGGCACAATATAACCCATATTCTTCTTGTGCTCAGACTGCAAAAGCCCAAGAAGTTCCTGGGCTCCTCCTCCTGCCTCCAGATATTGCAGGATAACATTCTCAGCCTCTGGTGACTTGCAGAGACTTACAAATTCTTTCATGGCTGAAAACATAAAAACAAAGAATATATGCTATTTCATCTAACTCGGTGGTACACAAAAATCAACAGATATTAAAATATTTAACAAATTCCCTGCAATTATAAAATCAAATGATTGAAACTCACAACAGTTTGCCAGAAAATCTTAGCTAGGACCACCTCACATCTCCACATTCCATTTCCCCTTAGGTCCAGTTAAATATTTGTTTCCATTTACATATCTTTCAAGTGATCTCTTATTAAAAAGGTTTTCCAACAAAATTTTAGTACACACTATTTGTTTATCAAATATCTAATATTCACCCTATCAATTCAACTTGCTTAATTTAAAACCCCTAACAATAATTGGTAAAGGAACCGAGATAGACAGTTGGTACAGCAACTTGGCTACATGATGGACAACCTAGGAATCTGGGTTCAATTCCCAGTAGGGGCAAGGGAGTTTTTGTAACATTCAGATTGGTTCTGTGACTCACCCAGTCTCCTACACAATGGGTACTGGAAGCTGTCTCCCCAAAGTTAAAGTGGCCAAGGCATGCTGACCACTCACTTCTATTTAGCACAGATGTTATGAGTGGTGGAGTTATACCTCCACTCCCTCATACATCTTCATGGTGTAATGCTTAGTTAATTATGCCAAAGGATAACTTTAACCTTAAGAATATTATGTGAAAACTATGGGGAGGATATTTAGTAAATGTGTTGGAACACAGCGTTTCCACTAAGAATGCTCATTACATGGGTTGCCACCATTCCAACTGTGTGACAGAAGCAACATCCTAGAGTGAAGGATGCTGGTCTGCATCCAGTATCTGCATTATATATCTGAGTCAGAGTCTTATGTTATGACCAACAGTCAGTTGGCCAGTCTGCCTTGGAATAAAGCACCCATCTGGGTCTTACGACCAGATTTTTATTAATGTCAGACAGTTGCAGGTTTCTTGATGTGGGATGAGAGGAAGGGTCTACTGTTTAGAATTCCTGCTGGCCCTCACCAACGCAGTCATTCTCGGGTTCAAGTCCCGCGGTACTAGTGACCATATTTTACAGTCTCAGATTCGAGACTTCCTTATGGAGACAGGAAGGCGCAGTATGGACTGGACTGATCTGGCCCAGGACAGGGACCAGTGAAGGCCTCTTGTGAACACAATAATGAACCTTCAGGTTCCATAAAATGTTGGGAAATACTTGAGAAGATAAGCGGCCGGTGGCTACACAAGAATAGCTAAACTCCATGTAGTCAGTCAAAACTATTTTTACGGATAGCCCTGGAATATACGGGATAGAACAATGAAAATAATACCCTTAATTTTTGGTATTAATACTTGGTATAGTTCCTTCATTTTTCCACTTTATTTTTTTAAACCAACGTGGGGATGCCTGCATTCGTGTCCTCATCCAGGTACTATACCGGCATTCGTCTGGAGGGATTGTGTCAAACAATGAAAAAACTGAAGGCAAAATGACAGGTTTCCCTATAGAGATTCAAATCATGCACCTCCGGAATACGAGAAGACTCATACCTGTAATGGCATCCTCTCCTTTAAGTCTTTTTCGAAACACACTTGCAGAAAATAAATGTGCCCTTTTCGCTGGTGGGTCTTCTGAACGCTGGTCTCCATAACCTGATTTCCTCTTCTTTTTCACCAACATTATTTAACGTAAGTCTGCAACTTTAACAGCCAGTGTACTCAATTCCGAGAAATAAATGTAACATTACGGAAGTTTTAAAAGTAAGGCTACTTTTGCTCCACCTGATTTGAATATACATATATCCTAACATAAAATAACAACACCAGGGCACGCATTCCTCAAAATCCAACACGAGGAAACATGAGCACATGGATAACGAATATACAATGGATACACGTGTGGTACTCATTGCTTTCAGTTCACAGGACGCAGAAGCGTCATACGTATTGTGCTGTCATCTCTGAACATAATTAGATAACAAAGCTGCTGGAAGCGGTAGCTCACTCAGTAATAGTAACTGCCATTCGACTACTATTTGTTTCTCTATCTTGTCCTCTTGTAAGCGAAGTTTATTTATGCCACATCCATGAAAAATTTGCAACTCTAACAATGCAAAAGGCATTGTCATAAAAAATATTTTTTTGATTTTAGATATGCAACCTCACAACTTTTTTCACCACTAATCTTTGAAGTCATCACTATGGAAACTTCAAATCTTGCAACGAAAAATATACTTTGACCATAAATATTCAACCATAATATTCACCACATACTCTTGAAACCGCATAAATCATTTCTTTATATCCATTCATTTGAATTTAATGTAAAACAACAAAGTAAAACTTTATGGATATTATAAATTATTCACATGCCAGCTTCACACAAGATAAAATAAGTTCCTGAATAATAATCATCTACAAAATGTATAAGAAACATATCCTTATCGCCACTGCTTTACAACTTTGCTTTAGAATATGCCATTAGGAAGGTCCAGGAAAACCAGGTGGGACTGAAATTAGACGGGACACATCATCTCTTGGCCTAAGCTGATGACATGAATATACTGGATGATAACATAGATACCATAAAGAAAGACACACAGGCTTTAACTAGATGCATTAGCCAATATTACAGTCACAACCACTCATCAAAAATCAAATTATCTGAATTGTTTTCTAGTAACACAGCAATCTCACAAGCCACAATAACTTATAATAACCTAAAATGGACAAATGTACAGTTACTGTACTGTATGCATGAATACCAACAAACAAAGCAGGAAGTTAATCTCAGAAGTAAAAACTACAGGGAGGGTACCTGATGAGCCTACACTGGCCATGGCCTTCTGACTACGTGTAATCAATGTGTGAGTTGCTACCTCTCTCTTCTTCCAGCTCTGATAATAATGAGACAGGAACACGAATGTCCAATTGCATTACCTGCCTTACGTATCTCTCAAAAGTAATTGTAATTTATAAAGTACATGGCTCATAATCTTCCGCTTGCACAAAATGAGGAAGTTAAGATAGGACCAAACCCAGGCTGATTGGAACTCTAGGCCTTGAAAAGGCAACATACTCCAGGACAGGAATGAGATAAAAAGTTACACTTGTATAAACAATGAAGAAAGGGATATTAAAAAACTGCAAGGATACAGGCACAGGGAGCATGCAGTAGCATAGTTGATTGAGGCACTGTGCTACAAGCAGGAAGGACACATGTTTGGATCCTGATGAGGTCACTGGATTTTTTCAATTTACTTAATCCTTCCAGCCACACTACACTTACCACTGACAGCACCAGCTATATTTGTAAATAAGGTTTGTTTTTTTTTCTTTGGCACTACAGCTCCAGTGGGCCTAGGTCCACCTCCATGAACTTCTCCGTTTACAATTAAGGTTTATTTATTATAATAATAAGGCATAGGATGTAGTAAGGAACATTCAAGGGTGACAGCCCCATTCTTGGTTTCAAGAATAGGAACCTGCTTCACTGCTACAAAGACCAGACAGGAAGCACGCCCAGAGATTTCCTGGAAATTCAGTTTGAAAGTTGACCGGCGGGATCATTTGGTAAAGTTACACTTGACAGGTTTTGAGCCCTGTAAGTCAAAAGTTGGAAGGTCCTCAACCCATGCTACTGGTATAATTTTTCAAGCAGCTGTCAAAAATGACGTTAGGGCTTTAAGGTCCAAAGTCCCAAACTACAGCTAGTGTTCCAGTCAGCCGAAATTAGGGTAGTAACTTGCAGGCGGGGCTGAAGCTGTGAAGATTTCTTGCTTCAAAGCAGAGTCAGTCTGCTAAAGTAGTCTCTGAACAACTCTCCAAGTGTACAGCCGAAAAATTAGCGTCACCGGCAGTTTGGTTCAAAAGTCAAAGTTAAAAGCAAAAATTAATTTTTAAGTGTGTTACTGAAACAGTCGCTGAATAACTCGGCAAGTAATAAGACGCAAAGATTAGTGTGAATCTTAATTTGGCTTAAAAATTTAAGTGAAAGTGTAATTACTTCTAAGTGTGATACTAAAAAAAAAAGAAAGCAGTCGCTAAATGCCTAACCAGGGATCCGGTCGCAAAATTTAGTGTGATTCCAAGTTTGGTTTAAGTGAGTAAGGACCGATGTTATTAATCGAATATCATAAAGTGCTCATTAGACAGTGTTGGGTAGTGCCTAGCTATAAACACTCTTATCTTTCCCGCTAACAGAAGGCCTGTATACACCCTGAGACTGAATCTCATCGTGCTAGTGAAAATGCAGTACCTATCACCTGTAGTTTCTGGTTCATTCCTCCTTTTCCTCGAAGAGTGAGCCTTTATAGTAAGCTTTTTTTTTAATTGCTAGTGGAGTTGGACTAAGTCCCTTGTACTGCGGCCACTTCTGGCCTATTGTACCAGCCCCAGATGATAGGTGAGGGTGATTGTGGAGCAATTGGTGGAATGAAGATTGGCAGGGGAAACCGAAGTACTCGGAGAAAACCTGCCCCAGAGCCACTTTGTCCACCACAAATCCCATTTGACCCGACCCGGGAACGAACCCGGGCCGCCGCGGTGGGAAGCCAGTGACTAACCGCTTGAGCTAAGACGCCGCCTTTATAGTAAGCTTACTGGCGCCCAGCATTCATGTAACCCATATCCCGCAAACAACCAATATCCACAACAACAAAAAAGGGGAAGAAGAACTGGATAAGAAGGACGCAGCAGCAACCTGCAAACTCGGAATACCAACAGGCGAGAGGGAATGGCTAGAGGAGAAGCTGCAACCCGCAACGTAGGCCCATAAGACGGTTAGAGAGGACGTGGCGTCAAACGTAAGGGCTGAACGGTTAGAAAATGTTGCGATTACCTTAGTATTCTTATTTACTCGTACATGGATTCTACTACATAACTAAAGCCTCTACCAAATCTTTATCCTGAATGAGTAAATTTTTTAATGTATTGCTGACAGTATTTAATATGCACGTCATTAAAAATATAATTATATTAAAATTATCATTAAAATTAAAATTTATATTTGGTCGAATAATATTCATACTCACAATTAAAGACTAATTTGCGTGAAGACCTACTAATTAAAATATATTGTTACAATTTATTTAGAAGTCATTTCTCTATTTATTTTGCTTCATCTCAAACCCCTTACTTTTCCGATGCTTACTAGACGTCATATTCTATCATGCAAGATGAAATTCTTATCTCACTTCAGCCAGTTCATAGTACATAATTTTACTGGATAATACTGGCTCAGTAAATAAATATGTTGCAATTCCGTAGTGTGTTTGGAAGTCGTCATACAAACAGACGTACTGGCAAGATAGCACTTCGCATAATCAAATATACAGATCGAAGTAGATGTGTTTGCAATGATATAAAATTTTATTTCTCCATTTCGACATTTTGTTATGTCAGTAAACTATGAAAGACTTGTACAGTCTCTTGGAAAGTAAACTGACCGCATACTTGTATCTTATACTCAAGTAAAAAAGTAAAAAAGGTAAAAAAGTAAAACTATCCCTTTACCAGGCCGTGAAGGCCCATAGGGTTGTGACACGTTGAGGGTCCCACATTATCTAGGCAATCGGCTCAAAGATGGCGGTAAGGTTGTCAGCCTTACGCGCCGGCCGCGCTTTACTCCCCAGGAAAATTATTTAATTAATTCCTGATACTCATTTCTGTTAGACGTTGAGTAAACTCCAGGGCCTAGCGCGGCCGGAAGGATTAGGTCAACTGAAAAAAATCCAATGACCTCATCGGGACTTGAACCCGCGACCTTCTGGCTTGTATCGTAGAACCTCAACCACTACGCTACCGCGTGCAAAATATTAAATGAGGATAGAGAATATTTCAGCATAAGTGGCCCTGACGATACTGACAAGAGAATATATATTTTTTTATTGCTAGTGGGGTGGGACTAAGTCCCTTGTACTGCGGCCACTTCTGGCCTATTGTACCAGCCCCAGAGGTGAGTTGTGGAGCAATTGGTGGAATGAAGATTGGCAGGGGAAACCGAAGTACTCGGAGAAAACCTACTCCAGCGCCATTTTGCCCACCACAAATCCCACTTAACCAGATCCGGGATCGAACCCGGGCCGCCGAGATGGGAAGCCAGCGACTAACCGCTTGAGGACCAGAGAATATAACGTGGCCTATGAAGGTGAAGACGCAAAGCTGAAGTTCACGACTACAACTGATTCTTCGATTGTCGCTTCAGATCATGCTGCCTTCTTCGGCCCCTCGGAATCCTGATATTGTGCTGTGAACCAACGAACATAGAAAGGAGTATTGAAGACATTAAATTTTCGTATTTCTTAAAGTTTGTATGAACGTCATACGATTTCAGGGCACTGAAAATTGATACTAATGAGCAAGTTGGTTCAAGCGGCAATTCTTCTTACTTTCATTCTGGTGGTGTCCGGTTTAAATCCAGACCAAGATACTGTCACGTGTAGGGGTGCGTGACTATTAGAAGGGTTTTGGTTTGGATTATTGGATCTATTGACACCTTATACACTCAACTCGTAATTACAAGTAATACAGCCCTATCGCTAATCTACACACTTTACAGTTCACCGTTACACATGCACTAGGGTTCTTAGTCTTCACTAGTTTATATCCTGGCAACGGATTTATAACAGTCTCCTTTCACTGCAGCACACTATGAAGTCTTTGCACGGACTAATTCTTTTCTTGTTAGTTCTTCTAAATTATTCTGCCAACTGCCAACTCCTGGTACTTCCTTAATTCTCCTTCTAGCCACGTGACATCCTCGTTAGATAGCCTCGGGTAGGCACCCACACAAAACATCGCTGCCTCTATTGTTGTGTGTTGATTCGCTTATACAGAGGTATGTTTACGGCACCGTTGCATAACAATGACCGTGGTGCGGACCACAGAAGTCACCGCTCTTCTATTGTTGCGCGTTAATTTAAGCGGGTTCGTTTACCGAACCGTTGCCTAGCAATGAACTATTCTGGTTTTCAGTGGTCATGTCACAATATAAATTAACATAAGCGAGATATTTAATGTTTCTACTAAGTTATTGCAGGCAAATACTGAGATAGTACCTTAACATTAAGTCAAATCTGCTTCTTGCTTTGGTGTTCATTATTCATTATCTTCCAAATATTCGATTCGATGTGGTCTGGGTTGTTGAAAACCTGGTTTAGTTAGCTACT